GCTGCTTCGTCTGCTGTCGCTTCGTCCGTTGCTACTTCATCTGCCGCTTCGTCTGCTGTTGCTTCATCTGCTGCCGCTTCGACTGTCGCTGCTACGTCTACTGCTGCTTCGTCTGTTGCTTCATCTGCCGCCGCTTCGTCTGCAGCCACATCTGTTGCTTCTTCTGGTGTTACTGGCACTGTGTCAAGCCAAGCTTCTGGTACTGAAGTCACACTGATAGTTACTGTTTCCGAGGGCCTGACTGTGGTTGTCACAATTACGTCTTGTTCGGACAACAAGTGCCACACCATTGTGTCCACTTCTACTCCAGTCTCGGTGATCACATCTGCTCAAAGCCAGGCTACCGGTACTGAAGTCACCCTGACAGTTACTGTTTCCGAGGGCCTGACCGTGGTTGTCACAATTACGTCTTGTTCGGACAACAAGTGCCACACCATTGTGTCCACTTCTACTCCAGCCTCGGTGATAACATCTGCTCCAAGCCAAAGTTTGACGACTGAAACCAAGACAGTTACATCATGTGCCAACGGAAACTGCAACGTTGTTACGTTGACCACCACCTACTGTCCTGAGCTGACGTTACTGACTAGTTACACAACTGAAATCAGAACAATTACGTCTTGTGCGAATGGAAACTGCAACGTTGTGACCTTGACCACCACCTACTGTCCTGAGCTGGGATTGCAGACCAGCTACACATCTACGGTACAAGTAGTGATCACGCAGACTGTTTCTGTCACTTCGTGTACTGACGCTGCCTGTACTGCTCCTGTCACCTTAGCCAGCACTCAGTTGGTCACGACTGTTGTAACGACTGTTATTACAACTACCGTTGCTCCTCAGATTCCATCTGCCTCTGGCCCTGCAGCTGTTGCAACTACGCCAGCCGGTGCCGCCACCCCAGGTGCCCCAGGTGTTGCTGGTAACACCGTTCCAGCGGGCTCTGGTGCTGCACCAGCCGGTACTGCCGCCCCAGGTGCTCCAGGTGCTCCAGGTGCTGCTGGTAACACCGTTCCAGCGGGCTCTGGTGCTGCACCAGCCGGTACTGCCGCCCCAGGTGCTCCAGGTGCTCCAGGTGCTGCTGGTAACACCGTTCCAGCGGGCTCTGGTGCTGCACCAGCCGGTACTGCCGCCCCAGGTGCTCCAGGTGCTCCAGGTGCTGCTGGTAACACTGTTCCAGCGGGCTCTGGTGTTGCGCCAGCCGGTACTGCCGCCCCAGGTGCCCCAGGTGCTGCTGGTAATTCCGTCCCAGGTGTTGCTGGTACTGCCCCTGCCGCTGTTGCGACTGCGCCAGCCGGATCTCCTGTTTCACTCACCCAGGGTGTTGCTGCGACTTCCGTTCCAGCTGGTTCTACTCCACAACTGACTTCTCAAGTTGGATCGCAGACACCTGCCGCTGTCACCACTGATGTGTCGGGTGGCGCAAGGAGTGTAGCGCTTAATGGAGTTGGTTTAGCGGGTGCCTTCGTTGGTATCATGCTTTTGGTTTAGGCCTGAAAAACATCTGTGCCTGCTTGGAGTTACGCTATCCTCTTTTTAATATTCCTGTTCTTCATTCAAGATCCAAAAGCTTGAAACTTATTCTCGTTCCGTCTGTTCTATCGATTCAAGATTGAGCGGTTCCCTCTTTATTTTTTGCCTTTCTCTATATGCCGCTGTTGTCACTTGTGATTCTGTCTGGCATACCCTTTTGTTCTTTGGACCAGGTGGTCCGTTAACTTCACCCTATTTTTATACCTTTCAAACTTTTTATTTCAATTTTTTTTATTACGTGTACAATGTATTTTAATATACTTTTAGTTATACACCGGGGTATTTGTACATACTCTCAGACATTCGTACATATTAAGACTTGGTAGAAACGTGTATAAGCTGATCTGTAGCCTATGTAACTCCTAGTTAAATAGTTGCCGCATGTATGGAGTATCATAACGAGAGCAATGAATACGGAGAGTCGTGGCTAAATTGCCCTTTTAGTTCGTAACTGAAACTTAACCAGGTTAAGTATAAATGGTTACATGGTATCCTTGGCTCAAGTGATAAACAGCATGCGACCAGCTTATGAAATTCAAGTTGCACTTGTTGTATGTAGCTACTAAGCTGGACGTGATATATCGAATCCAGTACGGTAAACCCAACAGTACTGATCACCACACACATGGTGCAAGTACCCAGGCACCCTCATCTGTTGTCGATCAAATCATTTCGCCTTATACCATAATAACCGAAAAGAATTCTTCAAGCTTGGCTTCGCCAATATCCTCTTGACAGCCCGCGGTTTTCTTATACCGTTTTTTTGCAATAAAAGTTCACTCCAGAATAGAGCCATGGCTCGGGCAGCAATGCCATTTCTTGTGGCTCAGGCAGCAGCGGTCAGCATTGACCCTAATGCAATTTTCTGTTACATCACAGCTTTAGTGGATGATACCGAGGGTAACCCTGTAGCAGATCCCTTGGTTGGATTTAGCTTTGGAGACCCAAATATGCACCGATAATTCTCACACCAGTTCGATCGCTATGGGCTCTCCTTACGACAGGATTGAACCTATTATCGCCATCTTTCCAGGGTACAAAACCAGACCATCAGTTGTGCCATTTTCCCCCGTAGCTAAACACCCACAAGCTATCGGTCTCGTGTATGTGGCCAGTTCCACTTTGGTCATTGAGATAGCCACAAAGTTGACGGTCCCAATGACTACAACGGATACCCTCACGGGAAATTTCTCAGATCTGTGTTTAAGTGCAGTCATAAGCACAAACCCAATACCACAAGCACTGAACCCGGAGAGCTCCTCGCCCGCCGGTAGCTCTTCGGCATATGGTACATCCACAACGGGGGAAAATAATCCCTCAACCAAGATTACGTCAACCAGCGATAGCACGTTGTTCGGGAACATCTATAATCGAAACATCCACATATACGTTTTGCTCAGATGAAGTATACCATGCTGCTACAACCACTTCATACTACCCTGAACCATCGGATATTACTCTATCGGCTACAACAGAGATTCTCACCATCACTTCATGCCCTGATAACCAGTGCCACATTGTGGCCTTGACCACCCCTTACTATCCATAGTTTGATGAATCACACCATTGCTGGGAGTCCAGGAAGCGGTTGAGTCCTGCGATTTTTTGGGCCACCTTCTGTGGGGTAGTCAGGTGGCTGTACCCAAACTTCAAAAATCAATTTAAATCATGCAAGTATGACGTATCGGAAGATATAACTCTGTATGTATTCAATAGTGGAATAATGAGCTGGATCTTTTATTGCCACTTTGAGTTGATTAGCCTTCTTGGAAGATGAGTCCGATTTCACATTAGGATCACTCGGGTCGTGCACGTATATAGCCTAGTACAATTATACGAACCAAGCTCAGCCAAGCTGAGATTGTGAAATAGCACAGTTGGATCAGTATTATTGAGAAAAAAAAACAAAAAAACAACAACGACAACAACAACAACCCGTATTTCAACTCACTACCGTGCTATTGGCTTGGCTTATGATCGCTCATAGTTGGTTTGGGTAAACAGTAGATTCCAGTACACGTGATAGAAACGCGACTTTTAGGTCGTGCGCCTCCAGATTCAGTCGTCGCTCATCGGTCGTGGCGAAGTTGAGGAGGGCGTGTATACCATAACCGAAACAGAGTGCCTTCTTTCACAATACAAGACTCCTGCAATAAAAAAATAATATATATACAATGGTATGTGCTTGGCTAGATTGATTGTGACAGTTGAAGGATATTCCGTTATGGCTTGACAGCCAGTGAGCTTGTGCCATCCCCGTACTCTGAGTACTAATACGCTCAGTCTAGATCTGGTGTTTCCGTTGCCGACGAATCCTTGTCCACCTTCAACGAATTGAAGTTGGGTAAGAAGCTCAAGTACGTCATCTTTTCTCTTAACGACAAAAAGACCGAAATCGTTGTTGAGAAGACTTCCGACGAACAGGACTACGAAAAATTCTTGGAAGACTTGCCAGAAAACGACTGCAGATACGCCGTGTACGATTTCGAATACGAAATTGGTGGTGGTGAAGGGAAGAGATCCAAGATTGTCTTCTTCACTTGGTCCCCAGACACTGCCCCAGTCAGAGCGAAGATGGTCTACGCCTCTTCCAAGGATGCCTTGAGAAGAGCCTTGAACGGTGTCTCTACCGACATCCAGGGTACGGACTTTTCTGAGGTTGCCTTTGAATCCGTCTTGGAGACTGTTTCCAAGGGCGCTGGCTCCCACTAAATGGCATTGCATCCACCGTGCCTCTCGGTATATATTACTCTTTTCTCTAACCTCCACATCTTCCTAACCCTTTCCCTATATATGCATGTATTATACAAGTATGTTGCTATCCTTATAGGGTGTAGGCATGTATTCGAATCAGAGATGAGGTTGCCTTGAGGGACATTTGATTAAGGTGCTCCTTGGCAAAATGGTTCTTGGCAGAGTGGCTCTTGGCTTTATGCTCGGAGTTCTCGCACGCAAGTCATCATACTGGGTACTTTCTAAAGCAGGCTAAATGTTTGGGCGAAAACATTGGCTACTAGTGTCAATCGTCAATATTGTTATGCCTAAACAGCTCGATATATGATGGACAATACTTTGGTCGCATGATCCTCCTTGTACATCGTTATTGGAGCGGCAGCAAAAAAGCTCCGACAATAGCTAATATATTTTTTTAATAATAAGCCGAATAGTTCAACAAACCATCCGTCCCTACAGCGTACCAGAGACAAACACTGCCATTCAGGGGTTTACCGGAAATGCTACGGTGTCACTTAACTGCATGTGGCTCGTGCATTGTGGCTTTACCCCTGAACAGGATAGGTGGCTGACAGGTCAAGCGCGGTGTTATGTAACAGGCCGTTACATAGCGCCTTCACATAACACCATCTCCACGCCATAAGACTTCTCCCCATAAGACTTCTTCCCATAAGACTTCTCCCCATATGAATACCCAGACAACATCCAGCATAGAAGCTCGGGTTTCTGAATTGGAGCTTCAGTTAGCCACGTCTACTGCGAATGCAGAGACTGAGCCAATAGCACCGCTAGCGACCCAGTTAGCAGGACTTGCTAAGGAGTTTGAAAAGCTACACGCTAGCCACCCTGAATTGGCTCCATTTTATGCAAACTTGAGTGAGTTGAAGTTGTGGAGTGACACTATGGAGGACAGCTTCTCAACTGTGCCGTTACAGGATGTCCAACAAATTCTTCTAGCCAACTACGAGCGACTCCGGGACCAGTTAGAAGCTCTTGTTGAGCTCCAGACGTTTGCTCAAACTCATAACATGAACAATTTAATGTTGGTGTCTCCAGAAATCCTTGCATACACTGCTCGATTACGTCACTTGGAGCAGGAGCCTAGCGACCTTAGAGCACAAGAACTTCGGTGTAACGAAACGAGCGTTCAGAGCATGGTGTTGTGCGAGCGGTATTTGGAACTCCAGTTGGAGAAGAATAGATTCATGGTGGACGTGGAGGCGCGTTTAAAAGCTTTGACGAGGAGATTGGGTCTGGTGGAGAGAGCGAGAAAAGGGGACGATGAGGTTTACTAAGCGCTTTGACTGCCATGCCACCGGCATCATCAAACAGACGTACCCGGGAAGCAAAAAAAAAAGCTGGTAAGTCTCCTGCCTTTTTCTCTACGGGTATATTGAATTAGTGCCTACAAGGTTTTTACAAGCGGTATGACTACAGGCTCAGATTCTTATTACAATTCAAATGAGCCATCCCATGCGCTAGCCATTGATATAAGAGAGCTCTGGTGATAGGTTGAGGTGAAGCGGAAGTTTGCTATGTTTTGGCAATAGGTATGAGAGATTGTCACCGTCTAAATATCCATATTTGTCACTGTCTAAGTATCCACCTTTTTCTCAAGCTCCAGTGGATATTCCAAAGATACTGGCTAATGGACGACGATGAATTCCATAATACTGCCGTCGAGTTAGTCAGAAATGGATCGGACCCCGTTCGCCGTCCACCTTAAACCCCAGTTTTATAACAACTCGCCTTGGAAACATCGCCACTTTACCCTGGAAGCGCTTTCATTTCACCTAGCAAGAACAATTGATTAATCCTGGGAGAATTATCTTCTGCAGGCAGAATCTTGCCCCAATACCCACTTTGAAAGCTAAGAGTGTCAATATTGGAGCCGGAATATTATTCACCGCATGGGCAATATAGTTAAAGACGGTTTTCTCTGAAGAGGTTGGATCATTAGTAGACCGTGTTTAGAATTGGCCCATCCGTCACAGGTACTGATAGTCGCAAACATAGGAAGCTCAACAGGAAAGCACTAAATAATACCAATTTCACTACGACTTGCTGAAACGGTCGCTCATAGCAAACTTACCAAATGCACTATGGGACGATCATCCATACGTCAGAGCATGCACATAAGGGATTCGCGGTTTAGGAATTGTATGAGCTTGTTCAATAAACCTCAACAGGATATCTGGGCATAAGAGGGATGTCGTCAGTCCCACAATCTATCAGGAATATCCTAGAGACTTTGACGGCACCAGCTGATCAACACCTTACATCCTAAGCTTAGAACAAACAGGATTTATAAAATGTGGAGTGTTTCTGGAGTTTTTGACGGCGGGCTAGCGATAGCAATTATGTATTACAATTAATAGTTTGTTTATGAAACATCCGAGCAGCTGGACACAGAGAAAAAGGATCTAGCGTTTCAGTATGTCACATGCAAGGGGTATTGCGCCATTTTCAAGGGATTTTACCAATGTTGGGATGAACGGTGGTAGATCAGACTTTTGTAAAACTGTACGTAAACTCTGCACCTCAACCGTGGTAACAAGACTCAAGCCGATAAAAAGGGTATTAAAAATTCCTTAGAAAACGGTAAAGGTGTGTGGCTAAAATTCAAGCCCTAGGACCACAGTTCTGTGTCCATCACGGACAGATTGCTATTATGTAGCCCCACAAATTTCGTTGGGAAAACCACATTCTCGTGCCGATGATCCAGCCGGAAGAACCATCCTCCGTTGGGTCTACAGAGACCTTTTCAATGAAATCCCTGTTTGAAGCCATATCAAATATATCTTGGTATGAACACCATGGCTGAATATTTATTGGTCTAGACCCTCTATGCGGCTTATTCAGCGAAATATCCACTCCGTTGCACTTCGCGAACACCTACGGGTCACGCCGAAAAAAAACTTCGCGATCCCTGCCATTGGGGCGCCCAGTGACGTAAACTTCTGCCGCCGGATCTTTCAAGAATCTAAACAACACACAAGTGTATCACCAACTCCACGCTCTAACCTGGCTAACCTACTCAAACACAGCATACGCCTGAACTCCATCCTTGCCGGAATTTACAGACTCCTCGATAGCCATGAACCACAAGATGTTTGACCTAGAGCCAAACCCGTTCGAGCAATCGTTTGCAAGCAAGGAAAAGCCGGACGGGCCCCAAGCCAAGCCACTCACGGCGCTTCTGACGTCGTCCCCTTCGCTCCTCACGCCTGGCGGCTCGCGCAAACTCCCGCCACTCGTCCTCTCACCGAATTTGCAGCTGCACCCCAACGTGCCCGCCGGGGGCGCCAACCCGTGGCGCAATTTCAAGACGGACTTCTCGCCAACCGGCTTGACACAGCCGAAGAACGGCCCGTCGTCGTACTTTTCCGCCATGAACGGAACCCGTTCAGGGCTCACGCCAAATGAGTCAAACTTGCGAACCGGTTTAACGCCAGGAGACATGGGCGTGCAGTTACCGGGGATTTCACACCCGCCGCTCATAGCCTCAGCGAGCGGGCTCATGACCCCTGGCTTACAGTCGCTTCTCGGGTCGCTTCCGTCGTTTACCCCTGGGGGCAACGCGACAAATGCCACGGCTGGGATGGGCATGATGGGCGCGGAGATGAAGCCAGAGATTCCTGTGGAGGTGAAGCAGGAGGGCGAGAAGCGCAAGCGCGAGGGCTCTGAGGAGACGGAAAAAGAGCGCAAAACCAGCGACGTGGAGAAGAAGCGCAAGAAAAAGAAGGTGAAGTCGCCGGAGGAAGCGATCGACTACGACGATGACGAGGCCACTAAGGGCTTCACGGAGGAGGAGAAGCGCAGACACTTCCTCGAGCGCAACCGGCTTGCGGCATCCAAGTGCCGCGCGCGCAAGAAGGAGCACATCACCAAGATGACCCAGGAGTTAAAATTCTACGCCACCGAGTGCTCCAACTTGACCCACCAGCTCAACATGGTCCGCGAACAGGTTTTGAATTTGCGCTCCGTGCTCTTCAACCACAAGCACTGCCCCGCATTGGCCGATTCCGTCGGCGGCGTTGACGGCTTAAATGCGCTCCTCCAGGCGACAAACTACGCGGCGCAGTTGGTTTCAAACAATCCGATCGGCACGAACCTCGTTGCGAACGGGGTCCAGCCGCCGCCGCCATCCGGGATCGTCGAGGCGTCCGTGCCGACAGCCGTTAACGGCGGGATCATTCCAAGCAACATTGCGCCGCTGGGCGGGTTGGGCGATGCGGGTGAAGTCAAACCCACGATCAACTCCATGATGCCGCCAATGATGAACGTGGATATGCCGCAGCAGCTTATGGGGATGAACGAGGTCGGGAGTGACATGATAGGCATACAGATGATGCAGAGGTAGTCTGGGGTTTCTTTTCTTTTGGTTTCGTATTAATGATGTGTATTTTTAAACGGTGTAGGAGGGTGGCAGGGTCGATTTTTTCACGCGGTGACCGCGGCTTAAGCTTAGGTGGGTATTTGGATGCAAGGGAACGAGTTGTCGAATGGAATAGGCGTCGTCACGGTGAATGATAAATGGAAGTGACTGCGGGTTGAGCTTTACTTAACCTTCGTACCCAATATGACAAACAACGAATAAGCACCACCATACTCCAAGGTCTGGTATTTGAATTTCCCACAATTCACTTTTAGCCCATATTTTGTGATACCGCGTCGTTTCAGGCAAACAAAGAGGCCTATGTAAGACCTCGTCTATTATCCAGTTATATCCCTCATTCACGCCACTGAACCATCTTAGCATTCAAAAGGAAACATGCCTGTACAATCCTCTTTTTTAGGCCATCCACCTTACGTTTCATGATACAAACTATTTACTATGCTTGTGTTCCAACTATCTAAGTTTCTCTATAGACGTATGGACCTTCCTTGGCGACACAGCCGACATGGATCTCACCGTTAGGGACTGGAACGCCGCTTTCGTCCTCCAAGCCACACTCAACCTTGTCACCAACCTCCAAGGTACTGACACCCTGCGGGGTCCCGGTCAAAATAATGTCCCCCTTCTGCAACGTCATGACACGGGACATAGTTCTGAGGATTTCGTCAATCTTAGTGATCATCAAACCGGTGGAGTCATTCTGCCTGGTCTGACCGTTGACCTTCAACCAGATGGTCAACTTGTATGGGTCCTCAATGGCCTCCTTTGGGATAAATGGCGACATTGGGCAGTAGGTGTCGAAACCCTTACCGATGGACCACGGCAAACCCTTTTTCTTGGCTTCGTCTTGCACGTTACGGGCAGTCAAGTCAATGGCCAAAGCGTACCCGGAAATGGCGTTCAATGCATCCTGGGAGCTGAAGCTGTCTGGCAAGTTGACCAAGTCCCTGTTGAGAATCACTGCCAACTCAATCTCGTGGTGGGTGGTTACACCTTTAGGCAACTGGATAGCACCGGCGCCTGGAGCCAAGAGAGAGGTGGTGGGCTTGAGGAAGAAGAATGGCAGCTGAGGAGTAGCATTGTTGAGTTCTTTGATATGGGCATGGTAGTTACGTCCGATGCAGACGATTTTGCGGGCTGCTTGAAGGTATTGGAGAGACATTTTGGCGATAAGAAAGAAGACGAGTGGAAAATGTGGATCGATCGACATTTGCATGTATATCCCATGGATGAGTTTTCCACCGAGGTTCGCGGCACCGGGCCGTGACCTTAGAGAATCTGGGGTCCGGACCGGCTCCGAGCCACGCACGGAAAAGTGATACTCCGGCGCTCCTTGTTTGAAAATACCAGGAAGCCAGAGAGTTGGGAAATATAGGGGACTTTAGCACCATCAATGGGAGGTGGAATAAAGAACGTTGTGGATGAAAAAAAATAGAGAACCCACGGCGAGAGTCGAACTCGCAATCTTTTGATTAGAAGTCAAACGCGTTAACCATTACGCTACGCAGGCATGTCTTGGGAGAAATGGAGTCATACTGAGGTAAGCCATGGGAAGAGATGGGTTCATTTACTACGTTACCATGTATTAGTGAGGTCTCTTGACGCTGACAAAAATTGGAGTTAATTCCCTTCGATAGGTTTAAAAAGTCATATACCGTGGAGTGTTTATGAACTGGTAAGACCAAGCTTGCCTCAGGTACAAGCAGACGCACAGAAGTGCAGCCTCCGAGTCAAACCTGAATTTAAGTCGATTTTACGGCTCAATCACCGAAAGTCTTTGGTTTAAATTGAGCTCCAGCGGAATAGAATATCAGACTTCAAAGATCATGTGCACTAACTGAGGGCATCAGTAACGTCCGTCAAATGGTCGTGTGCATTCAAAATAGTCGTGTGCTATCCGTATTATCCCGCCAATTAGACCACCACAATATTTTTTACGTGCCGCACTATACAACACAGCAGCCTCTTCTACCACACGTACAACAAGCTAACCAAATCAGTAACAATGTGGTGGGTTTTCACTAAACAAATCAAAGCGTCCTTGAGAAAGGGCCAAGGTGTGCCTCACGGTATCAGAATGGGTGGTTTCTTGTTGGGTGGCTACTCCCTCTATGCCTACATAATGACCTCCGGTCCGAGCAACAACGCCTTGCAAGCCGACAAGAGATACGGTGCGGTTAACGGCAAGTACGCCTACGATCACCACGAGGCGATCAAACCAGTCATCAAGTACTAGACACTCCACACGCATCCATTAGCTTTCACCGGAACAGGCTACGCCGCAAGCTCATAGGGTGGGCACCGTGACGAGCCTATTCTCTGTCATTTGCGACTTTACACATCTTTTTACATTTCTTTCCTTTTCTCCACGGGTTATTTACGTCATTATTTATTATTTGCATACGGTGTAGGAGGGGTGCATGGGGCCAAACTTGGGGTTCAAAAGACCAAGACGGTTTAGCTGCTAGATGCGCAGTCTCAGATACCGAAACTGCTAATCAGTGCTAAGGCCACCTGGACGCGCTTGTAGAGATGAGGTGACTGTTTTTGTAGGTAGATGCATGGGCCATCTCTCAGTCTTGTGGGGATAGAGTGCATTGTACATGTGAGCATTAGAGAGTAAGGGTACCCGATCCTAGGCCATTTGGTTTCTAGAGACATCAATGGTTCGGCAAGACTACAGAATCAGCCGCGTTCACCGGAAAGGGTCAAACCCTAGTGATCCTAGCCGAGAATTGAAAGGCCCCGTACAGGAACTATGTCTATTACACCAGTGAGGGATAAACCCGAATCCAAATGTTAGCCAGTTAGACAAACACCCCTTCTAAGCCTATCGCCTGATTCGTTCCAAGAAACCAGTCTCCCGTCCGATATCGTATACAATTTATTGGGCTCTTCTAGCCCTCCGCCTTAACCTTCCCTCTTACACCACCCCGCCCTTTGGCGGCGAAAACTGTCTCAAAGTTACCCCACCCTGGCGCAAAACTTCTGCGCTCTGCTCATCCATGTTATATGACTGGCTGTAAACAACCTCCTTTACCCCACACTGCACAATTTTGATGGAACAAGTCAAACAGGGACACGTGTTGCAGTACAAGACCACGCCGTCAGTACCGTTTCCCGACCCCAAACGCTCCTTTCCGCTCTCGAGAAGCGCATTCTCTTCAGCGTGCAAACACAAGCACGTGGCAAGCAACCCCGAAGTACCCGAATTGCAGCGCGGACACCCCCCCTCATTGCAGTTTGTCAAGCCGCGTGGAGTCCCGTTGTACCCAGTCGCCATGACCCGGTGGTTCTTTACGATAACACAGCCAACACGGCGCTTCATGCAGTTGGAGCGCAAGGCCGCCAAGTCTGCAAGAGACATGAAGTACGCGTCCCAGGTAGGCCGCAAGCGTGTGGGGTCGAGTAAGTTGAGGGACGAAAGCTGGTTGTAGAGGTCAGAAAGCGACGTTTTCGTGTTGAGGACGACGAGCGACGCGCTGTGCACCACTGCATGGAGCGACGAGTACAAGAGTTCATCAGAGGCCGCGGAAAACTCCTCGAAGGAGAGGCTGGAACGCTGGCGCTGGAAGCGCACAGCCAACGGTGCATCCACCGCGATGTGGAGGAAAAATGGCCGGATCTGCAACTTGTCCAAGTCTTTCTGGTGCAAGATGTTGGTCATCACAAAGTTATGGTCGTAGTACTTGGTCACATGGGCAATAAGCTCCTCGATGTTGGCGAAAGTGTGACTAGGGGCTAAGGACAGATCTGAAGAGAAGTCTGCCAAAGTGCTAATGAACAGGAACCCCTGGAAGGTCAAGTAGCGCGCAATTTCCGTTTTTCCCGAGGCAACAGGGCCCGAAACGCCAATCAACATGGTTTACCGATAAAAAGACAAGAGTAAAGATGTGAATCTTTTTGATGTGAAAAATGACGCGTCCGCGCGTGCGGCTGGGGACGTGCAAAAGTCCACGGTGTAGCCGATATGGGGTCTGGAGGTGTAAGAACGATTATCTCTACTTGTTATATCGAGCAACGATTCAAATTCACAAAACTGTGGCCTAAAATATCCTCATAGTTATTTGGCTTTATTTACCACAAGTTAAATTAAAAGAACCAGCTTTGTAGAGGCAAGTGAAGCTGCAGTCAAGGCCTGAAGAGGAATTAATTGGGATGCACCTGCTTATTTTGTATCCCCCATACATCCATGATCACCTTGTGGAAACTAAATCGCTACAATTCCAAACTTTTAAATCATACAGAAGCTACAAAAATGCTACCAGGGAAAGGTGTGCAATTCTTGGGACCAACCCTCTTCCCTCCAAGGTCATCGGTGCGGCTGTGGTTTTGAGCGCTGCGCGATGACCTACAAAAATGTCTGAAAAATCTTTAGTCTATCAACTTGGGCCCTACCCCAGTACACCATCATGAAGCATCCATTCCAACTTATTCTCAGTGACAAGTCCGGCGAGCACCTCTTTACTTCTGCCAAACACCACATCCAGGTTTTTAGCACCGCTACCGGTGCCATTGTCGGGTCGTGGGTCGACACCGTGGACATCATGGAGCCGCTCAAGAAGCAGCAGCTCAAGAAGATCCGTGCCTTGGAGGCGCAACATGCGAGAGACATAAAGGAAGCCGAAGCCGCTGCTGCCGCCGAGCCTGATGCCAAGAAGCAGAAGATCGAGGTCAAGCCGATCAGAATTCCAAAGATCCCAACCCCGGGTCCTGGCGCGCCTCCAGTCTACAACTTCATCCGTGTGCTCCACCTCACGGCGGACGAAAAGTACTTGGTCGGTACCACCGACTCTGACAAGGCCATCATCATGTTTGAGCTCGATTTCAGCCAGGATAACTGCTTGCGCTTGGTGAAGAGACAATGTTTGGCCAAGAGGCCTTGCGCCATTGCGTCCTCCGAGGATTCCTCGCAGATGATTGTGGGAGACAAGTTCGGTGACGTTTACAACATTGGAGTAACTACGCCGGCAGTGGAAGACTTGAAGACTTTCCCGCAGCCAATCTTGGGCCACGTTTCCATGTTGAGCGACGTTGTGTATGCCAAGCACGACGGCAAGGAGTACGTCTTGACCGCCGACAGGGACGAGCATGTGAGAGTCTCGCACTTCCCAAAGAGCTATGTCATCAAGAAGTGGTTGTTTGGCCACAAGGAGTTTGTCACAAACATGCTCATTCCGTCCTGGGCCCCGGAGCGCTTGGTCACCTCCGGCGGTGACGACTTCATCTGCTCCTGGGACTGGACCGCAGAGACAAACAACCTCTTGGACACCTTTTCCGTCAGAGATTTGGTCTTACCGTTCCTATCGGACTACCACATCGCCCCAGAGCGGTTCTGGACCGAGGAGGAGGCTGCCGATAGGTCATTGCTCGAGCGCGAAATCACCATCCAGAAGATCCTTGCGGTCGAAAAGTACAAGTTGTTGGTCGTTTTGGCTGAAAACACCAATGCCTTGTTTGTGTTGAACTTGGCCGATGACGGGAAGATCACCTACAACCAGACCCTTACCACCGACTCCCAGATCATCACCTTCTCCGTTGACGCAAACGCCAGGATGTACGTCGGGTTGGACAACAAGGACGGCCATTTATTGGATGTGTACCAGTTCCAGTCGGCGTCTGATGTCGAAAAGTTGGCCAGCACCACGATGGACCAGATTGCCGCTAACTCTGTGGTCGAGGTTGAAAAGGCCGACGACATCTATCCGTTGTACCACGCTGCCGCCTTAAGAAAGAGAAGCGAGTTTTCCTAGAGAGAGCATGTAATATATGAGCATAGTCGAGGTGTGTTGTAGAGAGCGGGTAGGAATTTTGTCTTATAAGCTGTATCGAGGGTTTATGGAAAGGGATATCATCCTGAAGTAGGACCTTGAGCAGTATGTAATGGCCGTTTGGCCGAGTGGTCTAAGGCGTCTGACTCAAGATCAGATCTCGTAAGAGGCAAGCGTTCGAACCGCTTAGCGGTCATTATCTTTTTCAATAACTTTACCATAGTTTATCCCTAGAACTGCCCTTTTTTTTTTCAGTTTAGGAGAGGAAATTTGGTGGTGTGCTACTTTTTTTTCCCCCTTGGTTTTGATCGAAACTCTGCTAAACCAAATCTCACAAGTCTCATAAGTACAATTTCCCGCTATAAATTACATCTAAATACCTTGGTAAACGCTTTGGGAGCGGAGTAGCTGGGACACCTGGATCAATACCGCAGTCTTGTCCTTCATATAGTTCTCCACCGCCTTGGCGGTAGCGTTCCAACACTCCCCTTCGTTAATAAGCTCCACCTGCTCAAACTCCGCCATGAATGATTCCATTTCACCGCCAAGCTTCTGCTGCATAAACGTGTAGTACCACGCCCAGTGGTCCCCGTTCGCGGGGTCCGCCTTAACAGCTCTGTCAAACCAGGTTCTGGCCTTGGTAAACTTGCCATCCTTCCAGAACTGCACCCCGATGAAGCACAATATCCGGCTGGAGTTACCGGTCTTCAGAAGCGCATCCATCATCCCATTCTTCCGCTGCGACGCCTTCTCGCACAACGGGAGGTACTCGCACCAAACGGCAGCTGAGTGGGGAAACTTGCTCAATGCCGCGACGGAAGCCGCCCGCGCCTGCTTTACGTTGTTCTGGCGGTTCTCAAGTCGGATCTTCGCTACCCACAACTCTGGAAGCGTCGGGTTCTTCAAGATCGCCTGGTCTAGCGTGGACCGTGCTCTAATCACCACACCAAGATGTTCGTCCGTGAGCGCAAGCAGCGTCCAGAGAGCAAGTGACGAAGGGCATTGCTTGGTCCCGGCAAGGTAGGCATTTCGGGCCGAGGCGAGGCCGTGGGGGGGTTGGGCACTGGAACCTTCAATCGCTTTTGCGTAAGGGTCCTCAGTCTCGATCTGACCTCTTTGCAAATGCAACTTCTCGCACCCCGGAAATTTCCTCAACCCCTCCTCTACCAACGTCTCCGCCTCCTTCCTCATTCCCATAAATCTTAGAAAATGGACGTTCTTGTACCACAACCTCACACTCGTTCCACGAGCTTCTGCAAAAAACGCCTTTGCCTTGGTAAAATCCCCCGTAGCCGTGGCAAGCTTGATTTTTGCGAGCCAGACCTCCTCGTTGTGCGGGATGAAGCCCAACGCCTCCTGGAGCACCTGCTCTGCACCAGTGACGTCGTTAGCATCCTGCCATCTTGATTTCGCGTACATCAACCACAAGAGTTCGCTCTCGGAGTTGAACTTCAATGCCTCCTGGAACACCTGGTGCAACCGGGGAATGTCGCGCCTTTCCAACCCGGTGTAGTGGAGCCAGACATCTATGTTGGTTGGGTACTGGCGCGAAAGTACGGCGTAGATGGAGCGAGCCACCTGGGGGTAATCGCCCTCCACCGCATTTTGTGCCGCGATAACGCAATCAGCGATGATAGATTCTTCTTCCATGGTGTAGTTCTTGCTGGAAATGTCCCGTTCCAACACCGTTCGCGTGATAATCTCGCAGCAGAGTGGAAATCCCAGACTTTCGCACTCCATCGCGATAGCAATCCAGGTGTCCTTGTCGGGCCCCTGTGTATTCGTTCCCTCCTCCATTTCTAGTCTGCGGATCGCCATGTTAAACAACCTTTCAATCTTCACTTCATTGCCAGTTGCCCCCTCCTCAAGCTTCATTGCCGCGAGCCAGATCTCGTGCGATCGCGGGTTGTACTTCCTCGCTTCACCTAGCCACTGTTTCTTTGCTTCCAACTCCTCTGCCCCGTCAATAAGCATCAACCAGAGGTCTATGGATTGAGGAATAAGACTCACCGCCTTGCGGAGAAGCTTGGTTTTGTTTGCGGCAGCGGGCTCTAGTCCCACGGCCGCCTTCCAGAGCTCGCTGCTGCCGGGATTCGCCTCAATGGCCTTTCTCACCACTCTGCTCTTCTCCGTCTCCAAGGCTATTGCCGCCTGCCAGAGCCGAACGCTGCTTCCATTAAATTTCAAAGCTTCGCTGATGATTAGCTTCTGCTGCTTCGGTTGCGAACCATGGATCCGTAAACTCTCCATCCAGACATCTTCGCTGAACTTGTTGAGCAGACATCCCTCGTTGATAAGCCGGCGCGCGGCATCGTACTTGCGCGCACTCTCCTCCAACCGTGCGCTCATGATCCAGTTCCGCGGCACGTGGGGCGCTGTTTTGCGCAAGGACCGGAAGATTGACCGTGTTTTTTGCATGTCTGATATCTCGTCGGTGGAAAAAGACTCGGTGTCTGCCTGGAGATACGCAGCTGAGTCCACGGAAGCCGTTTCACCTGCGTTTCGGTCCAACTGGTGGCCCAACATCTGGTCTCGGGCGCGCGAAATTGACTCAAAATCTGTTTCCTCGTCCACAATGGATGTCTCTGTCGCGGTAGAACTCGCAAGCCCGCTGAGAATGCTGTCGGGCATTGCGTACGACCGCTGTTGGGACTGTAACAATTGGCGCTGCCGCTTATTGCGGCGAGTCAAGTCGCCCACTTCGGGAAGATTTGCCCATTGGTCCGCGGAAACTGTCGCTAAGGACCGCTTCAAGTCATTGAACTGGTCTGAGATCTGGGTTTCTGGCTCTACTTCCACCTCCGGCTTTATCCGCGTCATCCGCGATTCAATTTCCGCATAGATCCGGTCCGCTTCAATGTCTTCATCTGCATCTGCAAACAACCCTTCGTCGTCGCTCTGATCCTCGCTCGCTGCAAACCCGGGCTCTAACCGCGCCGGACCGAGGTCTGAGCGTGTGGTGAACCCTGTGGCCCCTCGTCCAAGTCCCGCAACGTAGCCTGGAGGCGGTGTTTGATCTAAAAACGCTTTTCGCTCCATAAAAAGTAGCAACACAAAGTATTTCTGGTAGGGTGGAGAGAAAACGGGAGGGGCAAGGTTTCGCAAAATAGAGCGTAAAGTTTGCAATTCATGTGAGCACGTGAGACGCACCATATTTAGATCTAGAAATCTGCGCCACATTGGTGGCTGGTTCTTATCAGACATAAATGGGAAACCCGCTTTGTGTTGTTTTTTGAAGCCTCTTATATTGACTATAGCGTAGGAAAACCGATATATTGAGAATATGAAATGTTGTTGTATAAAATTGAGGCCCCTATGATACCAGAATAATAGCCTTAATTTTTATCGTCACTAAATCACTGTTTCTCATTTTAGCCATAGATCAATGTCTTTTGTACATTCCACCAAAGCTCGTGTTGAGACTTGGCTTACTAGCAGACTCCAACGGTTGCCAACCACCGTCACACCAGCCACTTTCTTAGCCAAACGTTGCTTTATCACGTGCGTCGCCTTTCAAATCCACGCACCCTACCTCATCCAGCTTTAATGCCCTTTATAGACTAACCCCGTAAAATAAAATACCAATAGTTTCTCTTATGAAAAATCCTTTACTATATGTATACAATTTATAAGCTCTTCGTTTATATCTCCTCGCTGTGTTTATCCTCTATGTGCCGGATCTGCGGGTAACCTCATCGGAATTTTTCAAATTTTTTTCTGCCTACGTTAAAACATGCAATCTGCCCCCCCTCTCACACCCACATAAAGCCTTACCCTCTACACAACACAATGGCCAAGAGACCCGCTGAGGAGCCAGTTCAAGGTAGCGCATCTGCTGCCAAGACGTCCGCTTCCGCTTTACCACCAACCACCGCGGCTGTTCAACAGGATGCCACCGATGTCGCAATGGGCGAATTTGAGGACCCATACGGTGACGACTTCGAATCTGACGGTGAAATCATCGAGATTGACTCCGAAAACAGTGACGAAGAAGATGCCGAAAAGGTGATTGAAGAGGACAAGATCGAGGAGCTTGATCAGCAGGAAATCTACCTCCCGCACAAATCGCGTCCGTTGGGCCCCGATGAGGTCTTGGAGGCCGACCCGTCCGTGTACGAGATGCTCCACAACATTACTTTGCCATGGCCATGTTTGACCTTGGATATTTTGCCAGACAACTTGGGCGCTGAGAGAAGAAACTACCCCGCCACCATGTACGTCGCAACGGCTACTCAGGCATCCAAGAACAAAGACAATGAACTCCTTACGATGAAGCTCTCTTCGCTCTCCAAGACGCTTGTGAAAGACGAGGAGGATGAGGAGGAGTCTGACGATGAAGACGTGGACGCTGACCCGATCATGGAGTCCGAGAGCATTCCGTTGAAGCACACCACCAACAGATTGCGAGTGTCTCCATTTGCCTCGTCCACCGGCGAGTACTTGACCTCCACCTGGAGTGAAAGTGGGGAGGTGCACATTTTTGACTTGTCCTCGCAGTTTAAGGCGTTTGACGAGCCGGGCTACATGATTCCAAAGTCCGCCAAGAAGCCGCTTCACACCGTAAAGGTTCACGGGAACGTCGAAGGGTATGGGTTGGACTGGTCACCGCTTATCTCTACCGGTGCCTTGTTGTCCGGTGACATGAGCGGGAAGATCCACTTGACCACCAGAACAACCTCCAGCTGGGTCACTGACAAGACCGCCTTCCAAGCGTCAAGCGAGTCAATCGAAGATTTGCAGTGGTCCCATTCCGAAAACACCGTCTTTGCCTCTGCGGGCTGTGATGGGATGGTGCGCGTCTGGGACACCAGATCTAAGAAGCACAAGCCAGCAATCTCCGTCAAGGCATCTGCCACCGACGTCAACGTTATTTCCTGGTGCGAAAAAATCAACTACCTCTTGGCTTCCGGGCATGACGATGGTTCCTGGTCCGTCTGGGACTTGAGAAACTTTTCGCCAAACGCGCAGCCGGCGCCGGTTGCTCACTACGACTTCCACCAGTCGCCAATCACGTCCATTTCGTTCAACCCGAACGACGAATCCATTTTGGCAGTGTCTTCCCAGGATAACACCGTGACCTTGTGGGACTTATCGGTTGAGGCCGATGACGAGGAGATTATTGAGCAGAGGGCGCAGGTCAAGGGAATGGAGGACATTCCGCCACAGTTGTTGTTCGTGCACTGGCAGAAGGAGGTCAAGGATGTCAGATGGCACAAGCAGATTCCGGGTGCGTTGGTGAGTACCGGTGGGGATGGTTTAAATGTGTGGAAGACGATCTCTGTGTAAGCGAGAGGTAGCGGACCTGGCAAAAGGTCAGGCAGAGTCTTACACAGGTCGAGCTGAATCCTTAGCCGCAATTGTTTGACATTTTGTTGAAGTTTTCTTTTTCTTCCTTTTTTTGTTGCATGACTGTCCCTGGACTGTCCTTATTATATTGTATATTATAAAAATGTTTGGTTAAAGAGGATGTCTAGCCCTGATCGAAGGTCTAAACACGTCAATTGAAGGGCATAGTCAACCTGTACCAAACCCACTTCCACACGTGACCAAATCTGCTAAACACTTATTACTATGACAATCCGCAAAAAAAATACCACCGTTAATCGCTATTAAATTTCAAATATCTCTGGGATCTGTTCACCTTTCTCTGAAACAAATTGACACCTTTTCCCCAGCCCTAACTGACACATCAATACAGGTCTCGCTCACGTGACCCCTTTGAAATTCGAACGCCTCGATTCCCGACAGCAAGGGGCTGCATCGAACCTTCAATATCAAAACAAAACTATACACCTATCCAACCTCCCAACCAGACACCAAACCTTACACAATGTCCAGGGACACACATAGAATGGACGACCTCCCGTCAAAACCTGTGCGCGCGACGCTAGAACAGAAGCTCATGATTCTCGATTACTACCACCTGAGCGGCGGGCCGCAGTCTGACACGGTGGAGAAGTTCAAGTCGCTTATTTCGATCTCCACATCCTCCTTCAGTGAATGGCTCAAGCACGAGCCGGAGCTCCGTGGGCGCTACGACGGGACCAAGGACTACTTCCGGAATGGGAAGCGCAAGGTGCACTTCAAGTACGAAAAGATCAACGCCGCGATGGATGACATGGTGGAGAACCGCAAGCTGAAGGGCCTACCGCTCAATGAGCCGGTGCTTCGCGAACACTGGGTGCTCTATGCCAAGGAGTTTGGTGTGGACGACCCCAAGCGGTTGGAAGGGTTCAGTCACGGCTGGTTATCGCAGTTCAAAAAGCGGCACGCGCTCGATCGAAGTTCCATGGGGAAGAACCAGTTCACAAAGCTGCGCGCGCTCTTACCCATACCTGAGACCCTCACAGGGAAATTTGAGGCTCAGGGTGAATCGTATGTGCGCCAGGAAAACGGCACTGTTTCATCCAACTCCAGTGTCCAGTCAGAGCCGTATCCGATGCGCCCCCAGCGGGGCTTTGGGTACGCGGGACAGGTACAGAACTACCTTCCATTGGATAACAGCTTCCGTGACCAGCCTACGTTCGAGCAGCCGTTCGAGCAGACGCGCAAGCGCCCCAGACGTGAGAAGGCCCCGGTCGAGCCTGTAGCGTCGCAGACCCAGTACGCGTCCGAGGTGTTTAGCTACAAGACTCCCGCCGAACCCGTTCCTATGGTCTTCCCCGAGACCCAACCTACCCCTCCCACCCGTCTGGTCTTGGCTGATCTAACGGCTAATGACGTGGAGAAGTTGATGTATGTGTATGTTGATGGTTTCCTCAACACCAACGCCAAGGACTATCCCGAGGCCAAGAAGGTTTTTGAGCAGTTCAAGTCGACATTTGTGAACGAACGGTTTAATTTGGAGATGCGCAGCTCGGGAAATGCCCAAGGCATGGGCGACAACATTGACCGGATGATCATGCAGACAGTGGCCCGAGACAGGCATCCGAGGTAAGAAATAAACCCGTTTAGAATTGTTAAATTATCATTAGAATCGTTTAGGTTGTTTACATTAGAACCGGTTGAATTATTTTTTATTGGGTTTTGCCTATATCACGGAGCTGGTAGAGTGAGTTTACCGAAAAAAAATGGCCCAGGAAATACTGCATGAACCGTGAAAAAGAAATGAAGACACCAACGGGATTCGAACCCGCGCGGGTAAACCCAAAGGATTGCGTCTGCGCCCGAAAGCGCAAATTCTGCGACCTTCGCCTTAACCAACTCGGCCATAGTGTCCAATTTCTGGAAGTTGGTGAAAACAGGCCAGACAGCTGGAAAATGGAAAGGGATTTGGCCGGGTAAGGTTTAGATAGTTTAACATGTATGAATGTATAGTATTTTATGGCACCAAATTCATGAACATTAAGGCTCCCGTATATCTTTGAAAATGGTTAGGCACGTGGTTTCTTAACGTACACCTATAAGGCAGTGTATACACGTGGATAAATGTACCAATGCTTATGCGCAAATCTAGAATAAACCATATACGTAGCTAAAGATTTAGGGTTCAAAGTTTGCGTAGTTTAGATCTTCCAAGCCGTGAAAATATCAAGACGGTGAAGATATCAAGTTGGAGAAGGTATATAACTTATTTAGTAAAAGAGACGAAAGGGCTCCTCATATAGTGGAAATTTGGCAATCACAGTAGAGAAATACATGTCTCAATACATGTCTTAATACATGTCTTAATACAAACTGTGTCTGAGAGGCTGTATAATACAAACCTGGAGCACTTCTGAGTCTAGTAGGTCTGTGAGACAACTAGGTATCACGCTTTCATAAATCATGGACTTCAACATTTAAGTGGGTAGTCTGTTTCTACTTACCTTCAAGCAAACTTAAGGGTTGATACATTACGCGTTAAAAAAAGGCATGTTTCTACGCACGTCCATCAACTGTCCTCATTAGCTCAGTTGGTAGAGCGTTCGGCTTTTAACCGAAACGTCCAGGGTTCGAGCCCCTGATGAGGAGCCAGCTTTTACTTTTTTTTCTCGACAGACGCGTACGCGTTTGTTTTTTTCACACTTACCTTGTCACCCTTAACACACTACACCAAAGATAACAATATGTCCTCTTCCATCCCATTCCCAGATATCAATCCATACTTGGAGCTCGGACTCGAAGACTCACGGGAGGTGACACCTCAGCAGATCCGCACCACGTACAAAAAGCTCTGCTTAAAGTATCACCCCGATAAACTCGCCCAGAGAAAGGTCAGTGAGAGTGTCGAGAAAGAAACGTTTGAGCGGATCCAGTTCGCATACAGCATTTTGAACGACATTACCAAGCGAAAGGTCTTCGATGAAACCAAGTCGGTGCGCTCTGTGTTCGATGCCGAGTTCTCTAATGATAACGACACGGTGCAGTTCTGGAGGGACTACTTCCGCGACATGAGAGACGAGGTAACGGTAGAGTTGATAGAGGAGGATAGGGCAAAGTACCAGGGCTCCGAGGAAGAGCGCACGGATATTCTCAAGTCTTTTCTCTACTACAACGGGGACTTTCTCAACTTGTTTGAGGTAATTCCCCACTTGGAGTTTACGCGTGAGGAGGAGACCAGAGTTTACGATTTAATCGTGGAGGAGATTGCAAATGAAGACTCGGTCATTGACACGGACGAACCGCTTATCCTGAAAAAGTGGACTCACTACAAAAGGAACAGGCTGAAGTTGGTTGCGCGGGAGTTGAAAAAGGTGGCCAAGGAGGCTAAGGAACTGGAAGCGCTCCAGGCAGAATTGCAGATCAACAAAGGCAAAGTAAAGGTCGATAGTGAGGACGCTTTGAAAAAGTTAATCATGAGCAAGAAGCAGACCAGTTTTGACAGTTTGATCAATAAGCTCGAGAGCAAGTACGGAGGCAAGGAAAAAAGCAAGAAGAGAGCCAGAGAGCTGAAGGAGAGTGAGCTTGATGACGATGAGTTTGAGCGCATTCAACGGGAGATGCTCGCGAAGAGTGCAAAAGGCCCGCAGAAGGCAAAGAGAGGTTAGACCGAGGGCTATTTTTCCGATCTTGTGCCCCAGGAATCGATTCAACCACTTTCATTGATTTTAATCCACTAGTGCTATAAATGTATAGTCTTATGACCTAAGGTTGGTGGGCTTGATCTTCTCAACCATTTCATATTTAGCTTCAATCGACATATCTTTGTAGTCTATAGCCAGACCCTGCAAGACTCACTCTTTCATGATACTCGGGAATACACACGTTTATTGTCTCTACACCGCCCCTCGCGTATCCCTTCAAAGATAATAACCGTATGGCATTAATGCCGTTGAAATTTTACCGTAGCCTTGAATGACGCTCTGCGCTAAACGCAGCCCGGATGAGGAAATTGGCGTGGGGAAACAGAGATCAACGTTCGGGTTTCTCCGAGTTCGCGGGGCTGGCCGTGCCACATCTAATCGTCACAGCCACCAGAGCTACCAAAGGAGAATTACCGCCCGAAGAATAATACGCATGACGTTACTCAAAGAATCTTAATATAATATTATCTCATCGAAGAATCGACAAAAACAAAGTGAAGCTACAGCCATCTATACCAGATGTCACAGTATCTATAACATGCCGTGTGCACGTGTCCCCGAGGTGCGATTAGCCATAGAACCAGCTCTTCTGCCAATCTCTTGAATATTCAAATCTTTTTTTAACACATTACATATCTATCATAGGCATACCACCGTCTGCGTCAGTTTGGGCCTAAGTACTGCTCAACCCTGAGCGCGTTCCCCCACTCAACCGTCTTCGGAACGGGTGGAACTCGGCCCGTGCCTACCGCGCCGGAATTCATTCTGCGTGGTAGCCGTCTTCGAGGTCTCTTAATCACGTGTGCCTATACTTTATCACCTTCTCCGAGGGCCGCAAAACTTCCACACGGAGACACCCATTTACGGGGCAAAGGAGCCGCCCAGCTATATAAACCCCCCGTCCGCCCCACGCTCTTTTTTCTTCTCTTCATCTTCATGTTAAAGAGGTTCATCTCACTTAGACCCTCTATTTATCTTCCCCGCCTATACTCCACAATGTCTTGTCCATACAAACAACCCGCGCACCAGTTGACCATGATCCCGGGGCCAATTGAGTTCTCCGATGAGGTCTTGTATGCCATGTCGACGCCTTCGCAGTCGCACACCTCCACCGAATTCGTCGCCACCTTCCTGTCCACCTTGAAGCAGTTGAGAAAGATCTTCAAGTCGACTGACCCTAAGGCTCAGCCATACGTGGTTGCCGGTTCCGGGACTTTGGGCTGGGACATGGCTGCCTCCAGTTTGTTAGAAGCGGGCGACAAGGCGCTTGTTTTGTCCACCGGGTTTTTTTCAGACTCGTTTGCCGAGGCCTTGAGAGTGTACGACATCAACGTTGATGTCATTTCCGCGCCGGTCGGTGACGTTGTGCCATTGGCGAAGGTTGCAGAGGCTTTGCAGAAGACCAAGTACCAAGCCATCACCATCACCCACGTCGATACCTCCACCGCGGTCGTTTCTGACATCAAGGCGATTGCTGCCAAGGTTAGAGAGTTGTCCCCGGAGACGTTGATCATCATCGACGGTGTCTGTTCTGTGGGTGCCGAAGATATCGAGTTTGACAGCTGGGGCCTCGACTACGTGCTCACCGGCTCCCAGAAGGCCCTTGGCTGCCCAGCAGGCTTGTCTATCTCCTTTGCTTCCGCCAGAGCCCAGGCAAAGGTGCTCAGCAGAGCCAAGCCGGCCACTTTCTTTGCCTCCATGAAGAGATGGACCCCAGTTATGCAGGCCTACGAGGCCGGCAGCGGTGCCTACTTTGCCACCCCAGCCATCCAGACTATCACCGCCTTGAACGTGGCGTTGAAGCAGATTTTGGACGAGGGTCTCGACGCCCGCTTGGCCAAGCAGGCCCAGGTCTCCGACAAGTTCAAGCAGGACTTGGCTTCCCTCGGCTTGCAAATCGTCCCCGTCAGCACCAAGGTCGCGGCCCACGGGTTGACCGGGATCTATTTCCCAGAAGGTGTTGCCGGCGGTGACTTGTTGGCCAAGATTGCCGGTAAGGGCATTAACGTGGCCGGTGGGATCCACAAGGATATCAAAACCAAGTACTTTAGAGTCGGTCATATGGGTGTGTCGGCCTACAGAGGTGATGTCGGCCTTGTCTTGCAAGCCCTCAAGGAGGCTTTGGCCGAGTTGGGGTACAAGAAATGAAGTGTTCGTCCTACAAAGCTTTAAGTGAGCCGAACAGGAAAATATCGTATTTGGTAGGTTATAGAAGCTTCTGCTTCGCTTGTTTTGTTGTAAAGCCTTGTAGGTTTGTGGTTTTCCAATTGGTTGCGTCCGGATGTATAAAAGTTGCTTGGTTTATATCAGCTGTACCGTCTTTCACAGAGCAAAGAGGGCAGCAATAGATTTTTATCGTTACAAGAATGTAGGTCACGCTGGATGTTGAAACGATCAAGATCCCAATGGGTGGCAGTCATTCAACAAGTTCCAGTGGTAGATCCATTAGGTAACGGTTTAGATACAATTTACGTATGGTTAAGCAGAAGAAAAAAAAGGCTCGCCTTAGGTGGGTACAGGTTTCTGGAATGGGAGAAAGAAACTCGACAAGAGGCGGTCACTGAGCATACTTTGGTGATACAAGTGGCCTGCATTGGAGGTATTTCCACTGGTTGGTAAGGCAGTGCACGTGGTTGAAGATTCAACGGCACCTACCAGAAATCGTCTTCATTAAACCTTTCGTTGGTTTGGGTCATGTTTTCGTCGGTAAACAAGTCTGCATACATAGTTTCCTTCCGGTGCTTGGCGTCTCTGATTCGCTCCCTCTCCATCCACTCGGACTCTCTTTCCTGTGCCTTGGAAGCGCGCAACGCCTCGCGATCTGCGTCGTCCTTGGCCTCACGTTCTTCTTTAAACTCCTGGACGGTCTTGATCGTGCGGGTCTTGTCCAATCGGTTGAGAATCGCGTTGTTCCTCTTGGAAATATAGTGCTTTCTCACGAGCTTCGGGTTCTTGAAGGAAACGGTACCGGTGTCCATCGACTCGTCCTTGTGCAAGTTAGAATGGGGGGTGTAGATGATGGTGATGTTGTTTTGCTTGTTACCCTTGATCGAGTTGGCTTTAGTCAACTGAGCCACCTCTTCGAGTAAATCGCCCGGAATCAGCTGCCAGTCTTCGTCTGGGTTCAAACGGAGGTACACATGGGCACTACTGAGGTTGTCCACGTGGAACCAGATATCCTGTTCGGGCCAACCATGCTTGATCAAGTGTTCGTTTTCTTGTTTGTCGAGGCCCATAAAGAGTGTGTGCCCGGAAGGCATACTTTTGAAATAGTAGACCATTGTATAGGGTAGTTCAGGGACTAGATTTTAGTAACAAGATGTGTGCAATCGGGACATTAGTGTGATTATACATGGTGTATGATGAAATTTTTTTTCCCACCTGTACATGTTTATCCTGACCTGTACAAATAGAATACTGCTAGCACCTGAATATTTACAGGGTGTAAAAAAGCTTCCATGTGTAACCGAAACGTTAAACACGAACGCATTCACGGATCCCATCTCCGATTGCTACGCATACTCCCCAGGACTAGCTGCGAAATAGACAATTTACAGAGCTTATAACATAATTTTTATTCAGGACTTGAACACAATTTTTATTCAGGACTTAAACACAAATTGGCAAAGAGCAAGAGGCAACGGTGTGCTTACTTACCGAAAACGGTGTCACCAACCTTTTGGGCGGCGGTCTTGTCCTCCTCTGGTTGGGCCTTACCAGCAGCGTTGTCAGCGGTACCAACAATGGTATCCTTGGCCTTTTCAAAAATACCCTTCTGGGAATCTGGCTTAACAGCAGCGGAGACCTTATCGGTGAAATCTTGACGACCAGCTTGAGACATTGTAATTTAGTAGAGTGGGTGATATAAATTTGGGATTTATGATCTGTAAGGAATGAATGGTGGTTAAAAGCTCGGACGCATAGCCTCTATTTATACCTTTCGCCACACTTCCCGAGTGATGTGCCAGGTTGATTGCTATGGAGTCTCGGAACTAGCAATTTCAGAGAAACTAATAGGCACCTCTCCAAGGGTGTTAGAGTTTGTTATTATGCATATGCAATGATCTAACCATACAGCCCAAGCCAATGCATTTTAGGGTCCGGCATATCGATCAGGAAAGCAAGTAATGTTACTAAAGGAAAATTCTCGAATGTGAAAAAGACGTAATAGCAATGAATCATATGCTTCGTATGTGCACACTAAACCAGATCCACCGAAATATACGAGCAATTTGGTAGAAGTTTATCGACAGGCATAAACCAACCAATTCATGAATAGACAAATACTGAAAAAGCACGGCATACAACCGGAGGTTTGCCCGCAAGACTTGGAAACGGAGTCCGCCCTGACGATCAACTAGAAACATTCTAAATCAGACTATGGATTAATACTAACCAAGGAAAAATGTTTCAGTGGAGGTTGCTAAATAATGTACGCCCAGCTTAAAGCTAGACAGATGATTCTGACATCCTTTCAGATACGATTTATCTCAAGCAACATTCCGTCACTGAGCAAGGCTCGAAAGTTGCCATCACATGCAGATGACGTAAGCCTATGGTACATGCAGGAGAGCTACTGTTGCCTGGCACTGTAGTGGAGAGCTAGCAAAGACCGTTAATTTGTTGTCAAAGATACAGCTGAACCGATAATACTAGTGACTTCAGCATTATATGAGGTATTGTCGGCACCATTACCAAATGGTGATGTAACCGTATCTAGATGGCTGCCGCCTATGATTTTCGACTTGTAAAGTCTACCCTCAGCCGCTGAGATTTCAGCAACTTGAACCGTTGACATGTTGCGAGTATAGTCTGACGTAAGTTGGAGGACAACTCTCTACCATCCCCTAAATTCTGCTTGACTGGTATGCGAACATAATTCTGTATAATTAGCAGCTGGAGACATAGCAAAGCTCTGATATCCTTCCGAATTACCCTCTATCAAGCCATACGGTGTTCGCAGTTTATAATTTAAAGCTCAGGTAACGCGATACCCCCCGAAAATACCCGACGCTCAAGATGGGTTTCGCCACAAACATATCTATTCTGACTTTTAGCGACCCGGGGTTAAGCCCTGCATTAAATGGTATCTGGATTCCGGGAATTCAAATGGTCGATCCTCGCAGGCCCATGCATTTCTGCACATCGGATTTATTACCAATAGTTCAAGGCTCTAACTATGCATCTCGAAGGATTTAGAGATCTATTTCCTCGGGCAATGACCTGGAAAATCTGACTTTCTTTGTGTGCCATTCCTGCCACCATCCAGGACCAACTCAATTACACCCCCTCTAACAAGAGCCAGCCTTTCATTAGAACCTAGGGGCCAAAAGAGTCATCAGACGGACAACCTCGATAGTTGCATCCCGCTGGTTTTAGTTTTGCCGCATCTCGGTGATGGTTAGACCGGCTTGTTTCCTCTGGGTTTTCCCCCCAAGAAAAAATCGTTTCGTATTGTCTACAATTAGCTCATGTTCTAAATTCACAGCTCCGGAATAAAATACATATTTCATTGGGGGGCATCGGGCACTTCTACAAAAAATCATAACCTCTCCACCAACACGGCCATCAGGAGTCGGGCAGACAGACACGAAGGATTGCTAGTAACAAACCCATCAAAGGTCACATGACCGGCAGATCCCTTCTCTGGCCGCTTGTATTGTGTCTTCGGTGTAAAAAAAGAACCTTAGGGTAAACTAAGTACCATGAATTTTTATCGGGCCAATTACTGCGCATCGATGCGTGGAGCGTCCCAAAACAGCCTGTGGTGCATGCACCACTGTCCATTTTGAGCCTAATCCCAACGTTCGGGAATCTAACATGTTGCCTATGCCGCATGTGAGCACTGATAACAGAAATGTGTCCCCCCCACCGGGTATGTAGTCTCTCAGAGTCCTGCCATTGCACAAATACCCAGCATCCTACGAGTGGCCTGAAAAAAAGTAGCTGGCAACCAGTTTAAATCCGTGGTCAATGGCGAACGAGTGTGGATAGAAAGAAACATGTGAGTGTGGTTCGGCCTAAATACTTTAAAATAGAGTGGATATAGCGGCAAAAAGAAACCCTAATCTCTTATCGGAAGACGCATAACAAGGAAAAAATCGTTATCCAACCTAAAACTATCGTATTGCGACATATGCACAGCTCAGAACCGCGACTTTCTCTGCCTGTAGCGGTTTATCCGGGGCATATTCATGTGCACCGTAACGCAGGGAATCACAGTGCAGCCCAGACTGGCCAAGTAGCACATCCTGAATACGAGAAATGTTTCCAAGGAGTAAACCATATCTGGCCGGATGTTACAGCCTGGATATATTCCTTACCGTGTCTACTTTCTAGGTTTGTGTTACTCTGTAAGCTTTTCCCCTACGCCCTAATACCACTTCGCCTCCCACATTTCTCACCTTTTTTTAATATGCTGCGTCCAAAAACTGAAAACCTGGATGGCTATTTGTACAGCGGCAATTCCATGCACCGCTCCACCTCCTTTCTTGATAACTATAGTGCCCTTCCGAACATGAACCCCTACCAGGGCGACCCCAATTCTCCGGAGCCGAAGCTCTCTTGCACACGGGATTTACTCAGCGACGACTCCCAGGAAAGCATCTGGAAGATGTACACCAATGCCAAGTTATCCCTTCCGTACAGAGAGCGGATTGAGAACTTGACGTGGCGGTTGATGACTATGAAAAGAAACAAGGCTAGTTCTGGACCCGTTGAAGCGAACACGTACGATGCAGTGGCCACATACTCCGAGAACTTTAGCCCCCAGTACGGTGCCTTCCAGCACTACGACACCGTCGACGACAATGACTACTTGAGCCAGTTGAAGCGAATTGCTAGAGAGGACCACGAGGCAAACTTTGCCGACCCTGCAACCAGCAAGACCTCCAGAAGCCATATGAAACGGTCGGCTGCAGACTTTTTGAGCCCAATAATTGGTCCCACCCCACAACCAGCCCCAAAATACACCTCGAACCTATCCACCTCTCTCTCGGCGGGCAAGTTTTTCTCCGAACAGTACGGCTTGGATGGGGCAAAGTTTAAAAACCCTGGCGCTCCGTTTGGCTTTAATGGAGACGATCATACCAACGCGGAGGTGTCTCTAGGGCCAATTGAAGAGTTCGCCAATAGCTTCAACGATGACCCGTCCGAGCACTGGGGCAAGGTGGTCCATCCCGAAACCCATTCCAACGGGATCAGCATTAAGCGTGCCTCTATCCAACACGACTACTACTCCAAGAACCTGTTAGGCTCCACCCACACCGCCTCTCCCGCCACCTCTGCTGCCTCCTCGTTTCACAGCTCCCATCAAGGGTTCTCCAATCTGTACCAGAATTCCCTCATTCGCGGAGGTGTTTCTGGAATCAGCAGAGTAGGCTCCCTCTCTGCATTTCCTCCTTCCTTTCCCGGATCGGCTTCTGCGTTGTCTACCAATATGCGCGGTCCGACCGGCTCTTCGAACACCGGTGGCTTTTACATACCCTCCGTCACGGAGAGAAACGCCAGCTTGTTGGTGGAAAACGGGTTCAACATGGGTGCGGGACCGGAGAACACTGTGTATTCCTCATCGCCACCTGTATCTACTGGAGACACAAAGGCGAAATCTGTCTCTTCGGCAACTGCTTCTATTGACAGATACATGGAGCAGCACTACGCCCCCCCTACATCTTTGCTTAGCACCCCTAGCGGCTCCAACACGAATCTTGCGGCGTTGGGCCACGGGGGTCTTCCCCAATCGCGAGGCTTCTCATACTTTGACATCACCCAGCCGCTACTGCACTCATCTAGCTACAACAATGGAAATGAGATGTTTATGAACGACCAGGCCTTGTCCACCTCCCAGCCAACGTTCTACCCCGGAAGTGGCGCCATTACCATTGACACCCGCCGTCCTCAAAACCTGAGAGCCAGCGAAAACGACGAAAGTGCGTCTGGAAACCTGGAGTACTTGCATCAGTTATCGGCCATGTCCGGGTCTCTTAAATCGTCGATTTTTGATCTAGCGTCGCTGAACGGAAAGAGCACCAAAGGAATCTCCACCCCTCCGACTCAAATTGATTCCAAAACTTCCTCTTTGAGCAGTAGCGTGGGGAAAAAGCCTAAGGGTACTGGTACAAAAAAGAAAGCGGCCAAGAAAGAGGAGGTGAGGAAGGATGATAAAAAGGGCCAAGCAGATTCACCTACCGGTTCAAAGGCTAACGGTACCTCGGCCTTTGTCGCTTTAGGCGGTGCTGTTCCCTACCAACCACCTTCAAACTGCTCCAACTGCAACACCAAGAACACTCCGTTGTGGCGTCGGGGGCCGGGCGGTGAGCCTTTGTGCAATGCATGTGGGTTGTTTTTGAAGTTACACGGCGTTGTGCGCCCGCTATCCTTGAAAACTGATGTTATCAAGAAGAGACAGCGCAGCGCGGGAAGTACCTCTGACAAGGAAAAGAATGACGGATCGAAGAAACACTTGGAAGGGGTTGATGAGAGCGAGGAGTCCCCGCAGACGACTGCCACCCCACCCCTGAGAGGTAAGAACGACGGTGACAACTTTAATCCACCTCCGATTGGAATTAGCCAAGGAGATCCACGTGCCAAGATACAGTCCGAGACTCAGGCTAAGGAAGAAACTGCCGATTTTGGACCTCATGAAGATCGCAGTTTTAGGGATGGGGGAGGCATTGCCGGGTTTGACTATCAACAATCTCCAGACTTGTCGGCGTTGAAGAACTTGGCGGATACCCCTCAGTTGCTTCTGTCCACAATCTATAGCGTCTCCAAGGCCCATCTGCTCACCCAGCACGGTAGCCCCTCCAGTGGGTTGAAGCACGAAGAAGACTCGCATTTGATGTTTACAGATGGGAGACATGGTGTTGAAGATGGGGATGTGGATATGAGCGACTTTGAGAATGCTTCAACTATGGTGCATAACGGCAACTTGGACTGGTTGGTAATGTAGAAAAGGAACGCCCGATGCACTCGCCTACAGTCTACAGTATGTTGTCCGTATTGGTTAAAGTTTTGTATTCGCTTGTCTTAATATAAACTATAGATGGCGCAAACTCACATTTGGTGATAGAGATAAACGCCGTAACCGTTCAAAATCCTGACCATAGGCCAGCATCGCTCACTTTCCCTCAGTCGTTGCCTTTTGTAGCTTTTCCTTTTTCAATAAAGTGCTAATATCTTCCTCGTCTATTATTGAACTGGTGGACGAGAATGGAGTCTCATAGGCAGCTTGTGGAGTGGTCATGTTACCCCCAGAGATGATGGAGTTAAGTCTTGACGACAGCGTACGGGAAGAGGGCTGAGGCTCAGTCGCACTTATGCTGTCATTAGTGGCAGATACCACTCCTAGTTGTGATGGATCCGGGGTGCTCGAACCTCGCACATGACCTGAGAAAAACCTCGCAGAGTGTAGGGACGGCGAACCGTAGTTTGAATACAAACTTGGCGAACCACGGTCCCTACTTCTCTGGATGTTGGCCACAGAATCCACTACCCCATACCTACTGGAATCTTGAAAGGAGGACGAAAAGCTATCATAGATACGCTTCTCACTCGTACCTTTAACCTTATAGGCATCACGCGGAACCCGTGATTTCACTCTTTGGGGAATTCCTCTCAAGCTCTGGGTGCCAACGATAGGACTTTTGCCCATCCGCTGAAACGAATCCATCATTTGTTTTTGTTGTATCTGGAGGGTTTGCATCATAAATATCTGGTGCTTCTGGAAAGCTGTCAAGGAATTTAGCTGTTCCGTGGGCATGGACGGCGGTTGCCCGTTGAAACCAGAATTTGAAAACTGGATGGGTGGATTTGGGTGTGGGACGGCCACCGAATCTGGCTTTATATAGTTTCCGTCTTCGCCAAAAATCAAAACTTCCGTCCCCACGAGTAAGCTCCTTAAATCCTCCATCGATGAGTCTTGGCTCGGACTACTGAATTTCTCCAATGGTGGGCCCAACTGGGAAGTGGGGATTCGTTGAAAGAGCTCAGATTTCTTGCTCGTGCCCTGAGCATCAACCCCACTGCTCAATTCGAGGATTCGCAGAAGCATAGCCAGCATATCAAGTAAAGTGTGTGTAGGGACGTTCAACCGCTCGGCCAACGCCAAGACCGTATGTATGGTCAACGGAAGATTTAGTGCGTGGCCGTGGACCATCGAGAAGTAACTGGGACAGCTCATAGCATGTGGAGGTAACCCCAACTCGCCATTTTGCGGGTGTTTCTGGGCTGGGTACAAGCGGATAAATTTTCGAACTTGAGCCTCTAAGAACTGGCCAGAAAGCGGCATGGTTGGTTCCGGAAATCCTTCCAAGTCCATTTTCCGAGCAAGCTGAAGAAGCTCGTTTTGTAACCGCAAGATTATATCATGGTGTACAGGGCTCTGCATGAGAATATTTAAATCTGGTTGCTCAAACACTACCGCCATCATTTCGAAGCACACCTTGTGGACAATTTCATGCCACGTATGCGTCAACAATGGATTATTGTCCTTGGTAAAAGGAAGGAGAGATACAGGACCTACCCCAACAGACTCGAGGTCTTTCACCATCTGCATTATTCTTTTCCCCGTGGCTGATTTTCCCTTCAAATGCTCATTGGTATGCTTTGGAGCTAGGTCGACGGGGCCGGAAAACCCAATAACTGTCGTCACATCCTCGCTGAGCATAAAATAGACCCCCCTTCCGATCCGTCGGGCTTGTAATGCGCTGGAGATTCCTAGAACAGGGCAGAGCCCAAAGCTTTGCGAGATTTTACTCTCGATCGCAACCAGAGCTGAAGTATCAAACAAAACTAGGGAATCTTTGGTTAAAAAGGGCCTAATTGAAACACACGCGGGCCCCAATTCTGCATTTGTGTTGGCACTAAGAATGGCAATATCCACATGGCACTTGGCGTTCTTCAATCTGACAGACATATCTTCAAAGGTGGCTGCCACTTGGGTTGGTCGGTAAACGCTCTGTCCGCCGAACCGGGTGGAATTCCAGCTTATGGAGCCATCAGGTAGCGAATGGTCAGATACAACAAACACCTGTTTTCCTGCAATGGTCAATCTCCATGAGAGGAATTGGGCCGTGGCACTTTCGCCAACTGCTAGCTGTTAGTCTCCAATTTGACGGGCTTCACAAACCTAGAGTAAGCTCACTAATAAGGAAGTTCATGTCATGTATTCCTCAACCCGGGCCAGTATAAAATATACAGATCTAGTAAAGCAATCGATTATTATTAGCTCTCTTTCAGCCTCTGGTGTGAGGTCTGTAACTGTCGAAGGCCGTCCGGTGTGGGGAAGCCGTACACCGCCACAAAAACATGCATCTGCATCAAAAACTGCAGGGGAAACAGCGCAGTCTCTGATGCATTTGCTCGCTGGTTCTACGATTTTGTTTAAAAAGCAAAGTACGCTACTATTAAAGTATACACTTAGAACTGATAACACCTGAAAGCAGAAATAAAACTGGATGCAAGCTTAGCGGTCGAGCCAACTTACTTCTTGGTGGCATTGGCATCGGTGTGGGCAGCACCGGCATGAGCACCTTCAACGGCACCGGTCAAGGTGGCAGAAATGTTTTCAACGGCGTGACCGATTTGAACCTTGGCAGCTTCAAGGTATTCACCGGCAGTTTCAACGATACCTGGAGCGGTTTCAGCGGCAGCCTGGTCGTGGCCAGATTGAGCCTTGTCAGCGAGGCTCTGGGAGAAGGACTTTTCGCTTTCTGGAGTAACGGCAGCGGCAACCTTGTCGGCAGCACCAGTGACAGATTCCTTAGCGGATTCAAGAGTAGTCTTTTGAGAGTTTGGGGTGACGGCCTCGGAGACCTTGTCGGAGAGATTCTTTCTGCCTAAGTCGGACATTGTAATATCTGTGTATGATGTGTTGAGAGAGGGGGGAGAAGGCTGGATTGAGCGAGGGTACCATCCATATTTATAGTGTGCGATTTTTAATTTTTCACCAACTTGCTAGCCCTTTCCAGGATGGAAAAGGTTACACATGGATAGCAATCCAAGGTGTGGAAGACTCGAGAACCACAGTCACGTTAGGATTAGTAGCGTATCGAGCTATGATTGCTACATAACGCATGCGCCTCCCCTAGTGCACCATGCATGAGCTGCTGGTAATGTTGGCCCAGGGTTTTCGCTTGTGGCAACGAAATTGTTGGTGATTGCTACCAAAATATTCCTGCGTCTCAACGACTTTATCTGGCATGTGCGAGATCGGTATCTTCCCCCGTCTTGGGCTCCCATCCTGATAATCCTCGGAACTGTTTCAAGTTTGGGGGATCTAGCGCCCGGAGGGAATCGTGCAAACCCCCCTCTGTTTATGCTCAGCCTATCCGGACTCGAAGGGGGTTTCTAGTGATCCAAGGTTAGCCCCAGTATACTGATGTCATTCTTTCTGGCCTACAAATACGTTACCACTTCAAACTTGTTAGCGTGGCGTATACGAGACATGTGACGTATGTCCTGTACTAATCTCCTGCACGAATCTCGGTCCAGCCTGTTTCGAGAATCTTCGTTTTGAATTCTAGCAGCCAACAGGGATCTCGACTTGACCACGCACATATCATGATTGCTATCCAGAGTTTTTGGATCCGAGGAACTGGGCTAGTTTCCATCGGAAACAGAATTGGTACAGGAGAGTGCCCGAAAGTGCTACCCCGAGAAACCGACGCATGTTTGGATCTCGAGGCATCTGACACGTGTTGATAGCTTAATGGTTGAAGATACCAGTGAAATCTTACTAGGGGCTATTGCGAATTTAATATTGGATATATGAACGAAACAACTTTGGTTGGAATTTATTAGCGATTCATAAGAAATATGCACAAGATACATCAACCATAATTTCGAGGCAGAGTTTATCCTTCTCAGGAAGTTGAGGCCTGTGTAGTTACAGGGGTGCCGAAATTTCAGCGTGTATCGATGTATGTTTGTGATAGACACGGCTAATATATTGGTCGTCGGGGGTTTCTTCATCCACCTTGATGTTACAAAAGGTCGGGCACGCTTCTGGGGATAATTGCCGTGCCAAAGCTGACTCCGAGAATAGAGGCGATCTAGAGTCATTACGTTTAATTGAAACTATTCCGCGTAAATCCTATACTTTCTTTGTATCACCTACGAGGGGTCAAAGATTATGCTTCTCCAGGTTGGACTAGGCTTTTACTAAATTTAGATGTTCAAAGACAAAACTGAGTTTCTTCATCTGTAGGTCCAGGTTGAATGCGCTTTCCCTTGTATACGATAAAGGCTAATCCAAAGCCAGGGGTCCAGGGTATGAAGCAGATTTATCATGCCCATTTTACTTTATTCCCAGTGAACCGTCAATTTTCACGTCCGGACACACCCAAAAGACTAGTTTGCAAAGCGTTTGTTCAAGCGATCAAACACAAAAGCAAGTCCTAGTCGCCTCTCTTTCATCTATAGGTTAGCAAGTGAAACTCATCGGCGGAGTTGGGTTTTGAACCTCCCGGCGTACTTGTCACGATTCACATGTACAACTCTTGTGTTTGAAAATCCTATCGCTGGCATTGGCACGATGTAGCCCGTGCCCAATTCCCCTGTTATTATGAAACCGACAACCATGAATAATTCGGGTATCCAAAATGGGCATGGCTTAGCTAATTTAAAATCAAACGCAAGATCTGTAAGATACCTGAGGTTGACGAAGCTCTGATAAAAACGGTCATCCAATGGTTTCTGAGTTTTCTCTCCTAGCACCTGTGCGCATATTAAAAGCGGAAAAACCGTCTATCCTTCGAGCTTCCAAGGGCACGCCATCCCTTAATGACAGCTTTCGCCAAGACAATTTCCGTCAGTCCTTGCCTACACCTGGGTCTACTTGCTATACTAGCTCGCCCCGCACTCTTACGTACTCCCAACCTGCACTCCCAGCTATGAGGGCTAGACAGAAATTAGTCGCAAATCATAGCTCCCAGTATTTACTATCTATGCTCAGGGTTTAATAAAACCAGTATATGGCACCTTCCGCCCAAAAGGCCCAACACTCCAATAACCTTCCCGTGCACCCTGCTCCAATGTTGATCCACCCCACTCACGAGTCAGGTTACATTCTGACTCTGGCCTGGCTTATCTCAATCAATTATCACTGCATGCAGGAGTGAAAATTAGCTAGCTGACTCAGAGAGACACGCGCGCCAAGTAGCCAATTTGTTAGGCCAATTTGGTAGGCCAATTTAGGGTTTCCGGCAGGAGAGCTGCGAATTTTCGCTTGCTGACTCCTCCCCGCTGTACTTAAACAACACAATTCCTCCTCCTTTCCCACTCCTTTCCGTTACATCCATCCACACACATATATATCGAAATGGTCACTTACGCTTTACCAGCCTCCCACAGACAATTGATTGAAGGGACCCTCCAGGAGACCGATCCTGAGGTTGCCTCCATCATTGAAGATGAAATCGACAGACAGAGACACTCCATTGTGTTGATTGCGTCTGAGAACTTCACCTCCACCGCGGTGTTTGGCGCCTTGGGGACTCCAATGTGCAACAAGTACTCCGAGGGGTACCCAGGTGCGCGCTACTACGGCGGTAACGAGCACATCGACCGCATGGAGTTGTTGTGCCAGAAGAGAGCCTTGGAGGCGTTCCACGTCGAATCCGACAAGTGGGGTGTCAATGTCCAGACCTTGTCCGGCTCCCCAGCCAACTTACAGGTCTACCAGGCGATCATGAAACCACACGAGAGACTCATGGGTCTTGACTTGCCACACGGCGGTCACTTGTCCCACGGGTACCAGACCGACTCCAGAAAGATTTCTGCCGTCTCCACCTACTTCGAAACTATGCCATATAGAGTGGACTTGGAAACCGGGATCATCGACTACGATATGTTGGAGAAAACCGCCATTTTGTTCAGACCAAAGACCTTGGTCGCCGGTACCTCCGCCTACTGCCGTTTGATCGACTACAAGAGAATGAGAGAGATTGCCGACAAGGTTGGTGCCTACCTCGTTGTCGACATGGCCCACATTTCCGGTCTTGTTGCCTCTGGCGTCATCCCATCTCCATTCGAGTACGCCGACATTGTCACCACCACCACTCACAAGTCGCTCAGAGGCCCAAGGGGCGCCATGATCTTCTTCAGAAGAGGTGTCAGATCTGTCAACCCAAAGACCGGTAAGGAGGTTCTCTACGACTTGGAAAACCCAATCAACTTCTCCGTCTTCCCAGGGCACCAGGGTGGTCCACACAACCACACCATTGCTGCCTTGGCCACCGCGTTGAAGCAGGCCGCTACTCCAGACTTCAGAGCCTACCAGGAACAGGTCTTGAAGAACGCCAAGGCGTTGGAATCTGAATTCAAGGCCAAGGGCTACACCTTGGTCTCCGACGGGACTGACTCCCACATGGTCTTGGTCACCTTGAGAGACAAGGGTATCGACGGTGCCAGAATCGAAACCATCTGTGAGAACATCAACATTGCCTTGAACAAAAACTCCATCCCAGGCGACAAGTCCGCCTTGGTCCCAGGTGGTGTCAGAATTGGAGCCCCAGCCATGACCACCAGAGGCATGGGCGAAGAGGACTTCAAGAAGATTGTCCAGTACATTGACAGAGCCCTTGTCATCGCCAAGGACATTCAGGCTGCCTTGCCAGCCGAAGCCAACAAGTTGAAGGACTTCAGAGCCAAGGTTGTCGACGGCACCAACGAGGAGATTAAGCAGTTGAAGCAGGAAATCTACGCCTGGGCCGGGGAATTCCCATTGTCCGTCTAAGCTGCTGAGCAGTGAGGCTTTTATATGTAATACATCCGTGAATAGATCCGCTGTAGAACGTGGGTGGGGGTGGTCGTTAGCACTCTAGGTAATTGAGTCTCCATTTCACCTCCACAAACCTTGACTATGGTCTCTGTATAGTATGTATATAAAGAATCGATGAATTTTATATTAAAAAATTAATTGGTCTTATGTTAAAAAATTAATTGATTTAATATTAAAAATCGATTGATTTCATATTGAAGATACTGCAGAATCCGATCCGCGCGTAATAAACCCAACTGAAATATCTCAGCTTAGCCCTCGTGAAAATAATGCACCATCGAGAGTAAAAAATAACGGAGTCTCAACCCTTACACTCTGCCATTCGTTCTGACAATTTCTCAACCGTTCTAGCCGCCGATGGGTCCCTGGACAACCCCTCCCGACATATCAGTATATACTCTGTAATCAGCTAATAGCCAAACACGGTAATTCCCAATACGGCAGTCAACACCCCGGCCGAACCGCAACATTCCGCGATAAGTGACGCCTTCACGCGCTTATCCACCAACCGCAGCAAAACGCTACTTAGGATTCACGCTCATCTAAGACTAACTAGGCAGTCAGAAGTAGCCTTGGTCTATCAGTTTCTGTGATTGCCTATCTGTTGCTTTCACATCCAACTCACTTCATTACACTCCTTATCGCCACACATGGGTAACGCGCCGGGAAGAGAGGAACGCGGGCCTCAGACGCTGCCGCGCGAGCGCTCGCAATTCGGTGACAAGCTCACGGCGCACTTGAAGCGCAAGAAAAAGGAAGAGGAGCGCGAGAAGCTCCTCGAAACGAGATACACAAACTTGGTTGTGCGGTACCAGGAGACGGTGGACGGTGGGTACTTGGCACCGTACGGAACCTACAAGGCGTTCCCAGACTACGACACGCTGGTGGTGAAGCTGTTGATTACGGAACGGAAACTTGCGCCATTCTACTCGCCACTCGATGACTTTGACGAGACGTGGACGCAGGAAGAGTTGCTTGTAGTGCTAATGAACAACTTGCGGTTGTTCCTGCCGAACCGAACGGCTGAGGATGAGGAAATTGACGACGCGGACGACCACAAACTCCACAAGTCGCAGACGTTGATGAAGCGCCTTGAGCAGAAGCAGAAACTCAAGGCATTGATCGAGCGCACCATTAAGCAGCAGAAGAAGGAGCAATTGCGCTACAACCACGACAGGCAGCAGGCGTTTGTGTCGGAGAACGGCAGCACACGGTACCCCTCTATCCCATCCAACGACTTGCTCCTTGCCCTCTATGGCAATGCCATCGAGTGCCCCATCTGCTTCGTGTACTATCCGCCCCACATGAACTACAGCCGCTGCTGTGAGCAGCCGATCTGTACCGAATGCTTCGTGCACATCCGCCGCAACGAGCCACATCCACCGCACGACGTCCCCGAGGAGGAAGCCACCGACCCCGAGTCACTCATTTCGCTGCCGGCAAACTGTCCATTCTGCGCCATGCCGGACTTCGGGGTCACCTACACCCCGCCGCTTCTCATCTGCACGGGTATCCAGGGCTCGTGTGCGCCCGCGGAATTTAGCATTTACACTCGCAACGACCTTGTGATTGAGGAGGAGGAGGGTAGCTCCAAGCCCAAGACGCGTGCACGTGCCATCTCCGCGGCAATCTCACTTTCACATTCCGGCATGGGGTCGCCGCGCAACAGTGTGGAGGCTGGTCTCGCGCGCAGCAGTGTGGATGCTGGTCTCGTGCGCCGGCTGAACGACGGGTCCGCCGCCTCCTCCAACACCAATTTAGAAGCACCTAAGCGCCGTGGCTCGCTCGCGGCGTCGGCGCCAGGCGTCATCACCACCGACGCGATCCAGCCGGACTGGGAGACAAAGTTGATGTCTGCGCGTGCGCGCATCGCGCGCAGAAGCGCCGCCGCGACCGCGATCCACGCGTCATCGCTCATCATCCAGGGCGACGAAACAAGCGACATCGACCGCCGGAGGCTCTTCCGTCGCACGGGATCCGCCCAGGAGCAACTCGCTATTGAAGAGCGCATGATTCAACAGGCCATGAAGTTGAGCTTGCTCGAGGAGGAGCAAAGGCAGCACACGGAGCGCGCCAGACGGGGCGAGTAGATTTCACCATGCATTATGCTGGCTTTTGTACAAATGTTTAAGTTGCTTTAATAAAGAGTTTTGCTAGAAATTCGGCCAAACAGCGAGAGTAAATATACGGTTAGTACTACTTGGGGATATTAACAAGCTTGAACCCGCATGTCCATATTTGCTGATCGGACATAAACCTCGTGCCGATGTTATGTTCGGATCTGGTACGGTCCGGATATATTTAATTTAGCTCTTTAATCAGGCGTAGCCTTCTTTTTAAAAAAAAATTGGTGTTTCTGTGTTCCGTTGGTTGTTTTCCTTGTAGAACCCTGGGTTCAAGTTGGAGCCGGTGTGCTGATGCAAGCAGATAAGATAAGCCTTGACGAAGCCCCGATTTCCCCACATAATCCAGGCACCACTTGAACCAGGGGCATGGAGGTTGCGCCGGTTGGGCTCTAATGAATAAACTTTATAAGCATGGCTACTAAGACACCATTTTTGCCAAAAACACGTAGATGGACCACTTGGGTTAATTATTGGTGGTTTGAATCCCCACCACCGTGATTGCTCAAGGACTGCCACCCGATTTTCCGTGTGACTATACCACGTTAGCATGGCCATCCTCTTTCGACCATTCCCAAGATCAGTAACTTACTTTACAGTCACCTCTTTTATAACTTTCATAATTCTCAGGTAATAGGAAATGGGCGGCTAGGGAATCCTCCATCGGTTTTGACCGCTTTAACCGGTTTACCCCAAAACTACATGCTATACCCTTATGTAAAGCAAAGATGTGAAGTGCAGAGCTCTGAAAAATATCTGTGACTCTTTTTCGAGGGGCGTGCAGTAGCCAACTCATTCTCGTGCATATCACGTGCTTTTGTATAGGGCCAGTATTTCCCATACAAGCTCAAGTATAGCCCTATCCTGCACACAATCTTCCGGGTTTACTAGGCTTCCGAAAATTTTCCGTTTTTCGCCCACCACCCTGTGAAATTTCAACGAGTGTTTTTCCTCCTCTCTCTACGGGCTTTTGCTCTCTTCCCTTCCCCATCCGAGAGTTAGTCTGCAATTGTTTATTAAAAAAAATTATAAACAAGCTTAAACGTGATTAAATCCTAGTATCCCCCAAACCATATCATTAAAATGTCTACTGAATCTGCTTTGTCCTACGCCGCTTTGATCTTGGCTGACTCCGAAATCGAAATCTCTTCTGAAAAGTTGAACACCTTGGTCGTCGCTGCCGGTGTTGAGATTGAATCCATCTGGGCCGACCTTTTCGCCAAGGCCTTGGACGGTAAGAACTTGAAGGACTACTTCTTCAACATCCAGGCCGGTTCTGCCTCTGGTGCTGCCGCCTCTGGTGCCGTTGCCGCCTCTGGTTCCGCCGAAGCTGCCGCTGAAGAAGTCGCTGAAGAAGCTAAGGAAGAATCCGATGACGACATGGGGTTCGGTTTGTTCGATTAAATTAGTTAATATTCCTGTATTATATTGATGGTTGCCAAAAGGCTTCCTCTCTCTTGGTTTATATTATATTGAAAGAATGAAAAATTCAAAAAGCGTTCGTCTTTAGTAGATTGAAGTGTATGGTAGCCCGATGCCTGACGGAGGTGAGACTATGCACCTGATTGGGCGGGATTACACATTAGAAAGGCAAGGCTGCAGATTCATCGAGGCCTCAGCCGGTCTTGGTTGACTCAAGGCATTAGCATTCGTCTTTGGAGCAAAAATGAATGCAACAATAGCGCTGCTCGGTTTCGATCCGAGGACATCAGGGTTATGAGCCCTGCGCGCTTCCACTGCGCCACAGCGCTTGCTGTTAGAAACAAAAACGAATGGTGTGCTAAGTCGGAGCTTTTCGTGTTTACAAAGATTATTGTTGAGATCGCTTCTGAGACGATATTTGAAGTTATTTTGAGATAATGTATGGAATTCAAATCATTAAAGGTGTATGGGAACGTATTTCAGCAACCCTACGTTTAAGCCTATCTTTCTCGCTGACTGAAACAAGAGAAGTGCCCTGGGGTGAGTTTGTTGAAGCCTACTCCTGGTTCCACTGACAGTTCATGTTGTAGATATGTACATACATTACTAGTACTAGCTGACTTTGATGAGGCAATATTGATGGAAATTAGAGCACATGACACTTGAATTATTAATAATTTATAGGATGAGCAAAGAGCATGAGATTTTATATCTAATATGATATAACACATGACCTTCCTGTTATGTCAGAGTTAGAGAGTTGTTTCAGGAACCTTATGAGGTTCCAGTTGAGGCTACTAGGATTGTTTGATAATGAGTATCTGAAACTAATCCTGTCGCATAAAGCAAATGAGGCACCGAAGAAAGCTATATAAGGAAGTAGTTTTCCAGATCTAAGAATGATCTTGGTTTTAATATTATCTTTATTTTTGTGGAAGATCACGATAAGTAACTTGTGAATCAATGACTGATTACAACCCCCCGACCGGAATACCAACAGGCGCTGGAACCCTGACATGTTAAAATAGACGCCTGGCTAGCTCAATCGGTAGAGCGTGTGACTCTTAGCAGTACGCGATCACAAGGTTGCGGGTTCGACCCCCGCGTCGGGTTCTATTATTTTTCATGTATGTGTGACATACTTTTTCTTCTTTCAGTATAAGTACATACCTCCAGATTCATATAAATACTCATGAATAAGCTAGAAAGTGGTGTAGGCTATATTTTTGTCACGGTGCTCAATACTTTAAGAATCATAAACTCACTCTGTATTAATAATTGAAATGTTATATATAACACCATAAAACAATATTATATATAATATATAGATACTTGAAAGTAACTTTAATTCACTATCTTATATAATTAGCACCATTATCTCACTTGCGGAGAAAAAAATAATGGTCCCTAGCAGGATCGAACTGCTGATCCCCGCGTTATTAGCACGATGCCTTAACCAACTGGGCCAAGGGACCAAATCTTGAAAGTAGGAAAAGATCATGGACCAAGAACCATGAAGGACCGTCCTAGGAACACGATGCCGTATCAACCCTACTCTTGAGACAGATTCGGAGTCACATAGTATCAGCTTAGGACAGAGAATCATTCCTAGCGGAAGCTCAGATGACCCAAGATTTAGTCAACACACATTTCTACACTATACCTCTAATATACTCCCATTATGTAAATGAATAGCTAGCCTGAGATTAGCCCTACACCTTTTTCCGTTTATAGCGACCTCTTTCTGACCCACTCACACTGGCACTGTCTCTCTTTCGCTTTTGAAACGAGCTGTACTTCTGTAAGAATACCACACGTTCATACAAGTGGTCGATCACCTGGTTGATGTTACTCGGTTGGTAGTCTATACCCAAGAGATCCTCCGCGACGTAGGCCACACCACCATCGACACCGGGACTGATATTCTTCAACCTGCCATGGTGGTTGATAGCCTTGTAAAACACCGTAGGGGTCATAATATCGCTCGTTTCGTCGTTCACTTGGCCGATGAATCTGCGCAAATTTGTCCACTGCTGAGGGGTGAATTTGGCGTTTGATATATCGTAGCTGCGGGAGCTGCTCTCCCGACGCGATCCAGCATTCCTAATCGGAGAAGAGGGCGATTGGAAGGTCAGGGGTCTGTCAGAAACCAAGTGCTGCAGTTTAGGCTTCGGTCTGATCAAAGTGGACTGTGTGGTTATTCCCTGCGGATCAATGTGTGTAGCTTGAGGCGTGTTGAGCTTGATTCTAGAAAACTGGTTGGGCGGACCATCACCTTTGCTTCCAGCAAACATTCTGGGCGGAGAGAGCACCGGGTACGTCACCAGTCTCGTTGGGTTATTCAAAGCGGAGAGGATGGTGGCATTGTTGTTTCCGGGAATCGTCTCGTTCACCAGCTCGCTTTCCTCACGAACAGTCGTGTTTCTTTGGGGAGAAGATGCCACCTTGGATTTATTAGCGGCGGGGTATGCTGCCAAGAAGTCTTTGCTCGTAAGGGTTCGATTAACCGGAGCAGGATTGGCCGTGGAATCCATAGAGAAGGTTGAGAGACGAGGAGACTCTCTGTGGGACCTATCGCTCTTTTCTCTTTTCTTGATGCTATTGATGGTATCGTTGATTCTGCTCAATAGCACGTCAACCGAAACATCAGGGGATTGGACCCGCTGCGTGGTGTCGTGTCCCAAATTTGGGGTCGACTTCAGAGCAGTGGGCTGAGCTGGATGCAACGAGGTGTTCTGTGGTGTATCAAGAATCACATCCTCGTCGCTGTCTGTTATGGCACCATGGACCGAGGGCACTTCTTGTAAATGAGAATGTGGGAAATCTGGGTCTAGCAAGTCATCATCGGCTTGGTCGAGCAAGTAGGATGACGAAAACGGCTTGTAAGAGCGCGGAGGGTTGGCACTCGGTGGCCCTTGGGTGAGGTTAAGCTTGGGTGACGTATCCATGACCATCTGGCTCGGCTTAAATTGTTTGGTAAACTTGGGAGACGCATTCATGGCTGTCTTGCTCGGATTAAACCGCTGTTCAATGGAAAACGTGCTCAACGTGGAAGCCCTTTCCTCCTTCCCTGATTTTTTCTTTCGCAAAGAGACATTGGCACTGCGCGCCCTGCTGATTGTGGTGTCGATTTCATCGTCAAACTCATCCTCACTGCTCTCTACCTTATTCCTTAGAGTCCTTGTTGCCACGGGCGTGATCTGGTATCTCTTCTTACCCGAGGAATTCACATTTAAGGGAATCTTGTAGGTTTGGGAGGTATGGTTGTTAGGGGTCATTCTGGATACCGCTTTTCTGGCACTTCTTCCCGCCCGCGGCGTCAGCACCAGCTGAGAGGGCGGTAAGGACGCCAAATCGTCAATTACGAAGGAAGAGCGCATGTCTTGGATCTCGTTAATAACCACAGACTGGATATTTGACAGGGCACTCTGCAAAGTTGGGACGACGTTGCCTCGGGACACTGGCTCTTTTGATAAAGAAGCGTTGGAGATTGTGGGCGAGACGGCTCGCATGTTGTGTTTGGTGGTACTGTTGTTCGAAGCTGCGTTGGACAAGGGGGACCCAAGGGACCCGGAGGCCCCATGGACTGCTTTTGGCTTTGCATCCGTAGTGTTTAGCTCGGCGTTTGGGGGAGATAGTGACAACGCTAGCATTTGTTTATGGCGCGAAGCCGGTGTTGTTTGTACAAGCAAGCGGATTGGATCTGTTTCCTGGTTGGACCACGTTCTAGCGGAGTCTGACATACTCTCGGTGAAGGTATAAGAGGGGTGTTAGGAACACGCAAGATCCAGGATATTTCGTGTAGCGAGATTAAAAGCTGCCAATATTTCCGTTAGACGCGGATATAAATGTATACAAACACGGGCTTGTGCGGCATGGTGCGGCGTCAGTTAGTGCACGACCATTATCCAGAATGCTTAGAAACAAGGAAGGGAGTCCAGGTGGGGGGCATGGTGGATTGATTAAAATGAATAAATAAGGGAAATAAGTGAAAAAGTCCAAGACGTGTTAATTCACACTCAAAGCGGGATTCAGTAATTGTTCTATCCTTCAACCAGATAATATATAACGTACTGGACCGGTATACTGTGATGTGTCTAGTGGATATTAACGGTTATTTAAGAGAGAATATTGTTCACTGGAATATATGCCAAGAGGAAGGGGTCAGACTTCTTTTATAGGATCTCAACAATACTGAAGGCCTATTGTAAAGGTCCTATGAATGTTTGTCCACATGTCTGTAAATGAGGCTACGTGCATAAGGATCTGAGAACGAGATGAAAATATAATAAAGTGTACCTTTACCACAAGAAACATATATTGCTCTATACAGTTTAAGTGGATAGTCACTGTCAATGCTTTCACAAACCATTAGGCTATACCATAGTTATGCAACACCATCTTCCTAGGTGTAATTACCAGGAACTTCTGGCCTGAGCCCATGATATAACCGGATTCCATATCCTGATTTGTCATTAACTAGTACTGCAAACCAACCTATCAACCCATTTCATTCGCTAATTATTTTCAGCTGGTAATTGCTTGCAGCTCAATGGATTATGCCCAAATCATGCTAGCATCGCCTGAGAACTTTCACGGCCCTTCTCCCCAGTTTCTCTCTCCTCAACCTTGCTGGGGACACTCGGCATAAGCGGGTTCTGCGGAGCTTCCGGCAACACCACCTTCGCAGGCTGTTTGGCCAATTCCTCACGCTCCATCCGTTCTAGCTCTTCCTCAACTTCAGCGGCTTCTTGCTCGTTGATGGCACTACCGAGCATTTCGCTAACCTCTTCCTGGTACGCGATGCCCTCGGCGGTATCGTCCATGATTTTCTCAACCTTCTCCAAACTAACCTCCCGATTCAACTGCTTTAACAACTCACTGCCAGTCTGCAAGCCTGCGAAAAAGTCTTTCTCCACAAGCTTGAACTCAATGTTCCCAATAAGTTCCTCCAACGTTGCGAGCTGGTTGTATGACTTGTCGAGCATCGACTGTTGATACTTTTTCTTTTTCAACGCCAACAACGCCCGTGACTTGTTGTTCGCCCGAAGCAGCTCCTGCGCAATCTGCAACTCGCGGCCCGTCACGAGGCTGAGCTTTTGCTGGTACTGGATGAGCCGGTCACGCTGGATCTTTAATTGGAGGACAGCCTTGTCCTGCGCCGTGATCTTCGGTGGCTGTGGTGTGGAGGATGTATTGCCCATAGTTAGAGGTAATACGCTAGGATAAAATGAGATTGGAAGTTGTAATAAGGTTGGATCAAAAGATGTCACAAGATCGAGATGTTGCTGTACTCTTGTGAAGTTCAATTTGTGAGGGTAAAAACGTCCGGCATACACGCTATCAGTCCCTGATGAAGTGCCACTTGCTCTGTAAAACGACGTTCTGCGATGGAGGAAATAGATACGTGTATATTTTAATCGAGTTTTGTTTATAAAACTGGATAAAATGCAAAAAAAAAAAAAAAAATACTCTGGACTCTGAATTACCCTGAATAGGTCTGACAGAATTCAACCTAGCTATGTATGCCATTGAACTTTCAATGAGCTTACTATATAGAATCCACTTCCGATAAAGTCTTTGAAAAGTAAGCCAACGGGCGAGATCGACTATGCCACGACATACTAGGAGCGGATTAGCATTAATTCCTCACCGCTCTCCGGTGCATCAGATTATTGGAATCCTGGGGCGTCCACACTCTACACAGAGTAGGCCACTAGACAGGTCTCCAAAGAAAAATCCCAAGGACTGGATACGTTAAACTGAGACTCAATTTATTCACAACGCAGATATAAACCAGGTAAACCTAACCAAGGCATGGTGCTAGCTTTTAATTCCAGACACTTGCATGCTATTGCAAGCCCGAGAATTCAAGGCCTTTTTTTTCCAGTACCTAGACACTTCTCAGTTAACATTGGCAGAGAAGGTTCCTAGGATTACAGGGCCATGCAGACTATGATCTACAATCTCCATGCACCTGCCTCCCTTTTACAAGAACCACCTCTCGACCCAGTCTCCCGCATTGTCTTTACCATGTGTTCAACACCTAATCCCAGAAATAACATGCGAAGAATGATAGTGGCAACAAGCTGTACCTATTGCATCTTTACGGGGTGAATCATGGCCCTACTTCTCCTAGAACCCTCACTCAGAGTCAGTCCCCCCAAGTTGAACCTTTCGGCTTGCAGTATGCTCTGAGAAACTTTATATCCCATGTCAGCCCCACCACAGCCAAAGCTTATAATAGGAACCTCGGGTCGTTCCATATATGCGACGGCTTTCGCACCTCGACCCAGGTACAAGATAGGCTCTGTTCGGTCTTGTAGCGATTGTGTCAACCTGTGATCTGGAGCCTTTTCGGACCTAGAACGTCGAAGAATGGCGCTATCAAGGTAGGATTTCCCAAAGCGGCACATTCGCTGCCGCTTTCTGTTTATATTTGACCTAATTGAGTGGCTTATTGTGCTTCGTGCGTCCAGATGTGCGTTTCATGCATGCGCGCTGACGAGAAATGGAACGCCTTGCAAGTCACGTCCGACGATTCAAAGTGAAAGTTCCCTTTTTGTTAGTCAAAGATGATAGATATGGTTTCCAGAGACATTATCCGACCTCAGAGACCCAAATTGGAGTTTTATGGCTTTTTTTAGGAACCGGAAGCCCATCCACTAGCTAGCCCCGTCCATATCACACGTCGCGCGTCAGCGATCGCCTTTATGCACGCTTAAACCCTGAGTAGTGTTTTTTTCTATAATGCAACAGGTGAAAATATCAACAGCCTTCAAGTCTAGCCAACCTCTTTATTATCGAAAGACACCAGTTGATATACGTCGCCGCTATCCCAACCACTCACTGTCATCAGGAGGACATCCCAGCGTGTTCATTCCAAGCATATATTAGCAAAACAGAAGGCATTGTCGAGCCACGCCCAACAAAGCTATCCCTTCCTCCACAGTCATCAAAAGTCCAGCCGTTAATGGGCATCGAAATACCGATCAAAAAGACATCGAAATTTCCACCTAGACAACTTCAAGTGAATTCTCCAGTCGTTACATACCCATACAATGACCTCTCTAGATACACACACAAACTATGAATACGGTCTCGACAAGGAAAACCGAACTCGGAAAGAGTTTCCCCGGTCTACACCCCCCCAGACGCCACTATCCAGGACGTCATTTTCACAGCTCAATCGCTCGCCGGTAAAGGGACGCGAGGAGATACTACTGATCATAGATATATACTCTTCGAAGCCAGTGAAAAATTCTGCTCCGCCCAAGTCTTCTGGGATACAATTGAGGCCATATGGCACACAGAGAAAGGGAACACCCCAGATAACATTTGGCACGCCTCAGAGAGCTCTTGTCCAGGCAAAGTCTTTCGGACTTTCACAGACGTTTGAAACCCCTCAGGTAACCTTTGGATCCCAGACTCCTTTCACCTCATATGCCGATCCCTTCCACCCCCAGCATAGTGGCGAACGGTTGCAGATCTACGAAGACCCCGACCTGAGCAGAAGCAAACTCGGCAGCGTCAACTCCCTCGTGAGTAATTGGTCGATGACGCTACCTGAACCCAACGTTTCCGTCTCGGGGTCGCCGTTAAGGTCCAAATTCGGTAGCATTTATTCCAACTCCTCTCGGCGAACCTCTCACGGACAAACGGTCCTTTCTGAAGCCTCTTTTGACTTTGGAACCCCATTTATTATGGAAGAGGATGATGATGATTCGCTTTCCACCGCCTCGGAAGCCTCGTCAGTCTACCAGACTCATCCCTACACCGGCCATTCCCCGTCGTCGCTGGCTCACGAAGAATCCCCTGAGACGGAGTTGAAAAAGTCTGGGGGGGTTCCTGAGTTTGCATCGAACGCCGATCTCGCAAGTATTGGACTTTTACACGATAATCTTTCCGAGACAGCGTTGCCGAGGAGTGATCCCTGTGTGAGACACTCTCTCGTGATTGAAGATGAGATGCCGTTGAATGCAACCGATGTCTCTTTGTCCAAGAGGAATTCCGGGTTTTCTGCTGGTCCAGAAAATGTGGCTGTTGCTTTGGATTTAATAGATGAATCTGTTGTTATGGAGCGTTTCAGCGCGGTTTACATGGGAAGTGCGAACAGATCACAGAGACCAAGGGGGTACAGGGAGGCCGGAGGTTCGGAAGGGGAGCCACCGATAGACGGAGAATCAAACCAAGATAGAGAATCAAATCAACAGAAAGGATCCAAAGGTGGGGCCTACCCCGAAGATACAAGACGTCCCGGGGATGAGAATCCCGATAGAAGTACAGAAAATAACAACCCAGGAGATGGAGGGAATGGGGAAAGCGGGGATGGAAATGGAAATGGGAGAGGAAATGGGAGAGGAAATGGAGGGGACGGAGGAACCCCCAACCACCCCTTCACGCCCAACACCACCGCCTCGTCGGATTCCCGAATCCTCTCCACAGACAGCATATTAATGTCGGCTGGAAGTTTTAGACAGTTCCACCTTCAGCCGGACCGCCTGTCGCAGGTGCCAACCGTGGAGGATGTGCGACTTCCGCGCACGCGAACGCATACGCGCGAACCCCCTCCGCGCGACTCCTCCATCTTTGCAGTCAGTCGTGAATTGGACCGTGAGCGCTTGGACTGGCAGCTATCTGAATTCACTAAACGCGCCAGTGTCACCCAATCGGTGGAGACCGCTGAGTTGTACCACCCGTACCTCGAACCGGAGGAAGCCTCACCCAACACCACGAGTCTAAGCGAAGTCACCAATTACCCCCCAGTTATGTCGTCCCGGTCAATTTCCATTAAGCCTGTTGTGGCGGGCAGCAACGTGGTGAAGCTAGTTAACTCGGAAAGCGGGGCCATGGAGGAAAATTTCGGCTCCGTTCCGGTGTTGCGCCACTTTGGCAGCCAGCGGAGCTTGCGCCCCCACAGCTTTGCTCTGGTTGTCCGTCTGAGCCATCTGGATAGTCATCTGGACCTAAACTTCGGTCTGACGGACAGCGACCAAAATTCCGGTCGCTACGCTCTGGACACCCCCCACAGACGTTCCCCCTCGCATACCAGACCTGTGAGTTTCCGCAAAAGCCGTCCAGGAACCCCTAAGTTACTATTCCACGGCGTAGAGGGGGATCTTAGCAGTCCTAAACCGGCTTATAGCGGCACCTCTCCCAACCACACCCACTCAGGCAGATATACCAATCCGAACGTGACAACTGAGTCTTTAATGACGGTAGAAACCGCCGCGGTGATGGGCCAGAACATGCCCATGTACCTGGACCACAGTCCGCCGTATTCCATCAAACGTGGGGTGCTGTTTGCGCGCAACTCCACGCCTCCTCACTTTCTCGCGCCAATTCCGCTGGATGAGAGCCTCCCGAAGGCAGAGCCAAAGACGTACTCCGATATTGAGTCATACCACTCGGGCCACTACGATTTCTACGATATGTACTACCCGAAACACTCAACCTTCTACCGCGACCATATCTCGTCCACCACCTTCGTGGCCATCATGGTGTTTGCGTTGGTGTGTCCCGTATTGTATATGATGGTTTATTTGGGGTCGTTTGAGCGCAGCTTTGGGCATTTTTCCGCCAGACAGCGCATGCTAAGCTTTGTGTTTGGCTGCGTGTACACTGCTGTGGCCCTTGGGTGTATAGGGATTATCGTCGGGGTGGGGGTAAGGTGACAGTCTTAAGGTATTGTATCTATAACCCGTTTTGTGATGCCTGACGTATCTGGTCGTTGCCTTCCCGTTGGGAATATTCTTAAGTGTTCTTGAGTATATAAGTAACGTAAGAATATTCTAAAATCTCTAGAGTAGGGAGACGCTAATCTTCAGACCGAAGAAAAATAGATCAAAGGTAACTTCCCTAGGGGGGTCGTGCAATTCTAGCCATGCCTAAACGCTCTATTGACAAGAATAACCCTTTGATTCAACACAAAGATAAACCCCACCATTTACCTGTGCCGGGCAGGAGGGGAAAGCTTCTAGCAGAGGCTCCCCGTCTCAAAGAAAACTTGGTCCCGTCACATGGCAATGAACGATCCGAAATGATCGAAATATTTTGACCAACTAAACATAATGTAAACTGTATTTTTTACTCTTGATCTCAGATTATTTATACCTCTTTAGGAAGGTTTTCTATGACATACGGGGACCATTTACACTAGACGAGGTAATGGTGCATGCTCATTTGAAACGCCAACAAGACAATTGTACGTTCGCCTTTTCCTATTGTGCCACTCTTTTCCATCAGGCTTTATTTATGACCGTTCTCTGTGTGTCTGCTTTCCTCGTGATAGTTATTGTGTGAGTTTTTGGATTTTTTTCAGGCCACCCCAAGTAGGATTGGACGCGTCTGAAAAGTTGCGAGATGTCACTTAATTTTCTCACTGACGCGCCGCTTATACCGTATTTATCCCAAGGGCCCGGAATATAAACATACTAGGTTATCTTAGTTTATATTTTGACAGTAGTATGTGTACTTGTACACGGGGAGAAGGTAGGCTTACACCAAAGTATAAGTGATACAATTAATTTTACCAGCAGGAGGTTTCATTGGCCCTTAACGTGTCTCAGTTTTGCTTTCAAATATAACAGGGAACGGTGGCTTAATACATAGAGAGTCATTATACACCAGACCTGGAGGGTGTATTTAATGAAAAAAAAAAGTAATGTGAACTTGGGCGAGGAAGATAGCTATATCACCTGTAGGACATAATTAGAGATGACGTGCTACATGACCCAAAGTCAAATATGCATATTAAAGCAGGACTATTAAAGAAAGCTGGAGATTGCTGTTTCGAAAATACCCAGTAAAATACATTTGATAAATAGACAGGGTGGAATGAGGATACAACCAATGAAATAGTCTAAAGCCCAGGTACCACAGATGAGCTCGATCCATTCTGGCCCTCGCAGCAGAATATATTACAGCAGATTTTAGCTAGACGACCTCGACTCGTCTACCTGGACTTTACTGCTAAGCTGACTATGATTGATGATACAGAAAGATTGTTTCACCATGCACCTAACCGTGGTATGACATGACAACCAGGTATTGCATTTATTTTGTATAGAAACGTTGCAAGAGGTCACATCAGGGGATCTAGATTTCAACCCGTAAGATTTTCACAAAGCAAATACCCTTTCTAGATTATCGTATAGACCAACAGTTCCGCCCACTAAGCGAACTCGTAGTCTAGAGCATTTGATATACGCGAAACTTAACCCAAAAAGCCCCCCAGACATGTTTGCTTCTTTCGGTGGTTCCGGTACAAACCCCCCATCGGTTCCTGGAAGGTTGGTGCATTTATTTTTAAGTACGCATACAACAAAGGCTGAGTTACTGCTTTAATATTTCCGTTATCACCAGGTTTATCCACCTCGAGTAGGCTAGATACTTTCTCTGTTTGTGTATTCTTCAAGTGGCACTTGTACCTTGTTGGTACCCAGACCTTCAACAATAACCTACCCATGACCCTAGCCAGACCCAGCGTCGGTGACTAATTATAACTTAGCAGGCGCTCAGGCCAATCTACTTGCCTAAAAAATACAACTGGATCGAAGCCTCAGTTGGCACATTCCCAGAACGCAAAACAAACATACCCATTGGGTATTTTATATCCACTAGTTACCCAAAAGGTCAAGCTTAAGCTCCAAAGGCTCGTTTACAAGGATACGATGTAAGCTTTAGCATGGGACTCGATGAGGATCTTCGTTTTTCATCAGACTGCGCTGCCGATCCCGTTGCTTTTTGGCGCGCAGTCACTGATCTGGGTGCGTCTGACCCTGGCAGCAAGGAGAAGACGGCATGAGGGCGATCCCCTGGCGGACATACAGGGCGACGTAACTATGCAACATGACAATCCCGCCTTCAGACAACGCGTCTCCCGGAGCGATCTGTCTATAGAAAGGGGACGAATGAAGGTGGTAACAAACGCACATGATCGCTGATAATCCCGATTAGATACTTTTCAAACCGAAACTTCAAGTCGGAGCTCTATTATATATCCCCGCTACTGACTGAGGCGGAGACTCATATCACTAGCACCTGCCGGAGATCCCGGTGGATTATCTGACACGTGATATGGGGCGGGGATCAAATTGTGGCCATTCCAGAAATATACCACGAATCTTTTGTAGTGAATATGGCACGGAGTACCGAAAACATGGAAATGGATCCTCAGAATCTGAACGAATATATATAGGCTTTACTACAGGATTAATCAGCGTAAGCCAGAGTGTTTGTGCTTAGCCGGCGGAGAGATGCGGTTCATTAGCCGGATAGGGCAGCAATTGGTCGGTAAAAGGTACGCACTGTCAGCGAGGCTGTTTCAGGCGGTGGTCCATGCGCGCACGCCAGAGGCAGACGCCCTCGCGACCTGCATTTTTCCCAGAGGAGATTTGCTGTTAGCTGGAATCTCGGACGGCCACGCTTCCACAACTGCCGTCTTCTAGAAACCAACTGGAAGAATAAGTGGAGCGTACTGTCAACCACAACTATAAACCAGAAATCCAAGATCGGTAGACGAAACCGCCATCAGCGACCATCTTTGATCTCAACCTAGCTGCCGCTACCAATCCTTGCCAATAGCTACGTCCCATCTTGCAACCTGTAGCGACCATCATCTTGCTACCAATAGCGACAATCATCTTGCTTCCAATCTAGCTACTACTATCAGTTTCTGATACCTAACCATCCGTCTTTGACCTTCAGCAAGTTGCTAATCGCCACCCAACCCCAGTGTATAGACTCGGATATCCCACAGCTCCAATGACCGACGTCCACCCCGCGTTCGATCTCCCGGAGACCACGTCCGTCGGATCTAGTTCCGACGAGAACCTGCCGTGCAAAAAGTGTGCGCTTCCCATCTCCGAAGGCCACGCGTACGATATCGGCGGCGACCGCTGGCACATTGAGTGCTTCACGTGCTCCAAGTGCCTGAAGCTCCTTGGCTGCCAGTCAGACTTTCTTGTCTTGGGCACCGGTGATCTCGTGTGCTCGTCCTGCTCGTACTCGTGCCATTCGTGTGGCAAGAAGATCGACGACCTCGCCATCCTCACGGGCAACCAGGCCTACTGCCTGTCGTGCTTCAAGTGCCGGTCGTGTAAGAAGCGTATCGAAGACTTACGCTACGCGCGTACGTCCAAGGGCTTGTTCTGTATGGCGTGCCATGAGAAGCTCATCGCGCGGAAGAAGAAGTACGACTCGCGGAAGGAGATCATGGAACACGCGAATGCGCAGAACCGGTTGAAGCAGCAGGAGCGCGAGCGGCCACGGCGCCGCCCGCCAAGCGATGAGACAGAATCCTCCGCACGCGAAAGCCTGGCGCCACACGATGGTCCCATAACTCCGCGTGACAGCCCTTTGAGTCGGAGTGATTCCCTCCCAACGCAGCGCGATGTGCTCCTCAGCGAAAGCCTCACCAGCCTGCGCGATGGGCAGCACCAGTTCAGCGGGTCGCACTCCGTGGTCGTGAGCCTGCACGAATCCGTCGAGGACACCTCTCACAGCCCCGCCATGGGACCTGTTGCTAGTTCCTCTCCGGAGGTTTCCGCTCCCGCCTCAACCGAGATTTCCGCGGCCCCCGTCAGCTCGGAGGCCTCGGAGACCTCGCTCGACCTCCCAAAACGCTCGCCTAACCGCAAGTTTGTGGCTCTTGTGGCGCCCGTGGTGGCGCCTCTCGCGGCAAAACCCACCTTTTTGGCCCCGCCCGTGGAGATCGCCACCACACCCGTTGCAAGCTCGCACAGTGATGACTCTGCATCGCCCGTGACGCCTGGGGAGCCGTTCTTCCTCCTGCCCGCGCCTAAGGGTGCGCGTGCGACGCCACAGCCGGTGCTCTCGCCCAACCGTCCGCCGCCATCGCCCATGGCGCACATTAACCGCCGCGCGCACATCATATCCAACGACGACGCCATAACGCTCGACTACAAGGGCGACCACGAGGCGTCCAGCTTGTACAATTTTGTGGCGAACTACTCGCCCCAGGACGAGCCACGTCCGATCTCTGGGCTCGGTCTCTCGCACTTTGGCGAGTCGCCGGTGCAGATTGTGGGCAAGGAGGACTACGAGAGCATTTTTCCGGCGCCGGTGCACGCGAGACAAATAAGTATTACGGACACGCTTTCGGACGAGGAGAAGCCATATCGGTTTGGGGGCGCTAATGGCCTGGGTGCCGGTCCGGCCCCTAGTCTGGCTCCCGCCGCTATCGTTGCCGCGGGACCTGTTGCTAGCCCCGCACATCGCAAAAAATCTTCGCTTTCCTCGCTCTCCTCTCTCACGGACGAGCCGCTTGGTCGTAAGCTCTCTCGCACGATTCTCTCGCCGCCGCGTAATCTCTTCCGCCTGGCGTCTGCGCACCGGCGTACTGGCAGTGCGACGGGGTCGTTCGCACCGCTTCTCCCAGAGATGCGTGACGAGCCACGCGCGACGATTGACCTTGCGCGTGCCACGCCCGTCTCGCCCAGCTTCTCGTCCAACCGTACTCCTCCCGTGCAAAATTCCCCGTCGCACGGCCGGTCCACCTCCGACTCGGTCGGGGCACTCGGCGAGCACGTGCGTGCGGAACTCGAGCTCCGCGCAATGAAGTCTGATAACTTCAACCTCATGACGCAACGTTCAAGCCTTCGCGACGAGATCACGCGGCTTGTCTCTGACAAAGAGGTGCTCCTTACCGAAGTCTGCGAGCTTAGGCTGGAGAGTGAGGGCCTCCAGATTATGGTGAGTGAGCTTAACCTCCAAGTGGAGATTCTCCGCGAGGTGTCGGAGGCGAAACGCCGCGAATTGGAGGACATTTCCAAGCAGACGTTGCGGCCGAAGCCGAAGAGCGCTAAAGTATCGCCAGTACTCGAGGCGGCCAAGTTTGGGGCGTCGGTGAAGAAGTCGCTCAGCCACGACGGCGAGCTTGAGCCGGTCGCGGAACATGACGCGGTCGTGGATGCGGCGGAAGTGGTGCCACGTGCGAAGGCGCGTTTCTGGCGTAAACCGCGGCTAGGCGGTGACGACGTGGGTGACTCGCCTAGTCCTAGTGACGGACGTAAGGGCTTCTCGCTCCTCGCAAAGTCTAAGTCCTACAACGTGCTTGACCAGCACCTTGCACCCGAGATCCCGCTCTTTGGAGGCATCATTGCAGAGCGCGCGGCCTTCGAGCGTCGTGCCCTTCCCTTCATTGTGACCAAGTGCACCGAAGTTGTTGAGCAATTTGGGCTCGACCACGTGGGCATCTACCGTGTGAGCGGTGGCTCGTCCCAGGTGGATAAGCTCGAGAAGTATTTCCTGGAGATGCCTGCGGGCGGCGACGCGCGGCGGATGCTTGTGCTTGAGCACGCGTTGACGGCTGAGGACATTAACGCGGTGCCGTCGGTGTTGAAGCGGTACCTTCGCAAGTTGCGCGATCCGCTCATGACGTTTGCGTTTTACGACCGGTTTATCGCGCTCGGGAAGGGTCTTCCGGCCGGGGTAAACCTCCTGTCGTGTGACTCTAGCCCGGATATCCACCTGAAGAAGGTGCGCGAGTGTCGCGAGATTGTGGGGAAATTGCCAGAAACAAACCGGGTTTGCTTGGAGGTGTTGACCCGGCACTTGCACGTGGTGGCTGCGCGCGCGGATGAAAACAAAATGCACATGAAGAACTTGAGCATGGTGTTTGCGCCGACATTGACGTGGGACCGGACGGGCGAGCGGGAGATGGAGGATATGGGGTGGCGGAATGAGAGTACAGAGTTTATGATAAAGAACTACAAGGATATCTTTGCGAAAGAAGTGTCCAGCTAGATCCGAAGCTATCCCCGAGCGAAATGAGTGGTCATAGCGTAACTGATTACCTTGCTTTTTCTGGCACGGCGTGCTCTCAAATTTCTTTCCCTTTTGTATTATTTTTTCTTACTTGGCTACTCTTGGTATAAGCAATAAGATTGAGATTCACTGGCATTCATAAGAATTTATAGTCGGATGAAAGCACGGGGTATATGAGTGTTGGACGTATTCCGGTAGTACCAACTTAGGTCTTTGGGAGGTCATAAGCTAAGTACCGTGTAGCTCTCCGCCTACATCGGTGGATTATTAGTTGGGCTTTTGGGTAATATTTCCGTTTGAGCTAGCATCAACAGGGATTTTGAAGGCAAAAGTGATACTGGTTCATCTTCCCTCGGTATATGGCAAAGGAAGCTACAGCCAACGGAAGCTTCGCATTTTTCAAGGTGAAAGAATTCAACGGCTAAAAAATAACGACAACGGCAGGACTCGAACCTGCGCGGGCAGAGCCCAAAAGATTTCTAATCTTTCGCCTTAACCGCTCGGCCACGTTGCCTATTAGTTGATAATCAACTTTATCTGTTCATCAGCCAAAGACCGGGACCTGTTTACTCTTTGTGAACCAAATCCATTGACATACCGAGTTAGGCCATGGCGTAGGATTTTCAGCAATTTTATAGTTTAGCATTCTAGCTACAAGATGTTGAAACATGTTCATGTACACATTCGTCTGTGTGAATGCCATACGGTGCCTCAAATAAATAATAGAGGTTTCAGTATAATCAAAAGCTACTTTGCTGGAAAGACAAAAATGGTTACAAAACGGCATACGGTGTCCTTACTCTATTTACATATTCAAGCCTGTTATATTACCAAAGGACAAGTGAATTATTAGAACCATATACCATTTATTACCTACCATGGACGCCAACATTATTCAACAACGGATTACTAAACATCAACAGGAAACGCCGAGAAATTACCTGTAAATTTATTTAGTCCTAGTTCCGTTATTCTGGGTCTCCTTCCGAAATTTCCCTAGATTCGCCTATTGTATCCCCCATCATCCTTCCAATACCCCCTTGTCGTGTTATCTTACAATTCAGGTATTTCTGATATAGTCCCCCTTCTACTCTACTTTTCTATCCTCGATAGTCTTATGCTCAACTTGATTTATTGAGCACATCAGCTGAACATTTGACGAGTGGGAGCTTCGGATTATTAGTGCGTGCAGCCCACCAACCAAGGCGGGAGCTCCCGCTAAGATGTATCACCAATTTTTTTTTCTTCTGCATGGACAGCAGGGTTTTTCCGGTAAAAAAAAAAGAGACATGGAATTCGCGTTTAGGCTGTCTGATCTTTGTATGGAGCTAGGGTACGGATAACCCACCGGAAGTCTCGGTCAAATAGTGATGTAAGTTTTAGTCAACTATGGCGTCTTAGAGATAGGGGCTTCTGGGCGTAGAGAGGCCCGTCTGGTGGTGGCCCCGTCTCGTGCCTTCCCCGCTGTTTCGCCAGTTCCCCTCACTTGATCACCTGCGCTTTAGAATCACTGCACGTTTTCGGATCTTTTCAAGGTGCATTGAATTTTTCAGCCGGGCTTATAATCAGGGAATGCCTAACTTTGGCTATGAGTTCTTTGTTGAAAATAATATCAGCAGAGCTATGGAAACGATCTGTGAGTGTGGGGCCACGCGGAGTGTCGCATGAGGATTAGTTCTGATGGGCACAGATGCCCAGCCAAACTCTCAGATGCACTCGTAAAACGTCAGCATATAACGCGGACTGACGATTAGAACGGACCATGATGAGTAAAATGGAGTCATGCGTCTTTGGTACTTCTAATGGAATACATCATGGCGCGTGTAGAGATCACATTACAAAACTAGCGGGGATATCGCAACCCTAATCTTCGAGCCCAGCCAATAGGGACGCGGATGGATGATTGGAGCATTTGCGTCTAGACCATGCTCCAGAGTTGCAGGATACGCAACCATGGTATAGGACAGAGCCTGTGCCTAGAATAGATGGAGAGGAGGAGTCTGCTTCTGTCAGGGGAATATTTTGGAAAAATAACCACCCATTCAGTTCTATCGAATAGGGAATGTATTAAAAAAAAGGGCATCTCCGTTACCCATGCCATTACCGACTTCTCCCCGTGGGCGTGCATGCATTCTCGGAATATCTATGCGTCGAGCTATAATCCGTGACAACCACTGAATCGCAATTCTCATATAACATATGTAATAACGGTTCAGAATTGACTATCCCAATACCGTCGCAAGGTCAGAGATTAAATTAATTTCCAATACTGCGTTGGTGAGTGTAACACTAAGTCGTGATTCCCCACGTAGTGACTCCCTCCGTCGTGGCTCCCTCCGCCGCGGCGCTTGCATGGGCGTGCGTCGGATATACCAACAGAAAAAGTCACGCAAGGATACACTACTTATAAGCCGGACTCCCGCTATGGTTTGCTCTCCTGCTTCACATTCCCACCAACACTCTTCTCAAACAGTCGTTCTCACACCCAATTACTTCCGTTATCTTAACCTGTTTGCTACCCTAACCATGCCAATTACAGTCTCACCAAGGCTTCAGGCCCACATCGACAGCATTGTCGCGGGCTTTGAGGTGACCCCCGAGTTTCTCACCAAGGCAACCAACCACTTCATGGCCGAAATGGACCGTGGGCTCGCGACCACCGGGCCATCCAGGTGTATGCCAATGATTCCAACGTACGTGACTTCCATTCCAAAGGGCACGGAGCACGGGGTCTACCTCGCGGCGGATCTTGGCGGCACCAACTTCCGTGTGTGCTCTGTAGACCTCTGCGGCGACGGCAAGTTCAAGTTGGAACAGATGAAGGCAGCCGTTCCACACGATTATATGAAGAACCAGAAGGCCGAGCCGTTGTTTGGCTTCCTCGCAGGCAAGGTGGCGGCGTTTTTGGAGACGCACCACGGAGAGAAGTTCAGTTCGGGGAGCATCGTGAGTGACGCACCTGTAACGCCTCCGGCATCCGCGATGAAGCTCAAGCTCGGGTTTACCTTCTCCTTCCCCGTTGACCAATCGGCCTTGAACCGTGGGAAGCTCTCGCGCTGGACCAAGGGCTTCGACATTGACGAGGTTGTCGGTCAGGACGTGGTTTTGCTCTTCCAGCAAGCCTTAGACGCGCGCAACATTCCAGTTGAGGTTGTTGCGCTTGCAAACGACACTGTCGGTACGCTCCTCTCGCGCGCGTACACCGCGGGCGAGTCGCGTAAGGGTGATGTTGCGATCGGGTGCATCTTCGGCACCGGGACCAACGGGGCGTACGTGGAAAGGCTCGACAAGATTACCAAGCTCGACGCGGCGACGCGTGCGGAGTTGGAGGCGCGTGGCGTGCACCACATGGTGATTAACACCGAATGGGGCTCCTTCGACAACGAGCTTCAGGTGTTGCCCAACACCAAGTACGACGCGTCAATCGATGCGGAGACGGCCAATCCCGGCTACCACTTGTTTGAGAAGCGGATTTCCGGCATGTTCCTTGGTGAGATTCTCCGTGTGGTGCTTGTGGACTTGTACGAGGAGGGTTACATTCTTCAACAATACAAGAAGGAGAACCGCTTGCCGCACCGCTTGACAACCCCGTGGGAGCTTGACTCTGAAGTTTTGTCGCGCATCGAGATTGACGATTCCCTGAAGCTCAAGGAAACATCTTTGAATCTTCACCAGGCGTTGCGCTTGCCTACCACGCCGGAGGAACGTGCGGTGATCCAGCAGTTGACGCGCGCAATCTCCAAGCGCGGTGCGTATTTGTCCGCCGTACCATTGGCCGGGATCTTGCTCAAGACCGGGCACGGCGATACGGGTGTCGAAGTGGGGGCTGATGGGAGCGTTGTGGAGTTCTACCCCGGGTTCAGGGAGATGATTCAAGAGGCGTTGAAGATGACGCCGTTGAGGGAGAAGGCTGCAAACGTGCACATAATGATTGCCAAGGACGGGAGTGGGGTGGGGTCTGCGTTGTGTGCGAGCACTACTGATTAAACGGTCTGTGCGAATTTGTCCCTCTGTTTTCCCACCTCTTGTATGTTACATCTCCATTTTTCTTTCACGTCACTTTCATGTATATTAATGACAAGTAAACTTTGCATAGGGGCTATATACGTAGAGGGTAAATTGGTGATTTTGAGAGCACGAAGGTTGGGATTGATGGCAAGTTCTGGGTCGATGTTTTTCTTAATGTCATAGCCTGTGGTGGGGATACTTAGGAGTTTAACCTTGTGCTGACTACGTTATTTGCAACAGATTTCTGTCTCACAATTTTAAAACTAGTTTCTAAAGGTAAGTTGTGTTGTTTCTATGATAAAAGGGTGAATAAGCATTCAGGTATTGTAGAAAGTAAAGCTCAGAAGGAAACTTTCAAGCTGGTAGAAATTAGTTTCTATTAATATCTACTATTTTCTATTAATATCTACAATTTTCAATCATTTTGTTTTACCATTTTACTAATTTTATAACTTTTTATCTCAGCTGCCAGGAAACTGAACATGGTCTACGGTCAAGACCAGGCCCGGAAATGCAATATCCGGTACCGAGCAGAACAGACCCGGTTCTTTTTGGCCGCAACCTGTCACTGCATGGGGTAAATAACAGAATCAAAAGGCTCATATTCCTTCTTTGACGTGACATACCAGACGGTGGAAGCAATTTCTTATACCCATTCCGTACAGGAGGCATCCCCTTTTGCAATTTCATACATTCACCAAAGACAACGTTTGCACGCACTAACCAAGATTGCCCCATCCGACAAGTGGCATCACCTGCAACCATAGCCAATCTCACTTCATCCAAGCCCAAATGTCTCTTTCTATCAGATCTGCCGCCATCCTCATCATCGGGGACGAGGTACTCAACTCCAAGATCCGCGATCTCAACTCCTACACGTTTGCCAAGTTCTGCTTCGCGCACGGGATCACACTCAAGGCCATCTCTGTCGTCGGCGACGAGGCTCTGGAAATCGCTTCGGAAATCAGACGTATGTCTGCTAAGTACGATTTTATTGTCACTTCCGGCGGGATTGGACCCACCCACGACGACATCACCTACGAGGCACTTGCTACTGCGTTCAACCTCCCCTTGAGGCTCGACGAAACGGTCGTCAAACGCATGAAGCAGCTTAGATCCCAGCTGACCTTCGACCTCAATCCAGAGCAATTGGCCGCACAGTACCGTATGGCGACCTTTCCTTTTGGCCCCGAAGTGAAAAACATCATCACCGACGAGTCGCTATGGGTACCAGTTGTAGCGATCCGCAACCAGGTGCACGTGTTGCCAGGAGTTCCACAGCTTTTCTCCCGCTTGCTCACAGGTTTGGGTGATATCTTGAAGCCACGCTTTCCCGACCTTTCTTCCCGTGAGTACCTTCGATACTATGTGAAAACCTCCATATCGGAGTCGCGCTTGGCGCCGTACCTTACGTCTGTACAGAACCAGTGGGACGCCACGTTGGCAAGCGAAGCGGTCGACGATAGGATCAAGATCGGTAGTTATCCGCATATGGGGTTGCGGATCAACACGATCAGCATTATCGGTTTGGTCAAGTTTAAATCACAGTTACGGGAAATCGTTGCGGGTGTGGTGGAGAACTTGGAAGGCCAGGAAATTTCCAAGGAGGAAGAGGACCAGATGAGTGTTGATATGACCGAGATCAAATTGTGAGGGCATACCCGTAGACGCATATAAGCATGAGGAGTGATGCTGAATAGCGGGCGAGGAGCTTGGTGTTTGTCTGGGTTTATCACCATATGCTAGATAGACTTGAAAAAATTCCAAATTCAATGATAATGTGGATATATGCCATTACCTAAACAAGACTTTTTATGGAAGCTGAGTATGGATGAGTGCAGTTCAATCAGAACTACGACGTCAAAGTTTACAGTCGGAGACGGTGGAAACGCTCATACGGGCAAAGTACAAGTTTTCATTCTTCCTTTAGGGCTCGAAAGGAACGGTAAAATCGAGGTAAACTTGAAGGTTCAGCAGGTCAGTGGTCCACCCAACCCCTCGTCCCGGCTGCCTCACTATACAATGCTACTTAAACACATAAAATATGCTTGAGAAGCACCGGGAACCGTTTCATTCGCAACAGATAGTAAGAATAATAGAGTTTTCGGAAGACTGGGAGTTTTCTTTCCCAGCGGTTTGAAGAGGCGCTGCATTTGACCGTAATGAGAATATTTGAGACGTTTGATTCGTTTCCCTAGAGCCATTCGAATTGGTTATGTAGCTATACCCATGTTAAAAACAACCTAGGTATAAGTCTTGATATATTAGAAAGATCTCCAATCTTTTAGTTGTTCAAAAGACTCATCTAACGTCGCAGGGCTTGATACTAATTAATGGCCGTTTGGCCGAGTGGTCTAAGGCGTCTGACTCAAGATCAGATCTCGTAAGAGGCAAGCGTTCGAACCGCTTAGCGGTCATTATTTTTTTGTTCACTAAGGAACTCTGATCCTGTTCGCAGGTTTAAATTGTAATATTGGAAGGTGGGCGTGGTCATCGAACGGAGTCGTTGCGCGTTTGATCAAAATACCAGTATGTAACGTCCCCTTTCTCTACGGCAACGACATATTGCCCGACCAATGTGAGACCCATAGCCAAAGTGGTGGGATACGGAAACTTGTACTAATGCTAGTATGTCTCTCCTCACCAAGGACAGCTACCAGTAACGTAATTTGGGATATACGACCAACCATGGCAAGTAACGTAAACCTACTGGTTGCGGTTGAAATATGTAAACATTAACTGCATTAGAACAGTACAGCACGTACCTAGATTTGAAACAAAGCAGTGCTAGTGTTTGGACACCACCTTTGAAGCTGGCAAGGCCTGACCGTATACGTAAGTCACTCAAAGCTCAGGCACTAGGAGGTCGACTATCGCCTGCCACCAGCATACCGGGTGGGGCTTAAAGCTGCCATAACCTAAATAAGTGAATGATTCATAACCATCTTAGATGCTTCCGCTGAGGTTCCTTAGTTGAGCTGGCTCGCTCCAGATTCCTCCGCCAACATGTTCTTGTGGTCGGCAGGGTTTGCGGCGGCCTCGTACATGGTGATCACGGGGTCTCTGGTGAACGGGGTGTATTCACCGCGCAACTCCACGTAGTACACCTTCAGCGTGTCAAACTCATCGTTGTCGTAGATATCTTCCACAAACAACGTCAAGTGCTGGACGTTGGTAAACAAGTGACGGGGCAAGAAGTGCTCCACGAACTGACCTTCAGTCTGTCCCTCGATCTGCCCCGCGACGTACCCCACCTGAGGCTGGGTGGTTGTGAACGTCGCCTTGGTCCCCTCCACGTTATCAAAGTCCACCATGGCGTTGTTTTTGAACAACTTGATGGTATGGGGGCACGAGCCGTCCCCGGACGTGCGGAGGATCACCGAGTAGAGCTTCACGTTGGCGGTGAAGGGGATGTTGAAGATGAGCTGCTCGTCACAGTCGCTCTCCACACATGGTGTAACCTCTTTCCGCACGTCGTAGTCACGGAATATCAACGGCAAATCCGTTGGCGGGTTCGCCATGTTGAGCGCTCGCACATTGGCGAGGTCCATCTGAGACTTGAGCGATTGCGTGGCACTGGTGGGGATCGGAGGCACGTGCGAGTGATCGTCGTGCGAATGCGAGTGCGAATGACAGGACATAGCTATGAGGGATTTTCGATATGGATTGATGTATGGTTAAGAATGTATCGAGAATTTGTGTCACCATCAATGACTTTGGCGCAATTTTCCGCAAGGCAAAACCCCAGCTTAAAAAAAGCCGCGCTTGTATGCACGATGAGGTCATACAGAGACTTGGAGATACGGACCACGTTTAATTCCTAAAACTGAAATCATAAAACTGGTGCTGAGGGTAGATTGGAAGATATTTGTAGGATTAAGTATAGATTTGGGTATACTTTGGAATTAAACCTGTGTGTTGACAGAGGTAATTATTTCCTCATAGTTAAGCGCATTCAGCTTCGTGAGACAATATAGAGAAAATGGAATGGGAAATACAAATCATATGGGCAATAATAAGGAACCACCATAATCTGTTGTACAATAGGAGGTATTAAAGATGGCACTATCTTTAACTCAATCCGGAAACCGTAAGGATCCGCTTCCAAACATAAACGACGGGGCGCAGAAGTGCCAGGACTAAAGGCAAGTAGGCCCAATTCCGTGGTTCAACCATGGATAGACGATCTAAGTATATTTAATTTAACAGATTTGGATTGGTCTCAGCTAGTGAAATTAAATGAAAGCCATTTACACCTTTCGATCTAAAGTTACGTATCCTGCTTTCTAATTTTTGCCAAGGGCTTATCTAGCGCAACCGTCGATGTCTGTTGACTTTTAGGAGCGTATTTATCTTCAACCCATTACAGAGATAATCCCAGGATGATGGATAACTTATGAAATAATTAATTCGCCGTATACTCTCAATGGAAATGATTTCTGCCAGAACTATTAAATCCTGGCACTTAGGCCAGCCTGCACAGAGCGATCCTGTGCCTCGCTTAACTTATTACACAATAGGTGACTTGCCACAAGACTTGCCACAAGACTACCATAAACTAACCATCCATATCCCTTTATTCTTTGCTTTGACATCGCATATTATGTGCTGATTAGTTGCTGAAGCTGTAACCGCCAAAGACATGAACTTTCAGCAGCTCATTTTGCTCGGGTTCCTCGCCACCTACTCCCTCACCCCCAACAGCTCCATCTTCAAGCTTTCCTGGAACGATGTGCGGACACTTACCGCTGCCTACACGCCTAGAGTTATTTCCCACCCCCAGTTTTCTATCCTCTGTCATGCCTTGCTCTCCCTCCTGCCTCTCCGGTTCTTTGCCACCGCCTTCCTCCTCGCCTACACCTTTGACACATACATGCTCCGCCACCTCATCCTCCGCAAGGTGTGGCTTCTCACGGCAGAATTTTCAGAAATTGTAGCGGCGCTGGAGCTGATAGATCCCAGTTTACCACCGCTCCTGGCTGAAACATACAACTACCAAAAGTACATTGTGGTGTACGATATTGACAAGCACGACAAGGCCAAGGCCGAAGGAAACCAGGTCTACTATGTCGACTTTCCCCGCGTGTTTTGTGTACGTCGGATGGCCGAACAGGCGCTTTTAAATGTATCTGTGAAGGACGAATGTACCAAAAGGCTTCACGAAGCGACCGCAAAGGCGCCATGGCACCTGAAAGACAGCTCTACCCAGGAGGCAAAGCCCAATCTGGAGCCGGCGGAGCTTTGTGCCATCTGCTTCGACGATTTGGTCCCGGAAGACCACATTATACAGCTCAACTTGTGCTGCCGCAAGATTTTTCACGCCAACTGCTTCTGTTATTGGCTCGGGATTCTAGAGATGCCGGTGGAGCCGGAGCCGGAGCCAGAGCCGGAGGTACAGGAGGGTACTAGGACCCCTCCTCCGCAGAGGGGCATCCGCGACTTCTGGAACCGCCTAAGGCAGAGCATCACGAGGCTCAACGATGATTTGCCGCGAATGGTGGACGATTATCTCAATGTGAATCCGAACGAACGCCCGAGGGAGAATGAACGTCCGGGGATCTGGGAAAACCTCCGCCGCCAGCCCCGGCGCAACTTACAGCGAGAGTTGGTGACCCAGCAGCGGAAAATTGAAGTCCGCCAGCACACCATTCTGTACTTGGTGAAGAAATGTCCGCTCTGCGCTCATCTGTATCTTCTTGATGCTAACCAGTTTTACAATCACCAATACGCATTTTACAACAAGGCTGCGTCGCCCTGGAAGGAGTTTCTGGCGCAGTGGCAGGGCCAGGGCAAGAACATGGAGTGGGGCGGGAAGCACTCGATGTGTTTTCTTTTTGCTCATGATTTTATCAATCAGTACTTGATGAATGTCAGTCGAGACTGGGCACCGGGCCAGACCTGGATGTGGCTGGTACCTGACTGGGTCGCGTGGAATGTGGTGGTGGTGTGTATCTGTGGGTGGATCATGCTTGTGGGGGTGGGGTTGTACAGGGGGAGTATCTAGTTGCGAGAACGCGCCATGGGCTCGGGCTAAATAGGGGGGTCCGAGTTATAGGCAGGTGGTTTACACAAGATCTGGGACTCAGAGTCGTTCAAGATCTAGGGCACCCCTAGAACGAGCTGTCTGGCATATTTCCTCCGACATTAAACTTTGGTTGCTACAGGCAATTTGAAGTATATCAGGGAAAGAAATCACAAGTTACATTTCACTAGTTAAAATAGCATTTGTATATGCGTGGGGTGTGAAACGCAAGCTAGAATATGGCTACAGAGACGCTTCTGCTCTTCACGTATGAGGATATGGACAATTATGGGGTAAAATATAAGTGAGTTTATTGCGTCTTTACGTAATTAGTGTATAGTGGCGACTGTGCCCACACAGAGACAAAGTGTTCCATTATGGATACGGAGGAGTATTCTTGACTTCCAAATGTAAGCGATAGTTGGATTAAGACATAAAAATATACATATAGACAGAGAATAAAGGGTGAATGGTTTGAATATCAATTCCCGGTCTTTACCAATATAACGTTGTGAAGGTGGTGGGTAGAAAAAAAGAACCCACGGCGAGAGTCGAACTCGCAATCTTTTGATTAGAAGTCAAACGCGTTAACCATTACGCTACGCAGGCATTCAATAGAAATTAAAAAGTTGGAGTTAACTACGATATAGAGTGTATTGTAATATTTACTCTTGCTAAACATCTAGCTATGATACTGCACGGTAAATTTGGGTTTATTAATTACCCATTGAAATAATATCAAGGCATAGTGCGGAGATAAATTTTAATAATTAATCCCCGCTTTATATACTCCACTTTCCTAGGAAACAGCAGCTGCACCACACCACTTTCCCGGTTGGCAGAATAAACTAATAGTATATATAAAAACCATCTCCGGAAAACGCAAGTTCCTGAGAAGAAAAAAACATATACAATTTAATCATTAGCTTAATACTTCCTATTCTCTGATCGGTCTTTCCACATGATCTATAGTTTTGATAGCACGCCGTTTTCGGATCTAGAAAATGCGTTTTCCTGGGTCTTTGAAGACTATGACGGTTATTTATTTGACTTTCCCCGAATTATTGAGACTCCTGTTCGCCCCAATTTTCATAGACGCCGCCACAATACCAGGGAAGATGAGTTCCGGGAGTGGAACAGCGAGATAACCAGCCTCGCGAATGATTGCTACTCCACTCTCGATGCACTCATGCTTGACTGTCACGACTGTCGAGTCTTCTACGGAGGGGAGCCGCTGATTCCTCATTCCCAACACGCATCTATATCCGAAACACTCGAATGCCACCAAGACTGCTCGCGTGAGTACTCGCGGTTTGTCAGTGAGCTGATCCCTAAATTGTCGTACCGACAGTTGATGGAACCGCTACCGCCATCACAGGTTTTAGACAACGCCTGTAGTGTGTGCTTTGAGAGTTACAACCTGGAAAGCATTGTCAAGAGGTTACCGTGCACACATTACTTCCACGCCGCTTGTATTGATACGTGGCTCTTGCAGTATACAACTGAGGAGGATGCTTCCCTCGTAGCCCCTAGATCAGGAATTTACCAAGGACTCGATAATTCGTTTTACTGGGATTACCTCGGTCGGGAATCACTTCTTAACCAGTCAACGTGTCCGGTATGTCGGTTAAATGTGTTTGGGGTGTTTAGATCGATGGCGCCAGGCCAAAGAAGTTACTAAACTTGTATATGTTTATGTTTGGAAAAGCGGTAAGTTCCTTGGTTTATAACCATATTGACAAATACCTGTAGGAGATGGAAAGATCCAAGAGAATTTTCCGGTCATTGTTGCATAAAATGATATTTTTGAATGGGACTTGAGGGTAGGGCTTTGTGCAAACAACTAGGATTTACCAACGGGTGACCTTAGTCATTGTATCAGGCCACCATATATATATATAGAGTATACAATTAAAATTGATAGTTATCCTTTTGCAAATCAACTTATAAGACAAATACTTTTCTATCCACAACTACGTATATGTAGATGGATAGAAACCAATTATGTATGCTTCGATATATCTCAGAATCTATTATCTGTCAGTCTATAGTTGACAACATCAAAGATAAGCCGAATTAAAAATCAGAATACAGGCTACATGCTACACAATGTCAATTTATACACTCTATTTTACTTAGAGTGGAAAGTATCACCATAATTTTCCATCCAGTGACACCTACATGCTACTTGTCGTACATCACCAAACTCCAGTATCAACCTCTAGCCATTTTATCCCTTCACTATTTAATTCTGTAAAACTATTAAAGCATTATTATTATCAACATATAGTTAGGTACCTTGCCATTTTTTGCTCCCACGTTGCATACGATCGTTAATCATTTTCGCGGGGATAAAAATTTCGCCGTACAATTTCACACCCCTCCACTTCCTCTTCCTCTTCACTTCTCTCTTAACTATGGTCCACACCGCAGAATTCCTCCCAGCCACCGGCACCGATATCAGTTCCGTGCTTGCAGGTGGCTACAACCATCCACTTTCGCGTGAGTGGCAGGCCGAACGCCAGCTCACCAAGAGCATGTTCATCTACCCGCTCTTCGTGACCGACTCGCCAGACGAAGAGACCGACATCCCATCGTTACCTAACATCAAACGCCGTGGGGTGAACAAGATGGTTGCGCATGTGGAAACGTTGGTGGCGAAGGGCTTGCGTGCGGTGATCCTCTTCGGCGTGCCGTTGAAGGAGGGCGCCAAGGACGCCGTGGGGACCGCTGCTGACGATCCGGAGGGCCCGGTCATCCAGTCGATTAAAGTGTTGCGTGCGAGATTCCCCGACTTGTATGTCATGTGTGACGTGTGTCTTTGCGAGTACACCTCGCACGGTCACTGTGGCGTGTTGTACGAAGACGGCTCGATCAAGAGAGAACAATCTGTAGCGCGGCTCGCGGCCGTGGCTGTAAACTACGCCAAAGCCGGTGCCAACGCCGTCGCACCATCAGACATGATCGACGGGCGTGTCAAAGACATCAAGCTTGGGTTGATCAACGCCGGCTTGGCCCACAAGACGCTTCTCATGTCGTACGCCGCCAAGTTTGCCGGCGAGTTGTACGGGCCGTTCCGCGAAGCTGCAGGGTCCGTGCCTTGTCATGGTGACAGAAAGGCTTACCAACTTCCGCCCTCTGGCAGGGGCTTGGCCCACAGAGCGATCGAACGCGACTTGAACGAGGGTGCCGATGCGATTATCGTCAAGCCGTCAACCTTCTACTTGGACATCATAGCCGATGCTGCCGTCTTGGCCAAGGATGTGCCGGTATGTGCCTACCATGTGAGTGGTGAGTACGCGATGCTCCATGCCGCCGCGACGCAGGGTGTGGTGGACTTGAGGAGCATTGCTTTTGAGTCTCATCGCGGGTTTTTGAGAGCCGGCGCGCGCTTGATTATTAGCTATTTCACCCCGGAGTTTTTAGAGTGGTTGGAGTTCTAGGCTTCTTGTCCTCCGTTTATTTATCTTGTATTTATTGATCATTAATTTGAACGTGTAGGGATAGGCTGTTTTGATTTTATGGTATTCCTTGACCAACCTCAAGGGTGGATGTGTACGATGGAATGGTATTGTCACTTAGCCCTGTTTCACCTCTACTCTTGGTTATAATGCTTTTGCCCGATGGTTACACTCGAGAAGTTCAGTGTTACCAATGGGGTCAAGGCGAAACAGAATATTCAGAAATGCTGTGCACATGGTGTCTCTTCTAGGTAACACACCTTTAGCTGAGAATATTGATCGCTCTGTACACTAGATATATAAACAAGTGAAGGGGGGGTAGAATAGGGATAACTATGCCACACAATTCCGAGTGAGGGGAAGAGTTTAGAGAGCGAAGGGTGTGGGCGTCGGCGACGCACGACGGGTAGAATATCACGTCTAATACATTGGTGGATAAGAAACTGATGTCTGGGTTGCCCAGAGCAATCATGGAGGAAATTATTTTGAGAGAAATTGTCTCTATTCCATGTCAGACCAACTTGTCTCTCGCACTATAATCTACAAACGCATCCTGTATGGTTTTACTGTGAACTCTTTCCACCGGTACAACACCCGGGGGACATGGCTCAACCCGCTTCCCATTCTGTGAATCAAGAACTCTCAGAGCTCAATCTTTCTCCAGCCTACAGATCGATAGCTAATTCTTACAAATAAAAAGCATCAAAAATAACATATATTGAGAGCGTGAGGTATCCAGTACCATGCGCTTAAGTCAAGTTGCTAGCAAGAGCAGCTACCTCGGCTGGGCTGAGAACCCCGGCCTGAAGTAACTCGGTTACGATAGTCAATGTATCAGCCTTCAAAGTAGGGTCAGAAAGGATATATTGAATTGTTGAGGTGATCAACCCGGAGTTTTTCAACGACGTTATAATAGAGTTGATAATTGACTGAGTAAAGGAATTATTAAGCAACGAAGGGGCTCTCTTTTCCACTACGGCGTCACGCTTTTGCAAGTGCGTCGCCTCGTAGTTTTTCAACAAGGCCAACGCGGCATTCAAGCTATCAATGTCACCAACGAGATCTGCAGCATCAGGAACGGCAAGAGGGGACGAAGTGACACACACGGAGGAGGCCAATAAAGTAGTGAGAAAAGCGGTAGATAACTTCATTGTAGAGGTTGAAGTGAGGTGTAAGAAATGGCCACTTTTAGTCAGATAAAACGACGGAAGGGCTTTGAGTTATATACTGCCCGAGCCGTTCTTGCACCGTTTTGTTGCCATCTGAATGGTCATTCTCCGACCCTGGTTGACGGAAATGGGGGGGGGAGACCAAAATACGAATCACAGTTTCATTTTAAACAGCAAGTTTTTATGGCTTGACCGGTAAATGGCCACTTACATCACCTGTGGAAAGGTGGGTGAGGGGAATACCGGGAACCAAGTACTGCATCTACCCTTCTTTCCTTTGTTCCCGGGTTAGAGTATAAAATTGAAGCATTCTTGAGCTTAAATCTCCACCATGCTCTAATTCGACGTGAGACAATGGCATATGATCAGCTATTTTGGCTATACAAATCTCATTTACAACGGAGACTAAGGTCTTAGACGTGCATGGGCCCTTATGCAGCCTGGTTTGCGGGGAGCCGTGACTGCCGTACCTATGTGATAGCGCATGGCTGCACGTCTTGAGCAAGGGTAAGTTTTCCCTTTTAAGCTTTCCACGAAACTGGATATGGTTGCAAATGATAATTTTAGCTCTCCTTTCATGCGCACTATACAGGTTATCCCCTGAAACGAACCGTGGATGTGGCTTTCACATGCGTGCAGCGCTTCCTTATACGCGCATTGAGGAGAGAGTGACCAGAACATGCCCCAAAGCATTTCATGGGGCTCCAATTGTGGGATTCTACAGACCTGGGAGCAGTTGGCCATCCGTGACGGATATGCGTTTACCGCAAGCAGACTTGAGATGGTGTCTATTTGCGCCCGTCTGCTGAAAACCCTGTCTTGTATGTTTCCCTATATAAAACCAACAGTTCCCGGTAGACCTCGCCGTTCTCAGAACCATCCCCATCTACCCCCATACAATCCAAATGAAGTTATCTCTTTCTCTCGTCACTGGCCTTTTGGCCACCTCTGCCTTTGTCACGGCTGACGCGCAGGCGCTCCCAAACGCCGTTGCAACTATTTCGCAGGCTGATGCTTTGAGCGAAATTTGGTCGTTGGTTTCTCTGTATGAACAGGCACACTCCGTGAAGAGAGAGGCGGACGTCAGCGTCGTCCTCAATCCGATATTGACCGGCGCCTTTTCTCTCTTGAAGGCCTCTGGCTTGGTAAACACATTTATAAAGATTTTGTTGTCGGACAAGTCAATTCAGCCGATCTTGTACGATGTTCTTAAAGACTTTTTGACGTCTGGCCTTTTGACGCAAGCTCAAATTTTGTCTCTTCTTTCCAGTTAGAACACGGGATTAGCTGGTCTATTCTATTACTTTCAAATGCTTCAATTTACGATTTTTTTAAATTTCAAGTTGTAAAATTACGGTTTGGTATACAATCACGTCATTTTGCGTTGCCTTTCTGGGTATGGCTCTATCCAATTGCGTTCACAATAACCCCCATCTCCGAATGTGTTTCATAAACTCGACCTAGATCTCTGACCAGATCTTTTAAATCCACACCCCCCGTTTTATCCCGACGGCTTCATTGTTAGCCCCGATGTTACCGTTACTAGTTAAAAGCTTAACCAATCTAGTTCAGGCCTAAATTATCTGTGAGTTTAGGCCTGATAGAAAAAAGTACGTCAAGACAGCCTGTGAAGCATTTCTCAATTGTAGCAATCGTTTGAAATTAATTCTGATCCAACCGAGGAGGCTGTTTTGAGCTGTGCATTTCGAGGAAGTACGGCCACACGACACCCCGCGGCGAAAAAATTAGTTTATCGATTCCTTAGGGCAGTCTCCAACAACTACATTTAGTGATTATACTCTCAGAAGATTTACGATCCTTATGCAGTTTTCTTGCTACAGATACGTTCAACCGAGGGCTAAATTGGGTAGGGTAGAGTTTGACAAAAAGTTATCGAGACATTAAGGTACAAAAGCCTGGAATTTGACTCTCCAAGCCTACATGTCAGAGTTAAAAAGATTACGCAATACCTAAGGGCCAACAACTTTCATATGTTTCACCCGAAAGGAAACACTTTATTGGAGTAGCTCAGTTGATTCTTTTATGCCCATGATCTGGTGTAAGGTTCTAGCAATATACCCACCACTCCTGCGTACAGGGAATAAGGGAGCTGCACCATGCGCGCATAAGGCCAGCCTAACGCCGACAAGCTTAACCGTGGAGTATCGCATATGTCATTCATGACTGTTTTGAAGCCCACACGGCGTAGACAAGGGTAGGAGGTATTTGAACCTGGTTCGATTGTTGGACGTACGCATGGAGCGTCTGGTTAAAGACATGGCTCATCAACACAAGTGAGGAGGCCGGGGGTTTTATCCCTTTTTGTTGGGTAAAATTCCGATAACGAATTTATGGATATTCAGAGCTGAGGCTGCAGCTTTGTGTGAGGCGTTCGCATTGCCATCAATAGTGGATTTGCGGGTGCTCAATTCGGCCATATACTGTTACCTGTTCTAAAGTCTGCGATATCGGCAACAATATAAATGGATTTTGGTGCGTAGGCGCTACAGTGTGAGAACTTATGGTACATGCCCAAGACTGGGTTATGAGAATTGTATTATCAAAGCTGTGTCAACCTCGTTAAATCCAAAGCCGTTCCATTTATATCATATGTTAACTGAAGATACGACTGAATCCTAGTTTACTAGCAGATATTATAATTGCTCTGCGGTTAGTAAACTAATGTAGTTTTCCTGGGACTAATAATTGATGTACTGTAAATCATGACACTCTGTGAGCCACCAGAATATTGAGATGGTAATTTAATGTGTTTATTTGTAATATTTCGTTTCTTAGGGCTCCATATCTGGTTTACTCACGCTTAACTCCAAGCCTTTCTGCGATATATCTAGTATGTAGTAGTGGATACTGTTAGTTAGCTAAAAGAGAATGCTTTTCATTCGTAAGATTTACACAAGGTGGTCGGTGGCCTTATATACTGAGGCGGATACGATGCCAGGGTGTCCGCTTATCGGAGATAATGCATGACGACTTCCTTCCGGTTAAATGGCACCACACTTTCCGTAACTAACAACAGACAAGCGAAACACATTGGAAGCTGCATGGTTGCTCTTTTGTCTTTGGAATATCAAGCAGTAGCAACGTTAAATAGCCATTAATGTTTTCCAGCAATAAGGAATCGGAGTGATGGCGAGTATGAAAATAAAGCCAGCCCCTTTGAGGCTCTGCTTTTCATGGCTCAAGATATTTATATTCATAGAACATCACTCGCACACGGCATCCTTAGATTCTCGCCAAGTGCATAAACGACAGCATGAGCGATTGGTTTGTTGAAAGATCCAGGTTGAATGGTGTAATTTGGGTTTCCATGGGACTTTACCGATCCGGAACGATTTTTGTATTTTTTTTTTTTTTTAATCACGGTTTAGGGCCACTATAGCTACATCTCTACCACGATAGGTTCACGTTGGAGATCACAAATACGCGGGAGATTCGGCGATAGTGGTAAACGGTATTCCGCCAATGTAAAGGACATCGTGCTCGAGTTGGTTATTCGAATCACGGCATATCCAACAAGATTTGCGCATCTTAGATAGGCCAGATAAACTAGAAGAGGTCTCCCGTCTGACTGTTAGTATACGATATTTTGCAACTCGACGTCTGTACGACAGAATGGACGCGAAGCTGCATGTAGATGGTTCTGGACTGACCAGAGACCCTTGGCTCCAAATGTCGATCAAAAGCCTGAGAACATTATTCAAGAAAAACTGAATCTCTCTGGCTAAACATCTGACTCAATATTAGCCATAGGCAACGACGAGCAACGCTGGAGATAGAATCGCAGACGTGTATGGAGAGTTTGCTGGGTCCTAAAACAACTGGCAGATAGGTCCGAGGTTCTTGATTGCTGGCTATTCGATATATTATTCTCAAATGTCGAATTACAGGCGCCGTCACCACATAACTGCTAGTTGAATTCACGCTATAAATATCCTCTAGTGTAGAGACGCAATAGTCTCGACAGGATTGGACTTGCGGTCACGTGGAGATAGTCCTTTAGATGTCATCACATGCTTCCAAAGCGGAATTAGTTGTGCGTTTTACGGCATCTCCGCTTATATCCATATATCAGGTTTTTTATCACGTGCCCTGTCTGGTTGCGACATCCGTACGACTGACGAGCCATAGCTACGCGCCTAGGTACAGGTAATTTATCGGTCAGGGATCTGGACCGCCGGTTACAAGAACATGGCTTATTCTGGAACTGCACAATAGCCCCTGAGACAGAATAGACATTCATTAGAATTACTTTTTTCAAAATGCAAGGCACAGCGGTATTCCTGCTCATGCAAGTTCAATAAAAGCCTCGCAGCATTTCGTCCAATGAGATATTCTCGTTCATCGTTTGTTCGAGCACAGGTAAGTCGACAGGGTTTTCTACGCAATGACCAGATTGGTCTCTCAGCTCAAATAGCTGTTCAGTTATGTCATCACGTATAGCTTGTTCCCACCAGCAGGTTGGATGAATCACAAACTTTGTCGGTTTAGGCTCAGCCCGAAATTCCAGATATATCAAACTTGCAGTCGAATTCACGCATGGTACTGTATCAAAAGGTAGTATAATCGACTAGGGAGGAGATCTTGATCTCCCTATATTCACTGGCGTTAATTACAAAAACTTCCGTATTGTTAACTCTAGGATTTACAATTTTTGTACCATTTCAATTTCCATGAGTTCACTTCAGTCACTAGCTAACCTTGCAACCTTTAAACCTTTTTAGTGTACTATTTTCCCTGTCATTTACTTGCAGGTCAGACCACCATTCAGCTTGTATCGGTTCCTCGGAAAAGTCCTTTAGTAGATTCCATTTTCCATTTTAATCTCGTGATGCTAGGTCAGGAGAAGCGTCAGGGGCGACTTTTGTCTCGAATCGTAACTCAACTTTCTCTGCATCTGGGTGGTGATCCAACTGACGCACGCGTGCAGTGAAAATCTTTCCACAGCTAAGCGGCAGTAGCAGCAACTTCAAACATTTTACCGCACCCTCCAATAATGAATAAATAACTATTAAAATGTGGCTATTAGGAATTATAATCTTTGGTACAGCTTGTGATGGAGCTAGTCGGCCCCAGCTCGCAAAACTGCCGGTGAATACGCTTGGCGAAAGGTAAAGAGATAATCACTGATAGGCTTCAAGAAAGAGATAATCACTGATAGACTTCAGGAAAGAGCAAAGCAAGGTCGGAAACAGTCAGCTCGTACCTCACCGATAGATTAACGAGCGCTAAAAGAGCATGGGAAGGTTATGGCTACCGCGCCTTCCATATCCATTGTGCCCTGTATTCCCTGTCAGGGCGCCTTGGCTTGGAATTCGTACGCCCTGTCAGTTACACTAGCATCAATCACGTGCTCTAGAATTTGGGCCTAGGATCCCTCTAGCTATTATGGAGTATGCAATCCCTCTCGTGGTGAAGGACAAAGAGTTCCCAAGGCTGTCTGGTGGCATTAAAACTCCCCTAACCCCGTGTACCCTTAAAGCCGTGGTAGACACCAAGTTCAGGTCTAGATCTCATCACGAATCATATGGCAGTTTTCAGGCTAGCTTACTTCCCAAAGTGGATGCCTGCAAACTTTAACCGATCACGCCGAGGCTGTGGCACTGAGCTTGGGGTTTCTTTTTCTCGATCTTTGCTCAGACATGTATAGCGCGCTCTCTGCAGAAAATGCATGCCAGTTCCACGACTTCTTTGCATACCTCGCCACGACCCTCTTTAGGCACTCCTATGCAATGAAATATTACTTGAAAACGGTTTTTTTTTTTTGAACCAAGGCTTTGTTTATTCAACCTCGTCTAGATTCTCCTCTCAGGCAAGGAACCTGTTTGCCCGCCTTATTGTCTGAATTCACTCGTGTAGTATCCCTTTACGTAGTGCAGCCCATTGATGCTTAAATTGGGCTAAAAGGGGTTCGATGAGGCACCGGATTCTGAAGTGAGAAAAATGCAGAGAGTTAACGTTCGAACTGGTGTGCTACTAATTACAGCGTGAATGCCTGTCAATAAAATTTTAATAGCCCGCTCTGACAGTTCCTCTCTAAGCTGTACCTGGTAATCCCTCCTTCTTTAACCGCTTTGCCGAGTTCTGGGCGTTCCACGTGAGAATTATCGCCCACACGTACCACGCCTGACCATTGTATGGTTACATGCAATGCACGCATGTCGCCACGATGCTCCGCCCTATCCCTGCGAGACTTATATTCCGTGTACGTTAACCAAGCGGTATGTGCGAAAAAGACTGTCGCCGTGTTGAAGGCGCCAATTTACGTCGACACGCGGGCGTTCAAATACGAGCATCTCCTGCTATTTCTGCAACTGCTGCATAAACTGTAATAATATCCCCCCTTTGGTCGCTCGTTAGAGGGTAAATTACAGGCATTCTGAATACTCTCTGAAACGCACTAAACACACTATATTTAGCACACGCCGAGCACCTGTATAAATATTTGCCACTGCCCGATTTTTCTCAGATTTAGATTTCGATCCCCAATAACCACCGTATTCACACACACACACACACAACCTCTGCATATTTCTCACAATGTCTACACCACAATCCACCACCGATTTGCAGTTGCAGTCCCAGTTAGAGTCGAACTTCAAGTCGGCCTTGCCACCAAGAAAGAGGGCCAAGACCCAGGAGGAAAAGGAGCAGCGCCGGATCGAACGCATCTTGCGTAACAGAAGAGCCGCGCATGCCTCTAGAGAAAAGAAGCGTAAGCACGTGGAGTACTTGGAGTCCTACGTTCAGGAGTTGGAGTTGCAGCTTACCAGAGTCCTGGCCAACCAAACCGTTTTAGAGGAAGACTGTAAGCCTTCCGCTGAAACCTTGGCCAAGTTGGAAGCTCTCAAGGACTTGTCCGACTACAAGGAAAACTGTTGCTTAACGTCCACCGTCACGTCCACCTCCACATCTGAGCCTTCCTCTAAGAAGAGAAAGGCGTCACAGGACGATGACGAAGATGATGAAGACGACTACGACGACTACGATGATGCAAAGGAGGGGGCCACCGATGACCTTGAAGTCAAGGCGGAAGAATCCGACGCCGTTCCAGTCGCTCCACAGTTGTCTGTTAAGCAAGCCGCTTCTGAGGTGGCTAACTCCCCTTTGATGGGCGCTCAGCCAGTTCAGAATGCCTACTTGAACATTCAAGGCCAGAACCACTACTACAACTACCTCTCCCCAATCTCGATCAACTCCCCGATCTACGAGTCTCCAATGGATCTCACCTTGGACTCTTACTCCCCTAGTCCATCCACCACCTCGTCTCAGGAAGATTTGGTCTTGTTCCACAACTTGTCCAACGTCCCAAAGACGATTCTCCCATCAAGCATGGACTTCACTTTGAAACACGAAGAGAGTGAATTATCCGATTTGTTGTTATTTTCAGACCTTTCGCACACTCCAGCAGTGAGTGTCGCAATGTGATTTAAAGAATTAGAAACTGGCGGCTCATTTGAGCTGCTTGCATCTGTTGCCTGTTGGGCGGTAGGATCGATACACCTGGTTATTCAATGTGTGTGTGTGTCTGCGGTATCCGATCCCCGTTCAACTGCTTCATTGCCTGGCTGCCTTCTCGCTGGTCGAGATGCGATCCAGACTGTTTCTTTGTTTCACATTAGGGTCCGAAGTGCCGGGGTCTGATATTAACAACCAATTATTTGCCGATAACTTGATGGATGAGTTGATGTTCCTTCAGTAAGGGCGTTTTCCTTAGTGTATATTATAGAAAGAAGGGTGTTCTTTCGTTCTGGGTCTGAGTTTTTTTTTTCTTCTGGGTTTTCGCTTCATTTCTATGCAGCTTCCATTCCGTTGGCCGTTGTCCTGTTTCCCTGTCTTTGACTCTCGGTTTCTTTTTAGAGAAAATGGGCAGTTCAGTGCGTGAGGATAGAGGTTTAGACAGTGTTGAGATACTTTGCTTGTTCGGACGAACAATCGTGGCGCGCCCTGATCGTATTACCTAGGGCTGCGACTGTGTTTGTCTTTGAACCAATTGTCTCTGCACGGTGTCTATTAACTCCATCTTTGGGTTTCTGTTCCGTTTCTGCTTTCTTACAAGAGATTGGATGATGAGAAGGTGAGTTGGATGTGGCTGCAATTGGAAGTTTGTTCTTTTCTTTTGGTAACCTTGTGTTTCCTTAAAATAAAAAATAGTATATATTAAATCAGTGTAGGTGTCATTGTTAGACTATGCAGCCGTGTTTTTAGGGCCTTGCACTTAGGAGTTTGAATTTTTGTGCAGGACTAAATTGGTTAAACAGATGTGGTTGCATAGGAATCAACTGGTGACAGGGTATTGGTCAGGAATGGGTTCCAAAATTTTAGCTGGGAAACGTTTTTTCTCAGTGATCTGATGAAATTCTGTTAGGCTGGTACTTAAACCCTCATCTAGCATGTCCGTATCTGGCTTGATGACTCAATGGCAATAGAACTAGGCATGTATATATGAGATACTGCCAAATCCTTGTTTGGCAAATAAGCGAGGGGGTATACAGAGATTCAAGAGTCAACTGTTGGTCTAGATGAGCAAAAAGAGAACCCACGGCGAGAGTCGAACTCGCAATCTTTTGATTAGAAGTCAAACGCGTTAACCATTACGCTACGCAGGCATTCGTTTTTCGTGACGAGGACTTTATCATGTTTATGGTTAAGCAAGAATGTATGTTTACGATGAGGCAGGTGCGGAATTTGGGTTAAAGATGGGATTTTCGTGAATCAGAAATTTATCCTGGTTAATTTCTGGCTATTTATTGTTGAATAACGTTGGTATTCATGATAAATAATCAATACTAGCTGATTATAATCTACTTGTCCTTCGGTAAGGTATGTTTTGAATATTTAAAATATATTTGTTAATTATATCAAAAATAAAAGTAAAGACTTCATATTCCTTTTTATAGACAATTAGCTATACTGAAATAACTTCTGAGTCATTATTTGATCAGGGTAAGTCAGCCTGGCATTCCTTTATACATTTCAATTCTGTGACGTCAAATATGTGCAATGGCAGATTTCAACAAATGCCATTCTTAAAGGCTGAATCAATACTGGTTGTTATTTTTCCAATATTTATGTATATTTTAGTCATGCCAATATACAAACATATATACATATATATATTTAATACGTAACATTAAAATAGTGTCAGTATCTCCATACTCATTGGTTAACGACTGGACGTTAATTTTACTAGCAATATTAAGACTGCCGACGAGAAAATCAAGCTCAGTAAACTCATAATATACGCCATTGGTAGTGGCCGGAAACCGTAACCCCAATATCCTGCCTCTATGGCCAAGTTGGTAAGGCACCTCACTAGTAATGAGGAGATCGTCAGTTCGAATCTGGCTGGAGGCATTTTTGCTACTTGGATCTTTTTTGGGGTCCCCATTTACAAGGCAGATCGCAGGAGGAGTTTGGGTCGGATAACAACCGCACCTTAAATCCTTTTGAAGTTCTAGTTGAAAGAATACGCTCAACTCCACTCATGGTTTCCTGATCTTGGGTTAGTCATGTGGGAGTAACGATGGGGGAGGAGCCTCCCATTTTTACTTGTGTTTTATCCAACCTCCTTGAACCCTGAAGGGTGCCAACCTCTGGTGTGTGTCGTTCCCTGGTATTAGGCCATGTAATATTAGTCTGCACTGAAAAGCCAACTGTCATATACAAGAACCTCTACCCTCTGGTTAGGTAGTGGCCTCATCTACGCAACCCGAGGCGTACTCGGAAAGACGGTGACGCTAAACCAGAAACATTATCAGTGTTACTTATCGCTTTCGTATCCACCTGATTGACTTTGCCGCTCTGCCATATGGCCACTTCCCGTCATGTATCACCTAGATGAGGCAGCCAAAGATAACCTGAAATATCAATCCCTAGATATAGAGAGTGGAGAGCCAAGACATACTTGCAACGCACAAATGCCCGATTACAAACCGCCTTACACTAGCCAGAACAGATATCTGACGCTTCGGGGGTCCCAAGAACAGTAGACGGCCGTTGGTGAGACAACCAACAATCTACGGCCACCCGGTGTGAATAGTAATACTACAGGCAAATCCACGCGGAATGAAAGAAGTGTATTAAAAAAGTGCCGGAGACAAGACATCGGGAAATAAGTTAGAAGTAGGCACCAACGAGAAAATTAAAGGGCCCTAATGAGAAAATTAGGTGGGGCCGGAATGAGAAAATAACTTAGACGGCTTAACATATTTAGGGAAGCCCTGGATGGAAACGACAGGCCGTACGAGCCGTAGATGAAGAGACAGAATTGGAGACAGACCTCGTCAGGTAGGATCTAGTTCTGGGGTTGGAAGTGGATCCGGATCGCTCAGTTCTCGTATTCACTCAAGTAAGGAATGGAGACGCGCAAACGGTGGCTCAGTTCCAACTTAGGGATGACGCAGAGCAAGCAACAAGCACCGTTGAAGATGGACATTCTGACGGAGTAGTTTGTGAAGTGGGTAATGCACAAGAAGAGCGCAATGGGCATGCCCATCAAAAACTTCTTGGCCGGGGTGTACTGGTCGCCGTTGTCCAACTGCTCCCACATGGTCAACTTGTCGTAGGCACCCAGATTGAATTCAAAGGGCGTACCCTTGACCTGATGGAACATGATGTAGGAGCCGACGGTGTAGGTCAAGTTGGTGAGGGTCCAGTTCAACTCCGCGGTGTTGAGGCCGTACGACTTGAGGATCAACGTGTAGAACACCTTGACGAGTCCGATGATGACAAAGTGGATGACCCACGCACCCTTGAAGTTAATCCAGTTGGCGTTCAAGTTGGTCTGTAAGTCCTGGTCGTTCAACACGTCCTGGGAATCAGGCGCCATATGCTGGATCTTGATGGAAGACGAGCGCCGGGCACGGGTTCTTGGCATGGAGGTGACGGGCGCGTCGTATTCTGAGGGCACATTGGTGCCGTCAGGTGGTGTTAGCGACGGAAACGACTGTTTGCGGGAGGTTGTGGGGGTTAACGATGGCATCTGTGATTGATTGTGTGTGAGTGTAAAGAACGTTGATGTGGCCCTTTTCGCTTTAGGCTCACGAATTTTTATATAGGCCGAGCGCCCCCCGACCGTGAGCTTATGTGCAGGTCTCGTCGGTACGAGCTAGCGGCTTATCTGAGGCACAGGCCCAGATCGGAGATCTCCCCAGCGACAATGTGTCACGAGGCGTCACATGGGATTTGTGTGCTTGCGATAGGTGGTGGGATTTTCCAGAGCCCAGGAGGGAATTTCACGTGGATAAGACACGATGCAAGGCGGTAACATGCGGGATTACAAGGTTTTTATGGCGACACAATGCCATATATTCGTTTAAATTGTATACAGGGGATTGTGGTTTAGGGTATTTACTAATAGGCTTAGAGAGGCGAGCGAAACTATAACCTTTGAGTCTCGTGCCGGTTGGTTCTCGCTGCCTAGCGATGTCTAAAAATGTCTCTCGGCTCGGATGCGTTGACGGAATGCGCAGGTGCTACGTTACCGGAATCACGCGATCTTCCGTGGGAGATAGGAGTTACATGGTCAAAGATAACCGCCAAAAATCATCGGAGTAGCTTCTTGAGGGTTCTAGTAAAGCTATATTGCCAGAGTACCGTGCGTTTGTTTCTTTGCCCGTGTCTTAGTGCCCTTAACAGGCGTTTTTCTTTGTAGATGGGTCACTAACCGGGGATAAGTGTGCTTGGCCACTAGCCGGGGATAGGCGTGCTCGGCCACTCTCGCGGAGGCATGAGATCGGAAAATCTCCTAGATGAGCATCCGGTGATCGAATATGCCAGACGTGGATATTATTAGCATTTAACCACTAAAATGACCAAACGCTATGAGATACAACCTGACTCTATAGTGCCACCACAGTCATGTTAAAATCTCCCGGGACATTATTTAATATTTTGGGGCACTGGAATTCATGAAGCAGAAATCAGATCCTGTGACTTTAAATATGCTCAGGAATGAAATAATACAGTTTACTCACAAGAATAAAGATAAGACAAAGAGAATATTCTAGGAGTAGGAAATCGCTTTCTTAAATAGTCCTACGAGATTGTAACCCTTTTATTTACATTCGTTTGATTCAATGCTCACCTCACTTATGTTAGAGGGTAGATTGCGATAACCACTATATCCAATCCTGATAGCTATACGCTGTACCGCACACCGCCTTAGGACATCCTCTTTAATTCTGACATGGGGTGAGAGAGTGAGGATAGTTGTAAGTGCATGATAGTCGCATGGTGACTATGATAAGGGCTTAGTTCACTAATGTACTAATACTGTGTGTTATAAATCAAGGAGATTGCCTAATTGCGGAGCTGGGAGAGATAGTAAGGTCAGGTGGATTGCTGACAGGAATTGCCAGTGATATATCGGGTGGCTTCCCAGGAGAGTTTAGAGCTCTGTACCGGAAGTGCTTGAAGTTTCAGAGGTAAGCGAAGTGGGAAGAGGAGTTTGTGGGAATGGGTTCGAGCTAGTGGAAAGATGATAACACGATCTCCCAGCAGCTTAGTACGAAGGGATGTACGTTAATTATGGGTTGGCAGTTTTAACCCACATAGTCAGGTCGGATAAGGTGCAAGATGTGCGGTATTATAACTCTGAGCACATGTTGATACAAAGACAAAGGATATTTATAAATTAGATCGCGCTCATAAATATAGACAAGCTTAGAGCTTACTTAAGGAGTCGAATCCTCCCTAATAGGTTTTTATTTTTACAAAATATACTTTCAAATACTTTTACATGACATCAACAAGACCGACATCAACAAGACCAGCATCATATGAACTAAGAATTATATCCAAGTTTACCGCATTGTTCTTGCTTATTGTTTTCGCCATTTCTTGGTTAATATTGCCTTACTTCGAGTGGCGTCAACCTTTACCTGCGATCCCGACTGCCTTAGTAATCAAGGAGGAGTGACGGATATGGTTAGGTATGACAAGCGAGCCATTTGGACTTGGGCGGCCGACCTGCAACAGGTAAATGCATTGATAGTGCTTGCAGGGGTGACAGGTACTGCAGCGGTAGGATGCTGTGCCGCTGGTGCGACGTATCCATGTATCGGTTTCTTCATTGAAACGATAGTGGTTGCGGCAGCAGCAGCATTCTTAACAGTGGCATCAGTTGCTACACCGGTTAGGCGTGAAATGATGGGCCCATTTTTTCCAGTAGCAACAGTGAAGCAGGTGTTAGCTACGCACAATTTTACAAAAGGATTTTTGCAGCCTGTTAGTTTGATTGATTTGCCAGATAGTTTAATCTCTGCTATAGGAGACAAGGCTTGGTCGGACGTTATAGTGTTTAACACAACGGTTATACAAACATTTGCTGATTCGGAACGGAATGGAACGCTGACTCTCGCCACCAGAGTGCCAGCGCTCGCTGTCCATTGGTCTGATGAGGAGAGCAGTCATTCAGCGATTTCAGTCCATCACGTGGATCATATTTCGTTCTTGTCAGACATAATACTGTCTAAATCAGCATTGAGGCGTAGGGGATCTACGTCTGCTGCTACATAGATGTCGTGGAACTATGAAGACCTTGACGTGGCATTGGCTGGTGAATGGGCGGGTGTGTACCAGAATGATAACGTGTATGGTCAGAACACTTGAGTGGAAGATGGGGAGATTGGCACAGGTATAGATGATTTCATTAACCAATATGATTCCTGGAAGTATTGTTTGATGCCGATCTTCGGGCCTGGCGTGGGAAACTTGTTCAATGATTTGATGAACAACCAGGTGGGCCGGGGCGAGCTCTACTTCAACACGTACGGTAGTATAGACGGACCTTGCGGTGACCAGTATGGGGGAGCAGACTCCGAGACAGCAACATGAGGTATCTCAGGCAGGTTTTAATACGGGTTTGGTGAACACGCAACAATGGGTAATAAAGAAAAATAATAAAAAAGAGGGAAAAGAAATGAAAAAAGAAAAAAAAAGAGGAAAAATAAACTGAAAAAAGAGGACAAAGAAGGAAGTATAGGTGAAAGACAGGTTCTGTGTCTGAAGTATTTCGTAGCTTTGTGTAGAATAACGGAGTGGTGGCAACAATGAACATTCCTACCGAAACCGCTCTAGGTGAGATGGAGGTATGAGAGAGGTGTTATAAGGGGAGTATATTAAGTGTGGGTCAATAATTTCCTTGGAATCAGCTAGAACCTTCTTCGTAGTAAAGGTGCCGCAGGTTCCCTATCCTACATGAGGCTACAAGATATGGAACGCTTTCAGCGTTTCAACCTCCAACAAGTCTGAAGACAGTTATAGAATTGTTTCTACCGATATATATAAAGACCGACTGACCGCCTCTTTGCATATATAGTATTGAATTATGCTTTTCTACCTACGTAGATATGTCAGTCACCTTAAAGGGCAATTAACGTATTCGAGACCAATCACCATTTATCGCTAACGTTATTCAACAGCTGATTGCTATAAATCAACACTTCTGACCAAAAACTCGCTGCCGTTCCAGTTTACTATTCACATTTGGCCTGAATCTTCCGCCTAATCCTGGTTGCACTCCACGCACTCACCGTTGTCATTCAGGCAGACGGCAGCCTTCACGGTTTGGTGAGTGCGACTGCTTTCTCCGGCTAATACGCCCTCTTTGGTAACTCCCTCCTTGGTAACTCCCTCCTTGGTAACTCCCTCCTTGGTAACTCCCTCTTTGGCCATTGCGGCCTTGGATGATCGGTCTACATGGCCCAAGTCCTTCTCGGGGAATAAAACGTTGCGCACTCTTTGCTTCACAACCTTCGAGTCAGGGAACCCCCCATCGAGTTTTCTGTCCCAGATAACGGTTGTGTTGTTGTCGTCAACCACGAGGAGGATCTGAAACGTCCCCGATTCAGCCGGCTGAAGGGCAATCTCACCAATGGACTCACCAAACGTCTGGAACAACTCCTGTTGATACCACGAGGCACGGAGCGTCCACTTGCACTTTGTGCAGAACTGAATCACGATTCGCGGGTATTTGAAGAACATGGTATAGGTTGGAGTAGTTGCACCCTCAGGCGATGAAGGGTACTCCAAGTCGTTTGGGTCAAGATATAACTCCTGCAGCGAAGCCGACCATGAGAGACTTCAAAAAACGATCTCGGTGAGGGTCGAACTCACGATCTTGTGATTAACAGTCACACGCCTTAGCCAACTTGGCCACGAAATCTTTTGTTGGAAAATGGATATATGCACAGAAACAGGTAATACCAAGGGTAGTGCCTAGGCTCGTGGAGATGAATCTTTTTTTTGTATCTACCAGGAATTTAGAAATGGTTTAGATGGATAGTATTGAAACCCATAAGCTAGAAACAGTTCCCATCGGTTGTTTCGTTTTCCACCATAATTTCAGGCCGTACACCAACAATACCCCAAGCGGAGGCCTTTGAGATGACGCGTCGAAAAGGCAACGCGTAGACAGACCCGGCATATAAGCACAAACTGGTAGCTCTTCAGATATATATAACCGCTCACGGTTCGTTTCAATCCAGTGTGATCTAACCCGCTAATCTAGTTCACGGACTCAAGAAAGGGCAAATAAAGTCCACAGAAGTTGTTCACAGGTACCGCACACCATTCCTATCGCCAACATCCTTTGCTATCAATCCAACGCCCTTTACAAAAACAAGGCTCATCTGGTTGCACCATTAGCTGTTAACGAAGCGTACATCTCCCAAGCCTTATAACCATATTCCAGAGCTTACGAGGCACCCCCTATTATAGAATACACAGTTGATACGGCATGACAATGCCCCACGCTCCGATAACGCTGGAGGAGCTCCTCACCGAGGCATGGTCGAACCTCAAGCTCCAGCCCACAATCGCTGGCTCGCCCGGGGATCTCCAGGAAGACGATTCAAGGCTTTTGCTCGAGCAGGACCAGCTCTACCTCGGCCAGTTTTTGCTGCTCATACAAGAGATCGAACGCTTGCTCAACGCATATCTGTACCGAACCACCGCAGCGTTTCTAAGTGACGCAGCGAGGACTCAGGCACAGCAGCTTGTTAACAAATATCCATCGCTCATTATCGACAAGAGCGACTTTTACACCTTTTTTGCCAAGATCGCTGGAGTGCCTTTCCGCGAATACATCGAACTCAACGGGCAGGAGAGCAATTCCCCGCTAACCACATCGACGCCGCTCCATAATGGCTCGCCGAACACCCAAGCCAGACTCAGGCGACGAATCCAGCAAGGGAGGCCCCCATCGCCTGTGTTTGGACTCTCCAAGGAAAGCTTTGATATTGCGTCTCAGCACAACACTGCGCAGGACGTGGCTCCCGCTGTACCAGAAGTGGAACTAAGCCACTTACTGTTCGGCTCGCCATCCTCAGACTACAGAAAAAGGATTCCTCTGAGAAGCGGCAGCAACGCAGTACTGCTTGGTTTACCCACATCGCCCAAAGCTGATTCGGATGAATACCCGCACACAGGGGAGTATCCCCAGAGCCAAGAGGAGGAACCGTTGCTTCTGGGCGCTGCCAGTATACTGGAGCACGAAAACCTGCGGATATCGGCGCAGGTGAAACGATTGGAAAGGGAGAAATCCGAAATTTCCGCCAAGTATGAAAGGTTGCTAGAAAATTACGAGTACCTCAACCAGGAGTTGCAGAGGCTGCATCCGCAGAACAAGAGCTCTGTGGGTGATACGATCCCCCGGGGGACGGCCGAGTTGCAAGCGAAGTTGGAAACAGCTACGCTGGAACGGAATCACTTAGAGCTGCAGCTATCGCGGACGCAGGCGTCCCAGGCGGCAAAAGACTTTAGTATCAAGGAGTTGACCAACCAATTGACGAATTTCCGCGAAAAGGTGGTGGAGTTGGAGACCACTGTGCGGGAATACAAGGCCAGAGAGCCACGAATTACGGAGGTAAAGGTGGAGCTGGTCCCAAAGCCAGTCTCAGACACCGCGATCAGTGCCAAGTTCCAGCAGTTATGTGAGTTGGTGGAGGAGCAGGACTCTTTGATCAGCAAGCTTTGCGCCGAGATCCGTGGAAACAGGAAAAGAGCTGAGAAGGAGCCATTTCAGATCTTTCAGAACCTTGAGACGTTGCACACGCTCGGGAGGTTTGTTGTTGTTTGGCTGATTTACGCGGCTGGCATGGTTCTCTTGTTCGGGGCGGTGTTTGGCATGCTATCACAGTGGGGAATCGCAAGTATCCTCACGAACTACCTTATGCGGTTTGAAGCGATTGAGCGGATTTACTGGTACTTTGACGACTGGAAGTACTGGATTAGATGGTCTCGGAAATATAACATATTGGTACAGTTGTTGGAGAGGTCCACAGAGGCGTTTTAAAGAGTGGTTCAGTGTGAGATGAGAATTTGCATTAATTGAAGATGCCAGGATGGACTGAGCCACAAATAGGGAAGACACGTTAAACTCCGGTCAAAAGCTAGCTTGAGCGCTGGTGGAATTAGCTGAAGTGAAGGTAAACCCACTTTCGTATTAGCTTTTGACAGAGTAGAGACTTTCGTCATTCACCAAGAGCTCTTAGTTGATATTGAATCCATTTAACAGCAGGGATAAAACACAATAGTATATGAGATAGTATCTGTCTAAGAGAAGACATGGTTTGGGATATCTATCAAAGAGCCAGGAATTCTTTTATGGAAATCGAACAATACTAAAAAGCCCGTTGTCAAGGTTCTGTGGGCATTTGTCCATATAACCGTAAATGAGGCTACATGCATATGAACCTGAGACAACGATGTACTAGTAAAGTGTACCTCCCCTAAAAGCTGCGTCACTCTCAGACATGTCTAAAGATATGAGACTTGCGACTCATGTATCGTGCTTATAAGTGCCGAGGCCAAGATATTCAGTATCCTTACATACCAATACTACAGTGGAATAGTTTAGATACATGCTACCCAATCATATTTCAGGTGGATATATTCAGATGTAATCTGCTGTCCAACGTAAACCCCTAGAGGATTAACATCCAGTCTAAATAAACTAGAAAACCAATCTAAAACATTCATATCCCAAACTTGACAGATACACTTACACAGGTGCAATTTTCTATTACACCCCCCTGCTTATAATAACTTTCCGTGGACGATATCCTTCTTCAACCGCCAGATCATCACACCCAACACCACAAACAACACCACGATCGCAATCGCGAACCACTTCAAGGTTTGCACCGCATAGTCCAACATATCCACGCCGCCGTTTTCTGTCACCGGTGTGGAAATCGACTCACTTAATACGGTCTGCGACTTCAGCAAGGTGTCCAATTTAAGGTGCAAGCTCGACAACTCTGCGTGCTGAAGAGAGACAAGGCTCAGCATCTTGGTGATTTCCGCGAGCACTAGCTCTCGGGATGTCTCCACGCTCTTTTTTAACAGCTCCAAGTCGATCTGCAACTGCACCACCGACCGCGCCAACTGCTGCAATACATCGGTGTAGTCCGAGCCAGGCTTGGTGTCCACCACAGACTGGATCTTGTTCAACTGCGACATGATGTCATTCAACTTGAGCAAGTCAGAGCCCTGAGACGCAGCCCCGGTAGGGAGGGTCTCATCCATCGTGACAGTTTTCTGAACAATCTTCTTAACCACCTTCGGGGCGTTCAAGTTGTGATCCACAACGCCGTGATCATCCTTAGCAGCCTCAATAACCGCACTGAATACCTCCATCTTTAAGATTTCAAAGTTCTCCTTGTGCTTGCTCTGCGATGCGGACGCCCCGAGGTGCAAGCCCTTAGGTAATTTAATCTTCTGCGTGGTTGCCAAACAGAGCTTGTTGTTGATCTGGATTTTGAACCAGTTCTGCTCAGCACCGGAGTACGACACGCGGAGCGTGAACGGCGCGCCGACCTGGTCCTGGTACGGGAACTGGCACTGGTGGAAGTGCGGCTGGACCGTTTTGGAGCCGTCGCCAAAGTGCGCCGTGAGCCCCTGCTGGAGCTCTGGCGAGTTGTGGTGCACGGCCAAGCGCAACCCGTCAAACTGCGACGGACCACCGTTCAAGGTTTCGTCGTTGTTCACCTTATCGTCGATGAGCCAGAGCGAGAACCCATCTGTTGCGGGGGTGACGGCCGTGGATTCCGAAAGCGACCGGAACGTCACTTCGACGGTCCAGGCGTCGTGGTTCAACGGCTTCTCCGACCAGATACCAGCCTTATCAGCAACGGACGCCTTCGGGTCGTTTAACAACACGCGTCCCTCATGGACCGTAGCGGAGCCGGTAAAGACCCAGTTTGCCGGAGGAACTCCGTCCGGCTGTCGTAACAAGCTGGGAAGAGACAAGTCTTTGTCCAAGAACTTTTGTTCGTTCTGGTGGCCCGCGGTTTCGTGAGTGCCGCCTTGAGCGAGGGTGCCGCGGAGCGCGAGTGCGAGCAACGCAAGAATTGAGAATCTCATGAAGCGGTGCTCAGATGGATGTAAGAGGGTGTGAATTATAGCCCGGCAAGAGAGTGATTCAGTGTTACAGCCTGGAGGGTGGTCAGGAATAGCAAAGGTCAAAAGTAAATGACGGGAGAGTCCAAAGCAGCCAAGATGTACGCCGGGGTTAGGGCTCAATTGTAAAAAGGCAAGTGGTGAGTCTTGAACTTGCTGCATGTGGCAAGTGATCCGTGGCAGTAAGCGTGTTTACCTTTCGGATCGTGCACGACCCGGGATATATAATAAAAAAAACCTCCGATACCGGGAGTCGAACCCGGGTTTGCTCGGTGAAAGCGAACCGTGCTAGCCGTTACACTATATCGGAGAGGTGTTGTAAAAAAGAGGACTGGGAATGGTCCGATGATAGGGAGATAGCATGTCAGTGGGGGCTACGCCGGCGAATATTGTTCTGTTTACTGGAAAAGATTTTGGTCCACTGTGAGGGGTAAAGCTTACGTGATATTAAAAAGAGGAAATTATTGGGATATCCGTACTGTGATACAATCTGTATAGCAGGCTCAGTTGGGATACATCAAAGGGGTAGATCAATATTTAGAGCGGGAATTACGGGATTCGAGCCATCAACTTACCGGCTACCGAATAGCTCTCTAGGCCATGACAAGCTCCGTTCCACTTAAGAGCGTAACACAAATCTGGCGTAGTATAGAACAGTCGGCATTTCCATTCTCAAAAGACTCGGGGTCTACAATGACCATGCCTCCCATTCACGATACCGTCGCTAACCTATCTACCTCATATCTCAACCTGAGAAATAAAACAGCTATTAATGGTGCATCATCTTATGTTACACAGTATCTCTATTCTGTTACTAACTATCCAGATATCAGCCGACAGCCCCGCAAGATCCATGCCGGACATTGCCTCCCATATGATTTGCGCACGGATCAGACGCTTTAAGCAACCAAATTCGCTCGTACCATCAATCTTATACCAGTACCATCCATTATGTCCCGTGTTAAGAGAATCACCAAGGAATTGACGGAAGTTGCACAGGATACCAGCTCAGGAATCACCCTCCAGTTGAACAGCGTAGACGACTTGACCCGCCTCACGGGGTACTTCAACGGCCCGCCAGACACGCCATACCAGGGCGGTGTCTTCAAGATCGACATTACGATTCCACAGGAGTACCCATTCAAGCCACCGCAGATGAAGTTTCTCACGAAAATCTACCACCCAAACATCTCGTCCGTCACGGGTGCCATCTGCCTCGACATCTTGACAAAGAAGTGGACGCCAATCTTGACGTTGAAGTCAGTGCTCATCTCATTGCAGTTGTTGTTGCAGTCGCCGGAGCCGAGCGACCCTCAGGATGCTGAGGTTGCGAAGCACTACTTGTCGGATATTGCGGGGTTTAACCTGACCGCGACCTACTGGACGCAGAGCTACGCGCAGCACGTGGACACCAGCGCGGTCGACCGTGCCGCGCTTTACGGCATAGACAGCCAGCTTGTGGCGAAGTTTGAGGGCATGGGCTTCAAGAAGGATGATGTGGTGGATGTATTGAGAAGACACGCGGTCAAGAAGGCCGAAATGTTGGACCAGGCGACCGAGAATAAGGTTATCGAGAGCTTGTTGAATGAGCAGGGCTAGAAAGGGAATGTTAAGATCACGTAAAGCTGTTTGTAGGTATTGAGCGGTTGTAGCCTCGGGCTGGCTGTACATGTAAGGTACAACTGGAATTTAGGTTAAAGATTCATTTATGGAGCTAATCTAAGTTTGGATCTGACTCTTGCACAGACAGGGCTTGTCCCTTTTGATACTGGCGCCGTAGCCTCCTGAAGAACAAAACCGTTATGTGAGATTAGCCAAGTTTGACCTCGATTATCGAATATGCCATGCCAACCCATTCAGAGCTAGCCTGAAGTCACTATTGTTTTGAATTTTGACGTGAGGTGGCTAAAGCTACCCCAGCTCTTGTTTCATTGGGAGTAGCCATCTGGAGGTTTGTCTTCCAGCTAGGTCAGGATCTGGCTGATCGCACAGCATAACGGGGTTGTTCCCAAAGGATGCTACGGTGTTGCTATAAAAGGGAATAGATCCTGAATCTTCCAGAACCGTCCTCCATCTCTCTTACACTATTCATTAATTATCATTATGCGTTTATTCGGCCTTCTTGCCCTTTTTCTTAGGGGAGACGGGCTTGAACCCGGCCTTTGGCTTTTCCTCCTTCTTTAACTCCTTCTTCACCTCCGGCTTTTTGCCGTAGGTGGAGTTGCTCCGCTTCGTTCTAACCTCCAACTTCAACAAGTTGCCACCAACCTTCAATTCGCCGCAGTCCAACGCTTTCTTTTGGTCCACGGCGTTGGTGAAGTCCACAAGCGCAATCTTGCCGCTGATGCCCACGTTGGTGACGACCCCGAAGCGCGACTGCAACTCCACCTTCAACTGGTCTTCGGAGATTGGGTTGATGATACCCTTGATGTAGATCGGGAACCATTCGTTTGATGGGAGCTTCAGCTGGTTCGCAACGAGCTTGGAAACAGCTGGCGTCCGAGTTTTTGCCGGCTCGGTTTCGTCCTTAGTTGGCGCAACCACGATTTTCTTTACTGCGGTTGTTGGCATGGCTGTCACCTTGGCCGTGGATGCCACCTTCGAAGCCCATGACAACAGGTTGCCATTCGGAACAGGGGTTTCCTTTGGGACAGAGACTTCTTTCGATTCGGATTCCTTGACTTCCAATGTTTCCTTTGGCTCTAATTTTTGATCTTCCTTTGGTTCAGGTTCCGTAGCTTCAGATTCCTTGGCTTCAGGTTCCTTGGCCTCAGATTCTTTGGCTTCAGGTTCCTTGGCCTCAGATTCCTTGGTTTCAGATTCTTTACCTTCAGGCTCCTTAGCTTCAAGTTCCTTAGCTTCAGGTTCCTCAGCTTCAGGTTCCTTTGGATCCTCATTTTCCTTCGGCTGTTCCTCTTCAACCTCCGGTGTTGGTTCCACCTCTGGCTCCACCTCCGCCTCCTCTTCCTCATCCGGATCGAACCGGATGACGTCATTAGCAATGTCGTACACGCCCGGCTTCATGCCCGGGGCAATCATGAAGGACTGCACGTATCTTACGGACGGGGAGTCATCACCGACAGCCATCTCGCCTAAAACAACAACCAAGATGTTGTCCCCAAGGCACGGTTGAATCTCTGCATGCTTCACCATGACTTTGCAGCCCTTTAACTCGGATCTGCTCAACAAGTCCTTGATGCCGATGGTGCCCCTGGCCTTTTCGGAGAGCCTCTTAGGCTGCGATAAGGAGCCATGTGTGACGGTGGCGTTGGACGAGTAGAACCTAAACAAGTCGGATGGCTCGTTGTTCAACAAGTTGTAGTATGCTTTCAAGAGCGAAAACGCAACAGTTTCGGCGTACTCCTGGGAAATACCCTTGATTTCGTTAGTCATTGAATGGTACTTGGTTATTGTTGGTGAATGCAGGTTTGTCTAGAAGTGCAACAACGGTAAAACGAAAAATGCAGAGCTTTTAGAAGAGAAATCTCACAGGGTCTGTTCATGAGGCTGATGGTTTTTACTTTTTCAAAGTGGGGCTGAGATCTCGGCACCAATCAGGAAACTTTTCACCGGGGTCGTGCGCGGCTGGATACGTCATCGGTAAGGTAACATGGTTACTGTCGGATCACATGTTGGCTAGATTATAAAGAATTTGAAAGAGAATCTGGAATAACATCAGCATCAGCTTCAATTTAAACCAGATTATTTATCACAAATATTGCATTATACTTAAGTTACGCGTGTGTCCACCATAGTTTAGCTACCAATAACAGACTTACGTTGACAGATAATTCAATATTTATTGTAATATACACACAAGCACTAGATCAATACGTGACTTAAACCGGAAATAATATACAGAACCACTCCACTAGATCCCGGCCCTGCCGTAGTGGACGACACCGCGGGCAGCGACGCCAGGGGCCTCGGCCTGAAGCGGTTGGATTTCGCCAAAGCCCCAGACCACGCCATTGGTCTTGGCAATGCTGGGGAGCTGCTTCTTCAACTCCATGAAGCACAAGCTGGTCAAGTGGCACTGGTTGCCGACCTGGTACATGTGATTTAAGCGCGCAATGCCCAACTCGTCGGCCAAGCCCTCGATACTGCTCTTGCCCGTGACCTGCGCGCTTTGCGGACGGATGAGCGAGTAGAGGTACTTTAAATCATACACGTTTGGAAAGTACAAGTGGCACCACTCGGTCCAGGCCTCCTGCTCCATGGGTAAGAGGTCGTTCGTCAACAATGCGATCAAAAAGCCCAAGTCCATGCCCGCGTGGTACGTGATCCAGTGCACGTTGGGCATCAACACCAAACCACTGTCGATCAACAAGCTAGCAAAGCCGACAGGGTCAATCCCGTCGGCCTGGTGCTTCAATGGGTTCAAGCCCGTCTTTAAGAGGTTGTCCATGGCGTCGCTGGCAAACATTTCCTCCTCAAGGTTGTAGCGGAAGTTAAACTGCCACAGGATGTTGTTGTTGGGCCGGTTGCCGTTTGCGTCTGTGAGGGTGATTCCCATCTGGATCAAGTTCATCAAGTCGGCGTTCACCCGCACCGTTTGGTAGTGGAAGTCGGACGTGCTGCGGAACGCACCCATACATCGTCCCATCACGCCCGCAAACTCCGTCGACACCAGCACGTAGTTGTACGTATCGACCAAGTCGCGGAGAAGAGCAAACTCTTGTTCGAGGTTGTCCGCCCACACGTAGCGGATGTTCGGCGCCACCGGGCCTATTGCCGCATTCATCCGCATTGGCGGCATCTGGTGCGCTGCGACCTGGGGCGACATCATGAGTCCCAAGTGCGGCGGTCTCTGGCCGTCGTAGTAGCCGCCTGGAGGGCCGTTGTGCATCATTTGGGGATGTTGGTGTTGTTGGTGTTGTTGCTGCTGGTTCTGCATTGTTCAACCGTTGGTGGGGTATTGGCTTTGTGGAGGATGGCATTTAGCAAAAGTCTTTTGGCAAGCGCCCATGCAACGGAAAAAAAAATCGCGACGCACGACGAATCAGTGGGGTCCCGACTTGCGAATGACTGCAAGATGGGATATGGGTTAGTTGGAAATTTTATGGCTCCGATACTTGTTACCAGGATAACTCACGTTTGGTGGATTAGTTATAAAATTTACCGCATTGACGTTGCATTGTATGTGGATTCTCAACCTGTCATTTTTGAATCAATCAGAATTATTCATTTTTGAATCTGGTAAGGTATATAGGCAGCGACAAGACCATTTTTCTCTCGCCGGCTCTACCTCAATTTTTAAACCACTTCAACAATAACTTTGTCGAGTTGTACAATATATATTATATTAAAGCCCAAACAGATTAGAAATACCGAAAACAAAAATGAAACAAAAGCCAATGGGGGAATACAACGACAGACGATAGTAATACATGCAAGAAATATGAAAAATATCAAGAGAAAAGGGAAGACTTATTCCTCAACCTTCTGCTTCTTGGCGGAAGAACCCTCTTCTTCCTCAACATCTTCCTCATCCTGAGGAGCAGCTTTGGCCTGCTCTCTCTCCGCCCTCTTTCTCTTATAGTCGGCCTTCTTGTCCTCGCCCTCTCTAACTTCCTCGTCCTTTGGCGGAGGAACGAACCACGGGATCTTACCTCTGTTGAAATCGTTCAACACGAGTTTGGCGATACCAGATTCGTCTGGCTCACCACCCTTCAAGAGTCTTCCGTGCTTTCTGGCCAAGAGCTCAATAAACTCGGTGGCGTTGTTCCAGCCAGAAATTTCGTAGGTTCTCTCCAAGTGCTTTCTGTCAACCTTCTCCAACATATTCGGAATATAGTTTTCGGGGTTGGAGACGTGTTCAACCCTGACGACACCTCTGAACAAAATGTCCGCCTCAGAGTCCTTGGCGGATGGTGGCACGATACCCGGACAATCGATCAAGAAAATCTTCTTCATCAAGGTAATGTACTGCCAGACCTTGGTCTCACCTGGGATAGGGGCGACCTGGCACACCTTCTTGCGTCTCAAGGTGTTAATGATGGAGGACTTACCGGTGTTTGGGTAGCCAATAAACCCGACGGAAATCTGCTTTCTATCGGAGTGCAAGGTGGAGAACTGTCTCAACAACTGGATCAACGAACCCTTACCGAATGAGTTGGTGATGGAAGCGTGAAAAGCCAACGTTGGACGATCCTTGGACAAAATCTTGACCCAAGCAGCCTGGTTTTGTTAGTAATTGCAAACCCAATTATAGCCCCGCGTGTCATGACAAAAACTATATACATAAAGTGTCAGGTTCTTTACTACGAAGCTATTTACCGACAGGCGTAAACCGAAGTAGCTTCAACTCATAAGACCCTGCTCACCCGAGCAAGTGCGTTAATTCCAGAACGGAATAGACACGGCAAGCCGCGGCACTCTGGTTCGCGTATAATCCCAAAACGAGACGACGCGAGGTGGGTGATATCAATCTCCCAAGGATGTAACAGACAATTACGTGAGAATCCAGAGAAGGGCACAAGTGTCCGACTCAGGTAAAGCGTAACCGTCCTGACAAAGATCTTTGGCGGAAAAAAAAAAAGAAAAAAAAAATGACACGGTGAGGCTAAAAGTTAGTAAAAAGGTACTTACGGCAACCCAAGTTGGAACTAAGTCACACTTGTTCAACACAAAGATCAAGTGCTTGTGGGCACATTCAGTCTTCATGTATTCTTCAACGCTCTTACATCTGGTTCCCAAAGGATCTCTGGCATCCAAAACGTGGATAACCACATCAGATGAATCGATAACCTTGTACAACTCGTTCCAGATTCTCTTGGACTGGCCCTTATGGAAGATGGCCTCCTTGGCTTCTGGGGTAAAGTCATCGTCGTCCAAGATAGAGCCACCCATCAAACCCAAGGTGGCATCCAACTCCTTCTTCTCGGTGTACAGGACGGTGTCCTTACCGGAAGATTCAGCTAACTCCTCCAACGAACCGGCAGCGATTCTCTGTCTCTTACGCTGGGCCTTTGGACCGAAGGTCTTTTCATACGACTCGGTCTCCAAGATGTTGGCAGTTGGGGAGTCAGTGATGTCCTTCTCCTCCAAAAGAGACATTGGCAATCTGTTGCGACGCAACAAAACCTGGTAGGAATCGTTCTTCTTCTCGCCTAAAGCCTCACGGAAATGGGTCAAGGCGTCCTGGGCGATGACTCTGGTGTTACCAAACCACTTCCGATTTGGATCAACACGCGCGGTGGGCACCTTGGTGTCTTGCAAGGCCGCAGCCTTGATGACCTCACCTCTCTTGTTACGGATGGCCTTGCCCTGCTTGTACATGTTCAAGTGCTGGACCTTCTTAGCATCGCGGTAGAAGTTTTCACCCTTGACTCTGAGATTACCATCTCTGGTGTCGTTCTGACGGGTACGACGGGACTTTTCGGTTTTACCAGTAGCCATTGTGTGTAAGGAATAAAGAAAACAAAAGAGTGTTCTATATCTTTTAGCTCTAAAAGAAAATGTTAGGTGGAAAACTTATGGGAGATTTTCGTACCTCATCGCATAAAAAAAAAAGTGAGAAGAAAAATTTCATAGAAGTTACCCGGAGGGGAGTGCATGAATTTTTGTAAGGGCTATGGCCGTGCGGCGGGCGAAGCCTGAGCATAAACATGTTTATAAATACAACGTGTTTGGGTTAGTCAAATGAATGGATATTAGAAAGAAACAATGGAAAAAAACAAACAAAGAAAACGGTATGCGTGAGAATCCTCGAAGTTTAAATCTGGTGCTTGTCTACTGGGTATAGCACTATTTTAATGCTGGATATTGTAGATTTGTAAAACATAGTGAGAATCAAGGATTACATAGCTTGGCTATTATCTATATCAACCATATTTTGCAAAGGGTATGTAGAATACCAGTTTTACATGTAACTCTCAGTTCTAATTGCTCACTCTGAGTCTGCTTTTGATCAAATGACTGGCTTGACAAAGGCGGTTGAGGTAGAATGCGGTATTGTAGCGACAGACAAATCTTAGACATATCGTCGTCCAAACAATCTATTTTGTTTTCGCTTTAAGAATCCCGAGATCGAGAGTTGCGGTTCAATTTCCGGCGCTCTTCCAGGGTCCACATCTTGCATTACTCTACGGGCAAATCGTATTACGTACGGGCCAAAGCGGATGACAAAACAACCAATTGAAGGTGCACAAACACACCTTATGGAAATACCGCTATAAAGGCGGGATGGATCAAAGCCAACTGAAACTTTCCATTCTGCGGTGTCAATGGAAAGTTAAACCACTTTACCCATCACCATTTACTGGAGCCCAAAGCATAGCTCATTCAGCTACAACCTCCAAGGGTAAACTATTGGTAAACAGTATATTTAATCTTTCATCTCACCAACTTTTTAATCTTTCATCTTATCTCGCTTGCCAGTCGTAGCTCGAGAAATTAATCTTCACCGCCGATGAGGTACTTGGATAGCTCAACTGGCGGTGCCTCGTGGCTTCGCACTTGCCGGGTAACCCTGCGTTGTTCCTCCACACGCGCCCACGAAAAAAATGTTAGCAAAACTCAATCGAACCTCAGCGCCTATTTCGCAAAGCCGATCGCTCCTATTCATCCCTGTTAGTTCCCCCAAGTCTACTCACACCACGCTTTATCTTGACAGATTACCCCCCCTTTCCTTTTCTTTTCTCGTTTGATCAGCCCATCGTTAACGCCATTGATTCTTTGTATGGCCAGTTCGAATTCGACACCTGCCCCTCATCACCCCACGCCCGTCTCGAATCTCCCAATTCCATACCCACCTAAAGTCTCGGACCTCCAGAAAGTCGTCGTTGCCCAGCTCGCAGTCCTCGCCACCACCATCACCGACGCCAAGTGGGACTTTGCCTGTACCAAGATCCGCCACTTGCTTGACACCCACGACCGTCAAGTCCACATCCAGTACCTCAAACGGCTCCTCACCACCACAGCCGGCCCCATCTCGCAAGGCGCCACCGGGACCCTCAAATCGTTCGCAGAGCGACTCATCGCCACCGAGCTTGACCACTTTGCATACACGCAGTCGTCGGACATCCTCATCTTCCTCGACGCGTACTTTGCCTCCGACTTTGAACTCCTCGAGCTTTTCGACCTTCGCACCCTCCTCGACCACTTCGGCTGCCAATACTACCTCCGACTTCTCGTAGGCTTGACCCTCGAAGCGTACTCCGAACCCGCCTTACCTTCGGAGCTCACCGCGCTCGCCAGCCAGCTCGTCCGCGAAAACCTCGCCGAGCTCATTGACCATTCGCAGTCGCCCGATCCCGAGCAGTTCTACCGCCACTGTGGCCACAACATCTCCAATCTCTCATTCTTTCTTGGGAAATTCCTAGCTTCGCCGACGCCCAGCATCTCCGACAAGATCCTCATCATCTCGTCCGTGAACAAAAATCTCACCACCATCACCACTAAGGAGCTCCACTCGTCCATCTCCTCCATCGTCAAAAAGTTTCTCGCCGTCATGTCATTCGGCGAAACCATCGCGGGCATTGAACCCGCGCGCGTCACATCGTCCCTCGTGGGCGACCTCTTGTCAAACATCGGCCCCGAGCGCCAGCTCAACGAGGCCGTGGGGCTCGTTCTCACCGAGATCTTATTCCCCGGCTCCCAGTTCGACGACAAGACCCAGACCCGCGAGCTCGCGGCCATGATCGCCAACAGTCTTCCGCATGCGCGCACCAAAGGCTTCGAGATGAACACCGTGTTCCACAAGCTCAATCAGAAGCCCTCGTGGCCGCAGGTGTTTGGCTGCGTGGTGGAGAACATCAACCAGCTCTCGCCGCAGTCCAAGACATCCATCATCTCGCTCTCGCAGTTCTTCACCACCCTCGACGACGAGCTCATCGACTTGTTCGTGCAGACGTCCGCCACCTGGCCGTACGTGTTCAAGCTCCAGTTCCTCCTCACGTGCAAGAACTTGGGCAAGCGTGTTAGCATCGGCGCGTACGACCTCCACTACTGCCACCTCGCGCCCATCTTGGATAATGAAGCCACAACCATGGTGCAGGCGCGCTCGTTGTTGAACTTTGCCAGCATAGCGCGCCTCGAGCTCGACGTGGTGCTCAACAACAAGGACGATAACGGTGCGCTCGACGACGAGTTGAGCGCCGTGTTCCAGGAGGACTACAAGGATGTGCCCGAGTACGTGGTGCTCGGCTGCATCGCCAACCTTCCGGGCTTGGCCGTCGCGCCTGCTGCGAAGCAGGCGCGTGCGAACTGCTTCCACATGGTGGAGAACTTGTTTGTGCAGATGATGGATGACAACCCTACCAACCCGTATCTTGCCAAAATCTTGCGCCGGTTTGCGGCCGTCGACATTCTCTCGTACGAGCAGTTCCTCGTCAACCTCTACGTCGCGAAGGGTACCAGCGACAACTTGTACAAGCTCTTGGCCTGGGCCCATCAACAGGGCCTCTATGCAGAGCTCGTGGCACCGCTCCGCCTGGCGAGCCTCTCTCCCGTCAGCAACTTCCACAACACCCTCGTGCTTAACGTGGAGGCCGTACACTACGGTTTCGACGGCTTCGACGCGTGGTTGCGCACGACGTTTGCGGAGCTCGCGCCCCAGGACCGCACGCCCGTCTTGGCGGATCTCCTCAGCTTTGTCGAGCTCCAGGCCACGTTGGAGTACGAGGCGTTGCAGCAACAGAGCGGCAACGCGCAGGCCGCCGTCTCACCGGTGCCACCGGGCACCGTCAAGGCGAACCTCCACCTCACCTCCATCGCGGCCATTCTCCGGCTCCTCGGCGACCACAAGCAGGCAGACCTCCGCGAGAAATGGATGAACGTGCAAATCCAGAGCGTCCAAGGCTTTCCGCGGCTCATCAACTTCGGCCACGGCTACGACGAGGCTATCTTGGCCAACGTGTCACTGGCATCGGCCTCGTTCGCGCCCGAGGTGGAGCAGGAGATGAAGGCATACTACCAGAAGATGTACAACAAGGAAATCGAGATGAAGGACATCATCGAGCTCCTCACCTCGTTAAAGAACCTGAGCGTGCCCAAGAACCAGGACGTGTTTGCGTGCATGATCCACCTGTTGCTCGACGAGTACCGCTTCTTTCCGGAGTACCCCTTGGACGCGTTGGCCATCACTTCGGTGTTGTTCGGTAGCTTGATTCACTTCAAGCTTGTCGAGGGCGTTACACTCACCATCGCGCTCCACTACATCCTCCAGAGCGCGCAGAAGCCACCCGAGTCCAACATGTTCAAGTTCTCGGTGCAGGCACTCCACGCGTTCCGCCACCGCTTGCCAGAGTTTGGCGCATACTGTGCGTTGCTCGGGGAGATTCCCGCGCTCGCGTCGCACCAGTCCATCATGGAGATCGTGGCGCGTGTGTGTGACAGCACGCGCGGCCAGTTCGCCGACGCCACAACCTCCCCTGCAAGTGCGTCCCCCGTCTCTGCCGTGTTTCGCTCCTTCTTCGTGTCGCCGGAGATTGCCGGCGACGTGCCGCAGCTGCAGCCACCAGACGACGTCTCGGACCGCGTGTTGTTTTTGGTCAACAACACCACCTTGGACAACCTCGACACCAAGATTGAGGAGCTCGGCGCGCTCTTGAAGCCCAACTTCTTCCACTGGTTTGCGTCGTACCTCGTGAGCTCGCGCGTGCGCACCGAGCCAAACTACCACGACCTATACAACCGGTTGTGTCTCCGTCTCAACTCACACTTGCTTGGCGAGCATCTCTTCCAGGTGACGATCAACTACATCCTCCAGCTCATCAACTCTGCGGCCAACACCGCGAAGGACACTGACTCCTCCACTACCGACCGCAGTCACTTGAAGAACCTCGGCGCGTGGATGGGGAAGATCACCCTCGCGCGAAGCCGCCCTATTAAGCAGCGCAACCTCTCGTTCAAGCTCCTTCTCGTGGAAGCGTACAACTATCAGAAGTTACCGCTTGTGCTCCCGTTCGTATGCAAGATCCTTGACCAGGTCAAGCACTCGAAGGTGTTTCACCCGCCGAATCCCTGGACGCTCCTGATGCTCCGCATGCTTAAGGAGCTCTACACCACGGCGGACATGAAACTCAACTTGAAGTTTGAGATTGAGGTGTTGTGCAACTCGCTCCGCGTGGACCTCGAGGAGATTGAACCGCTGAACGTGATTCGCAGCAACAACATTGGCGAGTTGTATGCGAGTGTTGCGCGCACGGGCGCAGGCGCGGGCATTGTTGACGGCATGGCCAAGCTCGCGATTGCGCCGTTCCAGCCGCCGCCAGTAGCGCCTACCGAGATGTTTGAGCTCAAGGGAAACACCTGCTGGGTTATGCACCCAAACCTCCGCCGCCTCTTCCAGTTTGTCTTGGGCAAGGTCACGCGTGACGTGTTGCCCCAGACCGTGGACAAGGCCGCCAACATTGCGGTTGTCAGCACAAAGGCGTTGGTCCTCAAGGACTTTGCGTTTGACGCGGATGAGAACAAGATCCGCAAAGCCGCCTACACCATGGTGGCGGTGCTCGCCGAGCGCTATGCCGTCGCCACGTGCTCTGGCACGTTTGCCGAGACCGTGTCCGCGTTGTTACTTCAGGAGCTCCCGCAACTCAGCACCGAGAACTCGCCGTTCGAGGAGTTGCCCGTAGCGATCCACGAGAACATCGACACCGCGCTTGCAATTGTCGTGAAGGCGACCAAGGACAAGGCGTTGCGGGAAATGGACGAGTTGTTGGCGCAGGCCGTGCAGCTACGCCGCGCACACCGCGAGCAGCGCGCGGGCGAGCCGTTCGCGGCGCCCGAGGCATCACGTTACCCCCTCCTGTTGCCAGAGCCGTTGGGCTTGCGCCAGGCGGGCGTGACCCAGGAACAGTTTTCGATCTACGAGAGCTTCGGAGCTGGCTTTGCTCCCCGGGCCCAGCCGGCCTTTACTCCCGCGCCGAATGCCGTTCCAACGATGTCCCAGGCGCAGTTATCGGGCCCGTCGTCCCAGAGTGCCGCCCCGGCGCAGTTATCGGGCCCGTCATCCCAGAGCGCCGCCCCAGCGCAGGCACAGGGCCTTCCAGCGCCGCCACCACCGCTCGAGCAGACCTTCCAGGTGCTCCAACAATCCGTCGACGCACTTCTCAAGACCATCAGCGAGACCTCCGAGGAACGTCTCCGCGATGTGCCTCCGGACCACCCGCTCAAGGCGATCCTCACTCAGATCCTCGTGCTCTGTTCACGCAACACGATGAGCAATGAACTCCTCCTCAAGGTGGCGCAGTTCACGGTGAACGCGCTCTTTACGGCTTGCGAGTCCGACCTTGCATGCGAGACGCTCGTACTTCTCTTAGACAAGCTCTGCGACTTCTCGGCCGCCACGGCCAAGGACGTGATCTGGTGGTTAGTGCACGCAGACGATGAGCGCAAGTTTAACACCCGGGTCATCAGCGAACTTCTCCGGGTGGGCTTGATCCAATCGGGTGAGCTCAACTCATCGTTGACCAAGGCAATCCTTGGCGGGAACAAGCTCGCGGCGACGTTTGCAGCCGAGTTGATTGTCAAGTCTGCGCTCGGGCAACAGCCAATCGCTTTGCGGTCCGAATTTGCGTCGACGATAGAGGCCATCAAGCTCCGTGCAGAGGCGCTCGAGATTACCGAGAACGCCGGGGTCAGCGCTCTTGTGGAGGGCCTCAAGAACGAGGCTCCATCATCTGGCCCGGTGCTCTTGAACGAGCAGCTTGGGTACGTGTTTGCGGAGTGGGCCAAGTTGCTCAACAATAGCTACCACTCCGACAAGCTCCAGACAGCTTTCATTCTCCAGTTGCGCGCGAAGCGCGTGTTGAGCCACGGCGAGTTTGCCGTGACGTTTTTCCGCACAGCGTTGGAAATGTCAGTTGCCGCGTTCATCCGCGAGGGCGAGCTCAAACAGAAGATCGAGCAGGACTTTGTGACGTCGATTGATGCGTACGCCAAGTTGATCGTGAAGGTGCTCGCGCTCCAGGAGGATGCTGCGCTCAGCCGCGCAGAGTTGTTCCGCCAGCTTCTCCTGATCGTGTCACTCGTGTTGGCCAACGAGCATGAACACCACCGCGCAACGTTCAACGAGCGCCCGTACTTCCGCCTCTTTTCGACGTTGATGGCTGAGTGGAGCCGCCTCGTGAGCGCGGACAACCTCTCGCCAGGCCTCACAGCCTTCTCGCGCGACTTTTACCTCCTCCTCGCGGACTTTTTCCACGGCCTCCAGCCGATCTGCTTCCCGGGCTTTACGTTTGCGTGGGTCTCGATGCTCGCGCACCGCATGTTTATGCCCGCGATCCTCGAGCTCCCAGAGCGTGCGGGCTGGGACAAGTTCGCGCAGCTTCTCGTTGACTTGCTCAAGTTCGAGAGCACCCACATCAACGGCAAGGAGATTCCCGAAGTCATTCTGGTCATCTACAAGGGCACCATGCGCATCTTTCTCGTGTTGTTGAACGACTACCCCGAGTTCCTCGTCGCGCACCACTACCAGCTCGTTACGCACATTCCCGCGTCCTTTGTCCAGCTTCGCAACGTGGCGTTGAGCGTGGTTCCGGCCGGTGTGGCCTTGCCGGACCCATTCGCACCGGGCTTGAAGATGGAGAAGTTGAAGGAGTGCCAGGACGCGCCGTACGTGGCACCGACCGCCACCAACAGCCTTGCCAAGGCTGGATTGAAGAAGCCGATTGATAACTACCTCAGGGTTCCGTCCAACAGTTTGTTTAAAACAATCTTCAACGCGATGAAGCTTGACACGCCCAACCGCGAGGCGGGGATCGGCTACGGCCACGTCTCTGTCAACGTGGAGCTTCTCAACGCGCTCGTGTTGCACGTCGGGGTTTCCGCCGTGAGCGAGCGCCAGACCGCGCCGTTCAACTCCAAGGGCTCGCACGTGACGCTACTCGCGACACTCATACAGGAGGCGTCGGTTGAGTTGCAGTTCCAGTTGATCCAGGCCATTGCGAACCAGCTCCGGTACCCAAACTCTCACACGCACTGGTTTTCGTGCATTTTGTTGCACTTTTTTGCACAGCCGGGTGCCAAGCGCTTGCAGGTACAGCAAGTGATTACGCGTGTGCTTGTCGAGAGGATGGTGTGCAACAAGCCGCATCCGTGGGGATTGCAGGTGACGTTTGCAGAGCTCTTGCGCAACAAGGACTATTTGTTCTTTGACCTTCCGTTTGTGAAGGCGTTGCCGGAGCTTGAGCGGATGTTTGGAGCGTTGGAAAGACACACGAGAGTGAGTGCGTAGCACGAGGTAGAGTTAAGTGGCTTGATAAGCCGTGTATAGTATATGTATTTTAAGGATTTTGTTACACAGAGCATTGCAAAGGCTTACGTTGAAGATTGTTCCAGGCAGGAGTGATTTCCTCACTGCACCAATCAAAAAAAAAAAAAAAAAAAAAAAAAAAAAAAAAATCAATGGAGAATGTGCGGGCTCAGACATCCCATATTCAAGTCAATTGGGTGATCAGAGTGAAGGGGGTATTAATCAGGGAAAGGACAGAGCATGAAATGTGATTTACTATAAGTGTCATACAAATCTACCGTCAGGTTTGACCTCTCTATATCAGACCTCTAATACCCCTACACTAAACTACAATCCTTCCTATATAAATCCCTTTAGCTTTAAACGATTTTTATCCTCATCTTGGATATTACCGTACCATATTTGATCCTATTCCCTTACTATAAACCATTTCGCCGTCAATATATTGCTCGGCAGCTCCGCCTTCCTTGAACGGTGACGCATACAGGTCGTGTCCTTTTCCGTGCGCCCCGTAGCAGGCTGCGGCCTGTATCAAAACGAGGTCAAAACGATGTCACAATGATACCGCACTAATCACACTCTACACAATGAACTTCCTTCGCCGCAGAGGTCAATCCGTCGAGGAGGATGTGCCCGCCACACCGGATGAGAGAACCAAGTTGCGCAAGCCGCCAAACACAGCGTTCAGACAGCAGCGGTTGAAGGCGTGGCAGCCGTTGCTCACGCCCAAGATCGTGATCCCGTTGCTTGTGCTTCTCGCGGTTGTCTTTATCCCCTTGGGGCTCGTGCTTGTGTACTACAGCAGCCGCGTACAGAACTTGATTGTCGACTACTCCAAGTGCGGTACGCTCGGGGGCGCCGACTATTCCGTGGTTCCCGCGAAATACTTTAGCTACAACTATCACAAATCCAACCCGGATATAAACGAGACACCGCAGTGGCTGGTCTCAAATGCCACCGACTCGTTTGGCGACGTGATATCTACGTGCCACGTAAAGTTTGACTTACCAAACGATATTGAGCCGCCGTTTTTCCTCTACTACAAGCTCACCAACTTCTACCAAAACCACAGATCGTACGTGCAATCATTCGACTTGTCACAGCTTAAGGGTGAGGCCGTCAGTATGGGCTCCCTCACCGACCACTGCAAGCCGTTAAAGAACTCCTCTGACGGGAAGATTGTGTATCCGTGTGGATTGATCGCCAACTCTTTGTTCAACGACACGTTTTCGCACCTCACATTGTTGAATCCGGCAGGGGGTGAAAGCAACATGACGTATACGATGTCTCGCAATGGCATTTCGTGGTCGTCTGACCGCCACTCCAAGTTCAAGAAGACAACCTACAACGCTAGCCAGATCGCACCACCACCGAACTGGTACAAGCGCTTTCCCGAAGGATACACCGAAGAAAACCTCCCGAACCTTGCGCATTGGGAGCACCTCCAAAACTGGATGCGCACTGCGGGGTTGCCCAGTTTCTACAAGTTGTACTCTCGCAACACCACCGCCACGTTATCCAGCGGGACGTACTCGGTGGACATTGAGATGAACTACCCGGTGTCTATTTTTGGGGGCACAAAGTCGATAGTGATTACTACGTCGTCGATCATTGGGGGACGCAACTTGAGCTTGGGGATTGTGTATATCGTCGTGGGAGGGTTATCTTTGGTGTGTGCGATTGGCTTTATGGTGCAGCATTTGGTGAAGCCGCGGAAGCTCGGGGACCCGAGCAGTTACTTTGCGGGGGAGAATGTTAGGGAGCAGCTCTAATGGGCAAAGTGGCAAAGAATGGCAAAATCGATGTGGCATGAAAGCTTGATAGGTCTGCGCCGAGTGTCGCCTGTGGGGGCATTATTGCCAACACCCTCGCAGCGAACTTTTTATTTGACCAGACTGACTCCTGGTATCGGAGCTTTGGGTATAAGACATTTTGGCGAAAAGATTTATGTAAATGTAGAGCTTGAGATGTGTTGTTTCAACTATCGTCCCATTGGATAAGTATCCACAGGTGGCAACTACCCGAAGCTTTACCTTTAAAGGGCCGGATTCTAGTCGCGAGGTATAATGACGAAAGACGCTTTAATAGAGTTATTAAGGCATACACGTAGTCGCCGAGCATCGCAGTTTGTGAAGCATCCCTATGGGTGTTGAAGGTTGCGTATTATGTTTAGCAGCCTTGACCTGTGCATTCACCGATGAAGATTCTACGTATCCGAAACCCGTGTTGAATAGATGCATTCATCTGGTTGTCAATATACCGTATCTTTGACTCTATTTTTAGCATAGAGAATTGGGGATATTTTGAAATCCAAGACTTGTGTAGTAGGGATCGATACCTTATATATAGAGATCGATTCCTCCCTCCTTTATCTAATATAAGTTATATAGCTAACTAGTATACTACTATAAGTAGATATACCTCAATCTGTTTGGTGTGGTCAAAAATCTGTTTATAAATTTTCTTCGTAACCTCGCCTCTATGGCCAAGTTGGTAAGGCACCTCACTAGTAATGAGGAGATCGTCAGTTCGAATCTGGCTGGAGGCATATTTTTGACGCCTTATCAATGATAACTATTTTGCATTGTATTAAGCAAACTGCCCGTCGATGCACGGACGAAATGGGCGATCCCGTTTAAGGGGGTCAGCCTTGTAGGTTTACTCCGTGGTCTGGTAACATTTCATCCAAAGATGGGATTTACCCACCAGTCCATTAAATTGTAAATCCGACAGGGATGATGGATTATCCGAGAAGCCATTAGTTGTGGTAAAGGCAAAACAATTATTGATCACAAATTTAAGATTTCTTGGCTGTCCTACCCAATCATAAGGCTTATGAGAAAGTTTGATCGCAATATATGAATTTATTTGCCTTGTAATTTATTTATTTCAAACCAAGTTTCAACCAAGGATAGCCTGTCTCATCCCGTGAAACTGAAAGGCTAAACCCCTCACAAGCAAAGGGTTACTCAGGTGTCCCTCGGTGTTTAAAGATTGCGCCAAAATTCCAGCTACACAGCACTAATACTCTAGACATAGTAGGGGGCGAATTTCTCAATAAAGAAACCTCTGAAATGGTGCTTGGCCCCTTCTTTTGAAATTAGTGCCACATCTTCCGGGGACAATTGGAATGTCTCAACCTCCAACGCCTCGTGGAATCTTTCAGCTTTGGATGAGGTGGTGATCGGCAAGAATCCCTGATCCACGGCGTATCTGAGCAAGACCTGCGCTCTGTTCTTTCCATGCTTGGCACCGATCTTGTCCAACGTGTCATTCAATTTCCCCGAGTCGTCACGGAAAAGTGGCGAAAGGGGCCCGTAGGGTTCAATCAAGATATCGTGCTTCGCACAGAAACTCACAATGCCAGGCGACTGTTCCTGCAAAAACGGATGGAACTCTATTTGGTTAACTGCCGGTTTGACAGTGGCGTAGGAAAGAATTTCCTCAATATGCGGCACGGCGCTATTGGAAAGACCGATATACCTCACCTTGCCCTCAGCAACGGCTTGCTCCAACTCACGCCAGACGTCCTTTAGGGTCAAGCCAGTGCCGGTCTTGGGATCGAAGAACGGCTGGTGTACCAAGTACAAGTCGAGGTAAGTGGTGCCCAACGCTTTCAAAGCGACATCAATGGACGCAATGGGTCCCGTGGTTAAGGGTTCGTGGCCAGGAAACCCGCCAGGATAGTATTTGTCCGTGACCCAGACCTTTTCGCGAGCCTTTTCATCTGCGAGGTAGCCCGCTCTCCTCAACGCTTCCCCGACTTCAGCATGGGTGTTGTAAATTTCGGCGGTATCAACATGATTGAAACCCGCTTCAAAGGCACTGACTAACGTCGTGACAAGAGGTTCCACCAAATCGCCGGTTTTTTCACCTCTGGAGCGCTTGAGGATGTGCCATTTCGTTCCGGAGCCAACCCCAATGGTGAGACGTTCGCCAGCTTTGGTCTTGAAGTTGTCGCGGAGAGAAGCCATAGATGCTATTGCTGATACTTAGAGCGAAAGTGAAAGACATGCAACCTCCGCGAGATTTATAACAGTCGGAGAAGTGTGGATGCAAAGGTGGAGAAGCACGAGCGTTATACGATTACTAAGCAGGAGAGGAACCAGCATGGAGATATGGTGCGCTTTACACATATCTGCCACACTTTCACCGATAACTGCCATTCACTGATTGAAGATATGCAGAGGTGTGGATGCAGGAAAAAAAACAATTTTCCACCGATGCCACACCACTGTAACATACTTTAAGCTAATTGTTCAAGCGGTAAATGGCTGACTAGATTAAGCTGTAGAAAGGTTATGGTCACGTGATTATCTATGTGTGGAACACGACGAGTCAGACCTTTGAAACCTGTTACTCGGAGCAAAGCTTATCACGTGTAGAGATTGGATGGATAAGAGACGGCTTACGAACAAGAGTCATTCATCCTGCTTTACTCTGGATCTGAATATATTTTATTTTTCAAGATCAAGTATATGACCCATCAGCGAATACTTTGTTGGATATATATCTATCCATATTAACATACAGATTCACTATAATTTATATTCACGTGGTATGCTTCTGATATACATAGAAATCAAAATCCTTGACTGCCTGGTACTCCCTCGACTCAGGTGGAAGGCCATGTGCTGGAGCTATAGAGTTTACATCCTGACACTCCAGGCACTACGTGGCCAAGCTACCCTGTGTTTCATTTTAGGCTTGCTAGTTGCAAAACTTCCATAGCTCTTCCGATCTTGGAAATCTTGCTCTCAAAGGCGACACATGCAAGCTCTTCGGCTTGCCTGACGTGCGCCAGGGTCGTACCATATGCTATTATCTACCACAATGCGTATTGTCGCCTTGTAGAATTTCAGTCTAGGAATACCCGAATGAGGGTTTATCTTTCTTCTTTGAGACGCCTACTTCCGCAATTACCGACGAGTTATAGACTTTTGGTTCGCAGACTTCCGTCTGTAGAAACGCGGTGGAATGAGGATGGCCCACCAGCCTCGTCTACCCTTGTGCGCCCCCTTCAGAGGATACTATTGTACACGTGGTTTGAACTCGAGCAAACAATCAGTATTACACAAAAAGATCGGTAGTAAAGGGCCTATTGAGGTATTAGATTGCGTATCTCTGATTTAAACCAGAGTGAGAATCCACATATATCCAGCGTGAATGTTGAAATCAAATTCTTTTCGTCAGTTGTGTTATCTCAATAAGGGCCAGTCAGTGCGCTCTGTAGTGACGCCTTCATCACTATCCCGGCTTATTATGTTTAAGGGTAGCCGAGAGTCGCCTTTAGAATGGCACAGCTAGAACAAGAACTCACACGCCCGCGTATTTACGTATGCACCTATATCAATAACTAGACACGTACATATTGCCTGGCTATTGAAGCAGCTGCACTAGCATATACTTATACGAGACCTTACATAGACTCAGCTAAGCCTCAGTCAGGATACCATGAATAAAGTTTGATACCAACCACGTATACTTAGACGTTTCGTTAACATGTGAAACTCACTCATCTGTTCTCCCAGCCCAAGCTCGTGGTAAAGGGGCGGATAGGAATGCGGCGAACAAGTTCGAGGAACTGCGAAAGGGGGCAAGGATTATACTGAAAAGCATCGGCAGTGGCATCTAAATTCAGGCTTAGTGCTGGATTGGATCGAAGCTTCGACTGAACTTGTCAAAAGATACTTTACACGACGCACCAAAGCAAGAAGTATGAAAACCAGGGTTGAGAATATGACTAAACATTAGTTGGTGCCTGTCATTTATAAATATGCACGCCTCGTAGGACAGCATTTTTCGAACTCTGAAGGGATTCAAAAGTTCGCTAAGAGGGTTGAATATAAGGCAAGAGAGGTGGTTTGTTCGAAATATGATTAGCGGTATACTTTAAACGATAAGACTCTGATACTTTTCCGAAGACTAGCTATAAATCAATAGACCGAAGACATGAAGTGAGCCTGAAACTTTAACCATTGCCGCGTCAGGTACAGGGGGAGCCGCCTAAAGCATACCAGGGGCCCTGTACGCAACAGAAAAATATACCTGCATAATTACATTGCCAGTATAGACGATGCTAGCAATGCCAATAGGGAATGTCCAGTCTTAAAGGTATGCTATCATTTAATGGGTACACATACATATGTGGGGGGGGGGGATACTCTTTGGTGAAATGTCAGATATAATTTCCCAGACTCGCTTGGTTAGAGCTACCTCAATCAAGTTGGAACAGATAGGGAGCCCGACACCAATAACAATGCAGGGGCCTAAGTTAGCCTCCGAATAGTTGGCGAAAAATGATTTCCTTTCCCAATCCGTTCCTTATTCAGGGGCTTTTTTCTGTAGCTCCAGGGCCCAAGATTTTGGACTAGCTTATACCCAGTGGAAGGCGCATACCTAGTGTCAAAGAGCCCTATTAGCCTTACAATATGATTTCATTATAGTCTCTGAACGACACATCTGGAAGTTTCGTCAAAGATTTACCTATTTAGCTCGCTTAAAATAGGCTCGCGCTAAATCATGCAGCTATGCTGCATTTGAATGGAAGAGCCCACGGCTACGGATTCTCTGCATCACCATTTGGCAGACTATTCCTGTTAGGGGGCTATACAATGAGGGCTATGGACCTCGGTAAAAGGTGTTACCTAATGAAAGATGAAAAAAAGCATACAATCATGTTATACCAATTATACCGTTTTTTTTTTAAAAAAAAACCGGCGATGCTGACATTTAAACCAAAGATCTTATAAGAGGAATAGCATTCCAAGTCTAACCCCATGCTTAAGCTTTCGCATGCGATAGTCTGCCTAATAAGGTTTGACCAAGTCCCTGGTTCACGACTAGCCGTCTAGTGAACTCTGTAACTGAAGACCCCTGGTATGTGACATCGTAACCGCCTGGTGTGAGGTTGTATCTACACTGGCTCAATCTGGAATTAGAAGAATTGACCTTAAAATCGATTCCCAAGTCATTAAATCGGATGCTATATAAAACAGATGGCTACCCCAGTTATTTCAAACGCTTGTATTACGTATCACCAACACCATGAAGCTCTCTCCGATATTTTTGGTTCCCTTCCTATTCCAGGTGGCAACGGCCGTTATTAACGTTACCTCTGTCACCACTAGTCTCACCAACCCAGCCCCATCCAACCTCTGTGACTCCTTTGTCACTTCTGGTGGTCAGGGTGTACACGCTTGGCTGGCTACGGCCAATTTCTTTGCTGCTTCAACCAGAGATTCAGGCAACATGTACGATAGGCTGAGACACTACGAGTACGTGGTGCAGTGGTTTTTCACCTTCGACAGTCAATTGGATGCCACTGGGTTTGACATTTCCACGTTGACCTCTGCTATTTCGCTGCGCACCACTGTCAATGTGGTTGTTAATCCTACCCAGGGTAGCTATATCCTTTCTTACAATGACACCGTCGCTCATCCACTTGTTTCCGGTGAGGATCGTAATAAAGGGCTGAACAGTTTCAACTCCTTGATTGGCTACACCACAATCTTCACTGGTGGGCCAAATCCTACCATTGTTATCTTGGGATCTTCGGAATTCTGGACCAAGCCAGCTCATGGGTTGACTTGTACCATCAATTCCGTTACTCCAAACTGTATCGCCTTGGGGTATCCAGTGTTCAGTAAGTGTATGACTTGGTGCGAGTGTACGGACAGCAATCCTCCTTCTGGTGGACACCACCATCATCCTGGTGGACACCACCCTAGTGCCATAACAGCCACTCTTACTTCTACTCAGTCTGATGGATGTTTGATTGTAGAGGAGATGGTTGAGTCGGCTCACACTTATAGCACCACGTTATTACAGACGAACACCCGTACCGTCACCCAGACCAGAGAGCGGAGATCAGCAACGGCTACCGTCTTTTTCAGACCACGGTTTACCACCTTCAGGTCTACTTTCACCACTACTCAAACTCAAATTGATACCCAAATCGCGTTAGTCACCACTGTCTCCACCTCGTTGCTTAACGCTGTTACCTTGTGTCCAGCTTCATCTGTCGCTCCATCTGTAGTATCGTCAGATGCCGCTTCGTCTGCTGCTGGTTCTTCCGCTCCAGCTTCGTCTGCCGCTGGTTCTTCCGCTCCAGCTTCGTCTGCCGCTGGTTCTTCCGCTCCAGCTTCGTCTGCCTCTGGTTCTTCCGCTCCAGCTTCTTCTGCTACTGGTTCTTCCGCTCAAGCTTCGTCTGCCGCTGGTTCTTCCGCTCAAGCTTCGTCTGCCGCTGGTTCTTCCGCTCAAGCTTCGTCTGCCGCTGGTTCTTCCGCTCCAGCTTCATCTGTTGCTGTTTCGTCTGTTTCTTTGTCATCAGCCTCTAATGTTATCACTGGGACCACAACTTCCACTGTGTTTGTCACATCTACACAGTTCACTGCCACTTCGTTCGTGACCGAG